AGAGAGAGCCAAAACTTGCACCTGTGTGGTGTGACTGCCTTCCCTTTAGAGCCCACATGCGCAACAGAATCCTTTTGTCTTCCGTTTCAATTCTTTCTCTCTCTCTCTCTCTCTCTCTCTCTCTCTTTCTCACACACACACTTTGTGTCAACGAAGGAATAATGGATGCACAAGCAATGCCCTTGTGAATGAATGCACGTTGAACAAATAATACTGATAGACGCACGAGCAGATCAAGCATTCAACTGTTGCCGCAGTGCAAGAAGTGAAGGCCAGTCGACCGCGAGATCCGCCGGTCAGAGGTAAGCGCGACTCAGCTCACCACAGTGAAGGACAAAGCTTTGGGGTAGAGCGTCCCTGGCCAAGAGAACGTGTGCGAACTCCTTGTCCAGTCAAGGCTCTGCAGCGTTGGTCGCTGAAACTCTTCTTCCTCTCTCCTCTCCCCCCTGCCACTGCGACTGCCACGCACAACTACCACTTAACACCCGGACGCAACACCAATCACATTGCCATCCGCTTCCACTGCCACCCGCTTCCACTGCCACCCGCTTCCACTGCCACCCGCTTCCACTGCCGATACTTTGCCGTGTTCATGCTCAGCACGCTACCTATCACGCACAAGCTCAGGTCACAGTTCTTTGGCAGTCGCTCCAAATACGAGCTAGCTCGTTATTCTTGTTCTTGGGGATTTTGGGCCTTGATACTCCTCAGGTCAGGTCACACCAATCTCGAGTGTGCATTCAAATACTCCACTACTACACACTCGGCTACCACACACGCAGATGTGGAGCTTGCCCGCTGGTCCCAAATCCAATCGCCACCCCTGCTAGTCACCCCGAAACACCCCATCGCCTTACTCGATTCACGTTCAGCTGCATTTATATCTCGGCTTTGCTTTGCACAACACTTGAGACACTTGCCTCGTCTGGTTCCTGCTGCCAATGCCCACATGACTTTCTGTCTTGCGAACAAAGACCTTATTGGATCCCGTTTCATTTCCATCTTCTCTTTCAACTCCGGCGTGACTTCAACTTTTTTTTTTTCACTCGCTTCTCGAGTTGGCCCACTTGTTACAGCTGCTCTTGGCGTTCCGTGTCTCTGTCTCTGCATTTGCTTGTGTGGCATTGCTTTTTGTAATTTGTTGTGCGTTTTGAGGTTTGACTTGGTAAGCAATTTGGGCAAGGGCAGCCACAGTCACATCTCGGCATCCTTTTCACTGAAACACAACATGTGACAATGTCGACAAAGACGGAATAATACACCCGTTCACACCTCGAGAGCCTGACTCTGCACGATCGACCATGTGTGTCCAATCGCGCTTGACTCAGCTCATGATTGCTTGCCGCTGTATTGTGTTGCTGGGCGTTACTTCAGGCGCACTTCTTGGCGTGGAACGAGAGGCCCCTAATTGGTGGCTTGTCGGCTTTGCTGTCGTCGCGTTTTGAAAACCGTGGCGATGGCGCCCCCGGCGACACGCGCCCTCGCCATTTTCGCGTGCTTCTGCATCGTGGCCTCGACTGCAGTTGCACTGACAGCTACTGGTGAGCTCCCTCGCCCCATCCCTTCTCAGCTGGATATCGCTGCTGTCTTGGCCAAGCCCTGCGCAGTTATATGTTGCTGTAAGGAATAACAGCAACAGCAACAATAAACTTGGCATGCCCCTGTTCTTGACCTTTTGCCTTTGACGCTCCTTGCCTAGGCAACTCGGACCTGAGCTCCCCCGTTGCCGCCGCGTTTGATTTCAAGAATGTAGCCGCCTTGCGCGAGTATGTTGCATGGTTACGTTGCAACCATTTGGTCTTTCCTTTTCATTTTGTCGCGCTTCACATCATTCATACACACGAGAGTTTAGGCTCGGTTCATCTCATATCTTGACCACGTGTGTAGATCATTGCGTCGCGGTCGCCGCAGCACTGCAGACAGCGCAGACGAGGTGGTCGCCCATTATATTTCAAACAGCGCGCTTAGCGATATCGTCGCGCCCTCTTATTTTCTGGCGTTCTCTGTCGTCAACGGGTCTGGCGAACAGTTTAGCACTTATGCCACGCCCGCGGCCATGCTGGACAGCGCGGCTGTGTCTCCCACTGAATGTTTGGTCTGGTGTGCCATGTCTGCGAGCTGCGAGGGCGTTGTTGTGGAAACCAACGCAAGCGGCTCTGCCTGCTACCGCCTCTCTGATCTGGGTTCTTCTGCAGCCACCGTTTCTGGTGCCGGTGCTGATGTTCAGCGCTACAGCTTGCTTCGACTTGGCAGCTTGGATCAGACTGCAGATGCTCTGACAAACGGCAACTTTGAGTCACCTGTCATGGATACCAGTGAGCCCCGCGTGCTTGCCGATCTCTCGCCCGCTCCCTGGCAGGAGAGTCCCGGCACAGACTTGGCCATGTTTCGCCCCAATACAGCCAATAACTTTCCCAGTATCTCCGGAACGCAGGCTATTATTCTGCGCAATGCAGGTCAAATCACTCAGATTATGCAAACGGATGAGCCTGTTGCTGAGCAGTATCGCATTTTGCGAATGAAGTTGGGCGCCCGCATGAACAACCTGCCGCGAGGACTCGCCATTACTGTTTACGATGAAACCAACACTGTCATCGCCAGCCAGACGATTGCGGCCAGCAGCCTTGTCGTCAACGACGTGGCGCAGTATGAATTTGGTCTTGACACGTCAGCTGGTTCCATTCTGACTGTCAGCCTCCGTGGTCGCAGCAGTGGCGAGCACATTGTCGTTGATGACGCGGAACTGCTGTATTTCAATGCTCCTGCAGCCCCCGTGCCTACCACCTTTGTGCCTACCACGACGACCACGACGACCACGACCACGACGACGACCACCACGACCACAACCACGACCACGACCACGACGACCACGACCACGGTGACCACCACGACCACGAGCGCTTATGAAGGCTACGTGTTGGTGTTTGCCAGTATCGGTACCAATGGCCAGCGGTTCTCGACCGCGACCGATGCCGAGGCTTTCCTTTTTGGCCGCAACGACGTCGACAGTTGTGTGGCTGCGTGCGATGCGTTGACTGACTGCATGGGCTTCTATATTGAGGGGGACACATCCTGCATCGGCCTCTCATACTTGGGTTCCTCAACCGGAGAGGCCGCCGAGGCAACCAGCCAGTCCTGGGCCAAATTGAGCGTGAGCAGCATCGCGTCAACCACTGCCGGCTCAACGATCCCTCCCATGGTCACACCTTGTACAAACAACGAGTGTCAGAATGGGGCCACCTGCGTTGCACTGCCTTCCAGCTACATCTGCGACTGTGCCAGCGGCTGGGATGGCGCGTATTGTAACGTCTCTGTTCCCTATTGCTATGAAAACTTTTGCGCCAACGGCGGTGCCTGCACGGACGAGGACAACACCCCGATCTGCGAGTGCGCATACGGAACTGACGGCGAGTTGTGTCGCACGCTCACGGGTGTTGCATGGCCTCCAATCCTTAGTACTAGCGTCTACAATGGCACTGATCTTTTTGCTGCCTACGACTCTGTGAACTTGATTTATCCCGTCGCGGATGTCGCACCGTGGGCCGTGGCCTGCAACCTTGGTGCTGATGAAGACGAAGAGGGCAGTGGTTGGGGTACAACCACTGTTGCACCCACCAGTGGTTACTTTTGGTCCTGTGATGTGTATGACTTGAGCAATGTTAGCAACGTCCAACTGAAGGCCTCGTTCCCGGCCTACAACACGGAAGCTCAGGCCTTGGGTGCCTTTGTTTTCTACATTTCTGAGTCGGGACAGCTCACCGCCCTTGATACCAACACCAACTTCACGCAAACACTCATCACGGATATGGTTCTGGGCCTGGCCCCTCACGATTCCGACACGATTTCTGTCATCACCGCGGAAGGCCTCTTCATTGTCGGCACGACTTCAGTGCAAGCTCAGGTCCCCGCAAACTTGACTGACTGCTCTTTGGTGAGCCAAACCGTACTGTGCCCAAGCGGTTTGTTCAACATCGCTTTTGACGAGGGTGCCTACGCACTCGTGCCCGTCTCCACGCCCGCCTTCTGGTGGGACGTCTTGGACGCCGCAGAGTGGCCTCTCAAACTGCGCAACATTGGCGATTTTGACCTGGACGGTGCCACGGAGATTGTGGTTGACGCGGGTACAACTACCATTTTGCTCCGCACCACCTCGTCCTTTGAGATCTGCAGTGATGCCGACTCCGTCTTGATGTGGGTCGGTGACCTCGACCGTGATGGCTTTACCGATTTCATGTGCAGTGATGCTGACAGCGCCGTCGTATTCTTTGGTCCCGATCTCACCGACATGCCTGTGGATACGCCTCTGCATGACATCGGTGACATCAATCTCGACGGGTTTCAGGATATGGTGCTGGCCGAGGCCGATCGCACCCGCGCTGCTACCTATCTCAACATTACCGAAGTGCCCGTGACTCGAGACGACACCCCCCTCAACATCACCACATTCACGTACGGCACCGGCAAGTACTTTGTCTGTGACGGTGGTGATCTCATCCTCGGTGCTGGATCTCGCTTGGTGGCTGCTGGGACAGCACCGGTCTACGTGGCATCCACGTCAATGAGCAACGCCGATGTCCAAGCCTTCATCCAGACGGTGAATTGGGCGAGTGACACAATCACCGTGCAGCTCGTCTTGATCAATGCTGGTACTACCAGCACCGAGGCCCAGGTCGCGGCAGCCAGTGCTTTTGTCACTGGTGGTGTCGCGCTTTCCTCGCAGTCGTGTGTCCTTGCCGCCGAAGCGGATGGCTTTTTGTGCACCTTCTCGGCAACGCTCAATGCCAACGTGAACACGCTCCGCTTTTCCGACTTTCCCGAAGTCATGCTGCCCCTTGACACACTGACGCCACAGACTCGCCCCGATGGCAGTCTGACCTTCACGTTGACTGCGGAGAACGTCAACACGATGGAGGTCACTGGTGGTCAGGTGACGGGCGTGACCTCGCCCACCCCAGGTGCCATCTTTGCCTACAGCCAGATGGACACGCAGGTGACCATCAACCAGGTGTCCATCGGAGCCAGCACACCAATGCCATCCGTCATCGAGGTTGGGCTCTCGTGCGCAGCTGATGTCGGGACATTCACCTTGACCTATGGTACCAGTACCATCACCTACACTTGCCTGCCAGTTCTGGCAGGTGTGTTCGTTGCCACTCGCGAGAGTGTAGTGGATTACTCGGCGCTGATTGGCGACGTGGTGCCATTGGACATGTACTTTGTTCGTCGTGATACCAGTGTCAGCGTCACCTGCCGCCCCTTGTCGAGCGCATTTGCAGCCAAGTTTGAGTTTGATGCCAACTGCACAGGAATGCGCGTCCTCAACACCAACGGTTTCACCCTCAACTTCGAGACCGAGGTTGAGATTGTGGCTGAAGTTGACGGCGAGGTCGTGGCTACGACCACCATTGCCTTCTTGGCGTATGACAACATTGCCTTTGACGTCGACACCTCGGGCCTCTATGACGCCGACTGCGCCGCACTGGATCTCTCCACATTTGTGTCTGTGACAGCTGACCTGACCTATGAAAGCACCGTCTACACTTGCCAGCTGACTGGCCTCGTCGGCCAGGCCATCACCTCGAGCAATAATGCAGTGGCCACCGTTAATGTTGCGTCTGGCACAGCACTGCTAACTGCCCATTCGGCTGGCACAACAACGTTGTCACTGGGCACAAACTCTTACGCCGTAACCATTGCTTCGGCAACCCTGACAAAGCAGGTTGTTCTCTTCAGCTCTATTTTGAGGTCTGCCACTCCGGTCACTAGCGGTGGTTTGGTTCTTGATGGGGCTTTTATTAACACCGGTTCATCTTTTTCGGCTTATGAAGCCAATCCCGTGAGCGTGGATCTCAATTACGTTCAATATCTGTCCGTCGCCGGCGAGGGTGCCGTGTTGGTGAGCGCCGCTGGCGTTGAAACAGGCACTGTGCTTGCGGGCTATGAGAGCCTTTGTGACGAGCTTGTTCCAATCTTCACCACCCGTGTCACTAGCCCCGTGCGGGAAGTGTTCAATGTCTCTTCGCACTACCTGTTGGCATCCTCGCAAGCTGAGCTGGCTGAGCCCCTGGGCCTTGCTAGCAACGCCACCATCGGCTTTGTCCTCTCTGGTGTGGACGTGGAGTTTTCTGCAAATGACCTACTTGATATGTGTACCGCTGACGCTCCTCTAGAGCTTGCTGTGGACGGCGACGCCTTGGTTGTGTTCTCCAGTGTGGCCACTGAGGGAGATGTGACGTGTACCTACTTGAGCTTGGTCGTTGCGACCACCGTCACGGTGGTTGAAGTGACGAGTCTTGACGTCGTGGGCCGCCCTTTCCTGACGGAGCTCAACTACTCTAGTCCTTTGACTTTATGGTCCTACCAAGGAACGTTCTTGCCCATTGAAGTGGGTGTCGCTGCAACCCTGTCTGATGGTTCAGCCATCACGACGACTGAGGTCCCCGGTGTGCTCAACGTTTCTGCCGGTCGCATCGATGAGGAGGACGGCAGCATTCTTCCCGAATCGGCCGATGTTCAAGTCAACGTGACGCTGGCCGGCTTCACTGCCGTTTCCATTGCTGCACTACCAACGCCTGTTACTGTCACCTCCATCCCGTTATTTACCATCTCATCTCCTATCTTAGATTCCACTCCTGTACGCCCCATGGTCAGCGTTGGTCTTGACGTCGGCAGCACGCTGGTCAATGTTTTCCGTTCGACCCGCATCAGCGCCGCCCTGAACGCCTCCATTGCAACGAAAATGACCTACCTGAGTTGGGACGCCAACACGCGCCGTGTCACTGCACTTACAAACACCAACGATGACCTTGTCGTGAACGTGACAATTGGTGCTGTAGTGGCCACAACTGCGGTGACTATCAATTTCAACGGCGAGGTTCTTGGTCTTGACATGGGTAGCTTCACAGGCCATGCTCTTCCCATGCTGTCGGGACCGACAGCCAGCCTCCCCATCTATCTGAACACGCCCCAGTCGCTTATTGCCTTTGAGCTTCGCATTAACCACCCTGGGGCCGCCCGTGTTTCCAACATTGCTCAGGGTACCGGGTGGACGGGTACCATGACCTCCTTCAGCCGGCGCGACTTTACAGTCGTGGTGGGCATTGGTCAAATTCCTGCCTCTAGCGCTGCGGAACTGGCCACGGTCGACTTTTATGGCCTCACGGAGGATTTGATTTTGTCAGCATACATTGTCACCCTGATCGATTCCTCTCGGTCTTCTGTGAGCTTCCCTGCCTCGGCGGCCAGCGTTGTTGCATCCTTTTCGTCCAACCCGCAGCTGAACGATCTTGCTCGTCGTCGTCGTGCTGTTTGCAGCACGCCCATGGATGAAGTTGACGTTGATAGTGACTGCCAAGTGACTTTGGTGGATTATTTTGGCCTGCAGGACCAATTTGCCAGCGGTACCATGACTGCTGATCCCAACATTGACGGCACGAGCGATGAGGACGATCTCGACTATGTTCTGTCCGTGATTATGGAATATCGTCCCCTCATCCAGATGCCCGCGCTGGAGCAAAACGATGCATACAGCTGCACATACGCTGTGGACTTTGGCTGCCGCGACCGATTCAATTCTTTCTGCTCTGCCGGCGATCTGCAGCCCTATGCCATCTTCAACGACGCAGGCAACACGTTGACGCCCATGGTGGATGGGACTGAATTGCTTAATGTTCCGGCGAGCGCATTCGCCGTTTTTGGATTGGTTTCACCCGAGTACATGTTGGACTTCCTGACGCAGTCGGCTGTGACTCCTGTGTCTATGCAGCTCGGTGTGGGCGTGTTCGATCAGCTGTATGATGAGCCTTTGATCACCCTGCCTAGCCAAGACATTGGCGATACGTTGTCATTGTCTGATGGTGGAGCCGTTTACGCACTGGGCCGCCAAGTCGTCGAGTACGACACTAGCATCTGTCCTCTTACAACTACAATGACCACGACGACAGCTGATCCTAATGCCACGACAACGACCACTCCGACAGTCGACCCCAATGCGACCACCACCACGACGACGACGACGGTGGATCCCAATGCGACCACAACCACTGCTACCACGACTGTGGATCCCAACGCGACCACGACCACTGCTACCACGACTGTGGATCCCAACGCTACCACCACGACCACGACTGTGGACCCCAACGCCACAACTACTGCCACGACTGTGGATCCCAACGCCACCACCACGACCACGACTGTGGACCCCAACGCCACGACTACTACCACGACTGTGGACCCAAACGCCACGACTACTACCACGACTGTGGATCCCAACGCCACCACCACGACCACGACTGTGGACCCCAACGCCACGACTACTACCACGACTGTGGACCCCAACGCCACGACTACTACCACGACTGTGGATCCCAACGCCACCACCACGACCACGACTGTGGACCCCAACGCCACGACTACTACCACGACTGTGGACCCCAACGCCACGACTACTACCACGACTGTGGATACCAACGCCACCACCACGACCACGACTGTGGATCCCAACGCTACCACCACGATCACGACTGTGGACCCCAACGCCACGACTACTACCACGACTGTGGATCCCAACGCCACCACCACGACCACGACTGTGGATCCCAACGCTACCACCACGATCACGACTGTGGATCCCAGCTTGACAACCACGACCACGACTACGACCACGACCACATCTCAGCAGGACACATCAACAACTGACGTTGCAGCAGCCAAAGATAGTGACGATGGCCTTAGCAGTGCCGAGGCAGCGGGTCTTGCCATCGGCCTCATCCTTCTGGTTCTCTTGATTATTCTTCTGCTCTGCTTCCTCTTGGGTGGACGTAAGAAACCCATCGTGTACGATGTCAAGGTGGAGCCCAAGAGCGCCGAAGGCACGACAAATCCCGATCATCCTTGGGTGGATGACGGTTGTCCTTTCGGCTTTTCGCTGCGTCTCAACAACAGTTCAGACCCATACCGTCGGGGCATGGAGCTTATTCTGCAGCGCGGCAAGACCTACAAGTTTCAAATGCAAAATGTGCCGGAGGACTATCCCTTCTACTTTACCTTCTCGGAAACAGGTGGTGGCAACGCTGTATCAGAGATTCTGCAAGGCGTGACGGGTGCCCCGGCTCACGGTACAGATGTGGTCACCCTGGTTGTCACCAAGGAGACCCCCAATCTCTTCTATTATCAGTGCGCACGCCAAAAGCGCATGGGTTACTTGGTGCGTGTTGTGGATGAGGACGTTGAACAAGCCAACCTTATGGGCCCTGATGCGCCCAAGGCAAAGGCTGGCAAGACGTACTACTTTGATGAGAACGCTGCCATCGTTGATATTCCTTCCGCTACCGATGTTGATGAGACCGAGGCGGAGTCAGAGGTGGAGCAGCGCCCAACCTTTGGCGTTGTTGGTGATGTTCCGACCTCTGATGATGAAGACATTGACGCCATTCCCTTTGATACGGCCACTTCAATGCGCAGCGCGCCTACGTACAACGCCCCCCCACGCTACACAGAGGTGCGAAGGCTGCAGAATGAGGAATATGAGAACCTTCCCTCGTACCTCTCTTCGATACGCACAATGCACTCGGCCCGTGCGGCTGAGCCGGAGCAGCCGGCAGCTAAAGACTCCCTTGTGTAATTCTCGGGCCACCATTGATCCTTCATAGCCTTTTCGACAGTTCCCTCAGTTGTACATCTCGTTTCCTGTTGAAGCAGGATCGTGCTTTCCACACTTTGCATTTCGCTTGTCCTGGTTCCCATTCTCCTCTCTGCTCAAAACTGGCTTGCACCCTGCGTCCGCACACCCTTTGTTTGCTAACCCCGTATGTTTTTTTTACTGTGTTCGTGTTCTTCCCTCGCGGTCATTACTCAGGTTTCGTGTATCCAAAGTAAATTGCACAAGCTAGCCCATATGTCTCTTTGGTTTTCCTTTTGTTCAGAGCACCAAACCCTACAATTGTTGTACGCTGCGCTCGTGGACCAGTAGGAAGATAGCATTGTCAGCACTTCAGCTACACAGATTCGGTTCGAAGACGGAGCGCGACTGCATCGCAATCCATGACGTCTTCGGCTAGAACACGGGGAACCAGAGTGTCCGCAGCGTTTTGCGCCCATGCCACCACTTGCTCCAGCCAGAGCCAGTGCAACTCGGCACAAGGACGCAAGGCGATTTTATTAGCAAGCCAGCGACATGCGTCGATCAGCTAGTAGACACAAAAGGCGACACATGAGCTGAGAAAGGTTCTTTGAGTTTGAGTGTAGCAAGGATCAAACGCCAAACGGCGAGCGCACCGGTGGTGTCATGTTCTCATGTGGTGGTCCACTCAAAATGCACCAAAGGGCTTCACTTATCAACCCCAAGTCCGCTGCTTCTTCATTGCTCGGCACAACTAGGGCTTCCAGGTCAGCGATCGCGAGATGGCCTTGCACACGCCAAACCGCGCCGAGCAGCTTAGGCTGGGCAGTTGGTACAAGACAACACACGAGACATGATTAGATGAGATGGCCCACGTGCACGTGCATGCAGCGCACGACTATCCGAGCACTTACATGCTGGCCATGTGAACCATGTAGCAGCGCATGCATGACTTGTTTCAGAAGTTGAGGATCACGTGCTTGCACGACCAGAACACAGAGACCCAACGCCTGTGGCAACGTGCTTGGTTCAGCCGCCAGCGCCCGCAGGGTTTGCTTGTCTTGATCACGCCCGCAGGACGGTGCCAGGGCACAGGCGAGAGACCAGGGACAGGGCCCGTCCAGGAGAACACCCAGATATGTTGTGACGGCAGAGAGTGGGACTAGAGCTAGTAGCTGTTGCAGTACGGGCGGATCAACTTGGCTAGCACAGGCCGTCAAAGCTTCCAAGAGGCCTGGATATCTCCGAGTAGAGGCTAAGATATCTTCGTTCCCACAAGATTCCAACACATGAAGAATGTCACGGCACAAGTTCATTCGCGCGCTCATGTCTGGAATGGTTGCACAAAAGGCCGCCCACAGAGTGGCTGCGAGCTCTAGCTGCAGCGGCAAAGCCGTGCTGTTCAGCTGCGAGGGGCACAAGACATATCAACAGGCATGCTTCGACCCAACACTCGCAGGACTGAGGTAGACTCGTGGCACAAGGGCTACAATCATACAATGTTGGCGCAACGTACTGAGAACTTGATGAGATGCTGCTGAAAACACTGAACGGTTCTGGAGTCAAGGGAAGCCAGCCGGACAAGGCTTGCCACAAACACTTCAAAGCAAGTCCAGACATGACCACTGATGTTAATGTCTTGTACTAGAACACGCCAGTTTTGCACACAACACACTGCCCAAGCTCGCTCAAGAGCTGACGAGACCAGTGTGACAGGCTCCAACTGTGATAGCAGGTCGAGGGGGGCGTGGAGGACAATCCAGTGCCAGAGCAGCGCATGGGCAACACTTTCAGCCTCCGTTGCTGTACGCGATCGGAGACAAAAGGACGGCTTGAGATGGAGATGGCTGCTAACTCACAGGCCTTTGCATTGACGGGCAGCGAGGGTCACAAACCGCAATGTAAACTCTCCGCAAGCTGCCAAGCACGACACATGTTGCCTGGGTCCATGGCACGCAACACATCAAAGAGAGCCATGGCCTATGCAACAACAACGACAAAAACCAGCCATATGTCACGTCGTCTCGCGTTCGAAAGACAATTTCTATTGCTAATGCAAGCTCTCTCTCTCCCCCCCCCCCCCCGATGGCGGCTGAGAGCGAATCAGCGTGATGACCGGACGTCAAATCAGGCCTTGCGAGATTCACGAGATCCTTTTCATCGCACATGTAAAGTCACAATCGCCAGCAGAAGCAAGACGGAGAGCTACCACTAGGCCAACTTACGCCAGGCTCGCTAAGGCAAGGCTGCAGCACGCAAGAGGAAAGTCGATGTGGGTGATGGTGCCCAAAGCTTGGACGTGGCGGGCGGTAATGCGCTCAACCAAGCGAAGAAGCTACGCATCGACAAGGATGAGCTTGGCTCAGGCCTGAGCAATCCCATTATGGACCATGAAACATACTTTAAGCTGTTTGGGTGCGAGAGTTCCTGGCTCTCGCCAGGCCGGGACTCCAAACCCCGACAGGAGACCAGTCAGCGCTGGGGTCTGGCAAAGAGGGAGGTATAGACAGGTGGGTGTGAATGAAGACCTTAGGACTAGAATACGCATAATGCCAGTAGCAAGCCAGAGAAAGCGCAACATTGTGCGTTGTACCAGGTTCTCGATCTGGTCAGCTTGGGCATGGGCCAAGAAGCTGTGGTGTCATGCCCAAGATCAGGGTGGACCATGAGGTATAGCTAAAGTTGGCAGTCAGAGGGATTGCTCTCAAAAGCCGCCGAGCATGAACTCACAGCTTTTGCGCTTCGACGACTCGCACGAGAAGCGCGGTGCCAAGGAACGAGGTACGTAAACTCAGCAAAGTCAGATTGGCCTGTAAAAGCTTGAAGAGCTGCTCCGTGCTGGCAGTGTCGGCAAACCCCTTGGAAAACTTGGTGCACAACCCCTAAAACATCGCACCACCCGTGTGGTTAAATCACTGGTGGCAAAGTAAGAGCCTAAGGACTGTGATCAGAAGTTGCATGGTCATAAAAGATACATTGGCGAGACGATGTATGGCCAAGACGGTGTCGATCTGGGGCGCGCAATCCTACGAACAGGCAAATGGTTGAGTCGACGAATGGTCGAGGAACCCCTTTTACGAAACTGTATTATAAAAGGTGCTTACCTGGTGCTGAGCCAGCATTGCCAACGTGTGCAGTGCCGCAAAGGCGTCCTGAGCTTGACTCAGATCAGCAAGCAGGGTCTTTGCTGTCGCAGGCACATTGTGCTGGAGCCAGGCCAACTCCTTGGCTTGGCTCAAAAACGCAAGCGCCATGCCGATACTTTTGGGTCGGGTACGCCTTGAATGCGTCAAGTCAAGCTACACTGCTGCATTGATGCATTTATTGGGCATCATGAGCCAGAGGAGATCAACCACCGTGGTATCCCCACTAGCACCGCCCTGTTGTCGCTTCAATGCCGCTGCCGTTTGTGTGTTGTGGGGCAAGTAGGAAAAAAAAAAAAAAAACGGAAACGAACGGTCAAAAAATGTCAGCCAGAAAGCAACATCATTATCTTAAAATGACATCTTCATTTTATACTGCTTTTGAAGAAGAAGAAGAAGAAGAAGAAGAAAAAGCAGTTTCTTGTCAGACAATCATGGGTTCGCGCTCAGCTGAAGCCCGCGACGGCGGTGGCTGGGATGTGGTGGTGTTGACGTCCCCCGATCGTGATTACCGGGATGGCATCTATAACGGTAAGATATGCCTGGCAACGGGATCGCGCGATCAAGTGCTGAAGAGAACATGGGATTGTTTTGTTTTCTGACCGGGCCACTGAACTGGACGCCCAATGTTTTCATCTTGTAGAGTTTGTGTTGCGCCAGCAGCTGGGTTTGCTGTGCCCGGAGGTAGGCTGTTGCCAGGCGCATCTTGCTTTGGTTTCCTGTTTTTCTTGTTTGAAAGGGATGTCATGGTTGTTGTTGGGCATCAAGCATCCCATTGACTCGCGGTGACTTTGTCTAGGCACACATCATGGCCGTCGAGGACCCCGAAACACCTGTGGGCAGCGGCGGGGCGACGCTCAATGCTTTGCTAGTGGCCACCGAATACTTGAGCGCGCGGGCCGGCCACACTGTCGTTACGGCGGACGTTCTGCAACGCGTGCACGTCCTGATCGTTCACATTGGCACGCCGCGTTTAGCAGACGTATGCGGCAAAGCTTTTCTTCCTCTGGCAGCCGAATCCGATGTGGGAGCCAATCTCTTGACGAACGTTGATCTGCTGCTCAAGCAAATGACGCATATTCGCCAAAGTGAGAGTTTCCTGTTCAGCTCACCGCAATGAGCACTCGGCATATCCGGGCTGCTGTACCGTCGCTTTGCCACCCAGCCTTCATGAATTTCGTGATACCCTTGCGGGCGCATGTGCATCATAGGCGCCGATCCTGGCGTGTGGGTGTGCAGTACGGACATGCTCTTGACCTTTGACCTGGCAGCACCTCTTGCGTGGCCGTGTGCAGTATGTTGCCAATGCTTCGTGTTTAAGCATCTCCCTACAGCTTCTTACAATCAAAACGAGAGGAGCCGAACACCGCTTGCTTTGCTCAAATACTGCGATTGACGACCAGTTGCTGTTTGGCTCTGCATTCACCATGCGTTTGTATGCTGTAGCCCATTGTAGCTGCTACCGTGCGTGGGACAGCCGAGCAGGCGAAGCAGGTCTGGAAGCCCAACAGCAATCCCAGGCACTTGCGCCCGCCTTCGGTTCAGAGGCGGCACTCCTTCATCTCATCTCACAGAGTTCTTCCCGGTGACGGTTCTAGCATGGCGTCTATCAACTGGACCAAGATGGCAACGTGCTGGACCTGATATATCGTGGCACCGAGTCTGAACGTGCGCACTGCGCACAAGATCATGGCTATCCCCTGGTAAGACGGTTTCCTTTTTGCACGCAGCCACAGTTCTAGTGGTTCTTCAAGGACAAAGCGTTTCACTCAAACGCCTTCGAACGCCGCTCATATCATGTAGGTGGTTGGGCTGATATACTTTGCTCAAGCTGTGGCAGAGACGCTATTGGCCCTGCATGTTATGCCACCACTCGATGCCTGCACCTACCTGGGGCTTGATAATGGTAAGGAAGACAAGTAGGGACTCGACAGTGCCAGCTCATGTCCTGGGTGGCCAGAGACCTGTCCGTGGCTCATTAATACCATGCAACGTGTCTGCAGGGGCCAGTCCATTCCGCCTCTCCTTGTTTTTAGACTTGGTGCGCGCCGCTTTGCCTGCGGCCAAAGGGGATAGGTTTCTTGATTGTGCGTCACCCCTCTCTCCTCACGCCCATGTGGGCCACTTGTTGGAATTCCTGGCCTCTATCTGTGCTGCGTCATTGTTGACTGCATACTGATTTTGCTGCTACAATGTAGGTCCGGACCAACCATTGCTGGTTCAGGCACGGCGAAAGCTCAGGCATTGTTTGCGCCACGCACATGTGGCCGCGCTCGAGCTACCTGGTAAATACTGGATCCGTGACAAATGTCGAGCGTTTCTTTGACACGGCTGGGCGAGTAGCCGAGGGTTGATTTTCACGCGTCACGCATTGTGGGCTGCTTTAGGCGGACGCTACGACTACCTGCAGGCCACCATCGCTGGTGTTGCTCAAGCTGTTCGGGTGCCTGCCCTGCCAGTCATGCCCGTCCCAGGCTTTACCCCCAAGCCGCATGTGCATTATGTAGGCCTTACGGCAACGTCGATCGAACGATCGGCCAATCGGTTTGGGGACGCGTGGGTGCCAAGGCGCGCAAGCCTTCGTCAGCACCTTACACACGGACGTGTCGGCGGCATGCGTGTTTTAGATTGATCGTCGGTGCAACGGGGCGAAGCTAGTGCAAAGCCAGTGTGTGATTAATAGCGTGATGGAGGAGAGCACGTCTTTGGGCGAACAATGCACCGTGCTGCACACGCAAACCTCATGCCGAGTACGTGCAATCTATCGAGCCTTTGACGCTCCGTGCCATCCGACTGCTCATGACTAGCTCACGTTTGTGGTGCTAGCAGACCGTTGTAGGAGCAGGCGCTTTCATAGCCAACATGACCCTACACAATGCTGATTCGGAATTCCAGGTGGCAGCAGGTGCGCCATTGTAGTTGTTTCAAAACAGCGCCATGAACGATGCCATTGGTCAGGGCTCTAGGTGCTATCCGGCGCCCCCACTTGCTGAGGTTGAATCCCACCCTCTTTTTATTTTTGCCTTCATTTGCAGATGTAGCAGTCATTGGCCTGACCCTGGCCCCGGACAAATTGGGCTGTGCGCCCAACAGCGTTGTTGCTATTGTTCTAGGGTGCCACGATTCCCTCGAGGCGACAGAAGTGCGTCTTACCAGCTTTACAACAAAGCAATGAAAGCTTGCGTGCACCCACGCATATGAGTTTGTATGGATGCGTGGTGATATGGCCTGGTTTGCTCTTAGGAGCAGGATGAGACCTACTTGGGCCAGCCATGGACAGCATTCCTGGCACGCACGGGCTTGCATGCTAATGATCTGGTGCGTCGAGGCACATTGCAATTTAAGATGATCGTGCTGATGTTAGGGGGGATAATGTCAAAGTTGCAGCATGGTTGGGAGTTTGGATACTGGGCACTCACTTTTTGTTTCGTTTCTCACGATTGGACTCTCATTTCAGTGGAGGAAAGGCGAGCGCCCGTGCTTGCAGACGGCACGACTATTCCCCATTGCAACTTCGGTTAGTGCACACGTCATGATAGGGCTGACTTCGAGGGTGGCCGGCGGCCGGCCGACCTCGGAAGCTTGTGGGCTCTTGCCCCTCACTTGTTCTTGCGGTGATTATTTGAATGGCAGCTTGAGGAAGCCTGGCGGTTGAGTAGCTGGCTACAGGCTGTTTTTAGTGCAGATGATTGCGTCGATCAGATCGAGGCTTGGCGCTTTCGTCATCGCATCAGCCTGCAGGAGGCTCTGCATTGTGTTGACTTATCGCAGCAGGTAAGATCCCATGAGGCTGGCGCAAAAGTCAAGCTCAGTTTGCTTTTTGGTCAACATCAGGGGAGCGGTTCTCACTCAGACCGCTTACTTTCTGGTGAAATGATATAGCTGCGTTCCCGACACGACCTGTACGATAAGATCGCCACGCACAACCTCGAGCACGCGCTGTGCGCCCCAGAGCGCCAGGATTATAGCGCAATGGTGAGCTTGCAGAGTGTCATATGAGCAAGGCTGAAGGTGCATATGCGGGTGGCATGTCGCCCGCGCATCAGAGGGACTGAGGCAGCTAACGTGCCTGTGTGCCACCTTAGGTTCACAACACGCTGTGCCGAATGCGCTTGTTCTTCGCACGAGCCGCACATCGCCAGCCACGTGCCTTGATTGGTTGTCTTCACACGGTGGCCATGCAGACGGGCTCGCCAGGTGTTGCGGCGCATGCTTTAGCATGTGTGGCCAGCATGCTTGGGGCCATGTGTCATGGGCGTGGTGGCCTGCGCTCTGGTCCCGGGCGGAATGCCCGGTTTGCAGCTGCTTACGAGTGCCTGGACCGTTTGGACGTGAGGGGCGGCGTGCAAATTTTGGCGGCTGAGTGCGATCGCTGGTTGGATTCTCCCGAAAAAATGATCCGAGCTTCGCGGCATTACGAGTCGGCGGCTCAGATCCTGATCCGTCATGCAGTGATGACGGCACGGCAGTTTATCACTGTCTCGCAAAGGCCGTCGTATCCTCTAGGCCGTTGGGCCGTGGCACGCGTGCCGGCACGCCTTGACTTGGCGGGCGGGTGGAGTGATACGCCTCCACTGACATACGAACATGGGGGCGTCGTGACCAACGTGGCCATTTTGATTGATGGCCAGCGTCCTATTGGGGCCAAGTGTCGTCGGATCTCGGAGCCGAAGCTGGTGCTGGTGCTGGTAGGCGATCCGGACGAGGTACTGGAGCTCACCGAGTTGGAACAGCTGCGAAATTACACTCAACCACAAGCTCCCGGTGCCTTACTTAAAGCTGCCTTTTGTTGTGTCGAGGCTGTTGATCTGGATGATCCACGCCCCTTGCGAGAGCAGTTGCTGGCCAAGTTTGGCGGCGGATTTGAGTTGCACAGCTGGTCCCACCTCCCTCAGGGCTCAGGTGTGTTGCGTGTTGGAATGGAGCAACGTCTTCAGACAACAAAGGATTTCGTGTCCGTGGTTGTGTGCATGTGCTTGAAGCATGGCATGTTGACAAACTGCGCGATTGACTTTTGCGTCGTAGGTTTGGGGACGTCGTCCATCTTGGCGGGGGCGGTCATGGCGGCCCTGTCGGCCACGACAGGTCGCGAGTATGACCGTGTGGCATTGAACCATGCCGTGTTGCATCTCGAACAGATGCTGACGACCGGTGGGGGCTGGCAAGACCAGGTATGATGGGGCTACCAGTGTCTGCAACTAGTCCATTATGATCTTGGGCCGGGCCCATCAACATCACGAATCGATACGTTCATGCATCCATGCATCCTCCAGGTTGGAGGAATGGACGGAGGCATCAAGTTGACGCGCTCACCGCCAGGCCTTCCGTTGAAGATTGAAGTTGATCGCCTGTCCATCGAGCCAACCTTTCTGCAAGCGCTGAGCGATCATTTGGTGCGTTATGCGGCGGGTGGTCAACAAAAAGCTCGGGCGCATGCTTGCGCTGACGTTGGTGTCGCCGCACCCTCTGCGTGCGCTTTTTTTTTTTTTTTTGCTCGAGCGGGCCTGAGATGCACAACTGTTGGCATGGCTCAGCGTGTTGATCAGATTGAAAGACTCAGATCGAAAGGCTCACGCTCTCCAATGCAATCGGACTCTCTTCTAGGTGCTCATCTACACGGGCAAGACGCGTTTGGCCCGCAATCTATTGCAGAACGTGATTCGCAACTGGTGGGGCAATGGTGGTCAAACAGCCGGCTGCGCCGTAATTGAAGTGGCAGGGGCCTCACGTCAATGTATCGCCTGGTAGGTACGCTCGGACGGCCGAAATCGTAGCCAATGTAGACGCACTCACAGTCACTGCCGAAGAATGTGCCGAGGTACGTGGGTGTGCCTTTGCGAGCGGTCATTTTGCACGCCCGCAGTGAACGGATCGGCCCTGATATTACTTGTGTTGTCATGTGACGTGCGTGCGTGTGCGGCTTTGGCATCTTGGCGCACAGGCATGCTTGCAGCAGGACATGGTTAAGGTGGGACAGTGTGTTGATGCGTACTGGGCTCAGAAGAAGGTGATGGCCCCAGGTTGCGAGCCCGCCTTTGTGGCCAGGTTGGTGATTGGCGTGGTCATGGGGACTTTTGTCTGTTAGATTGCCCTGTGTATGTGCGTGCGTGCGTGCGTGCGTGCGTGTGTTTGAGAACTGGTGGTGGCGGCCTTTTCCAGTTCATCATCGTTTGTTTCGACGGCAGAATGATGGCGGCTTTCAAGCCGCACGTGTACGGGCAGGCCTTGGCCGGTGCGGGTGGCGGTGGATTCATGTTTGCTTTAGCCAAATCTGCGGCAGATAAAGCGAAGATGCAGTGGATCCTCGCCAATGACTTTGCACAACACGCCGACGTTGTCTTCCACCAAGTGGCCATTGATCCTGAGGGCTTGGTGGTCGTGACGGAGGAAGCCGAAAGCACTGATCTCGATTGATCGGGGTTTGTTTTATCATTTGTCAGGCAGTCGTGTTCTTCGATCACATCCGCAACCCCTAAACTCTGTCCGTAAACTCTGGGCTTTTAAATTACGCCAGAATCCAGTCCACACACAATGTGCGAATCTTATTGCAGCAGAACAAGGTGGCGGAGCCCTTTGCTGTTGAGTTGAGGGACATGCGACGTGTCAACGAACTGACGCTTGGCGTTGCGTTTAAACCCCTCTGTCTCCTGCCGAACACCACCACTTAACATGTAAACACGTGAAACGTGCCCGCGCGTGTCACCGTTTGCTCGAGATCCAAATCGATCGCCTTGCTGCGAAATCAAAACTGTCGTTGGTGTTGAAAAGTGCTGTCCGGGCATGGACTGTCCGCAATGCTTGCCCGCTCGGCTCTCGTCTCCTTACCTCCCCCACCCCATCCCCTCACGGCACCTCCCTCCCCAATGCTGTCTCAAAAAGGCTGCAAATTGAGACAGCATCAGCATACGCATCACCGGCATCACATGTCTTGACAAACATCAACAAAACCTCCAAAACATCATCACCACTCCAATCATCCTAGCAACTCTAACCATGTCCCAAACTCAGAATTCTACTGCAAAAAGTAACATTATTTACATTAACGAATCTGCATAAATACCTGATATCGATGCATGAACAGACACAACCGCAGCTCGAAGGCACAGAACCCGTGCAAACATTTGCGGGGTCGCACAATCGGCGATCTCCACAAAACAGGAACAACGAGCGTCTGCATCTTCGCTCGCTCGCCACCATGGCACATGCATGCAGCTTGGCACCTCGGGAACGAGAGCTACAAGGCTTATGCCGCACGAGTGATCACCATGGCACACTCACACACACACACCCACACCCCCCCCACACACGCACACAGCGTTGCCTGTGGTTGTTTATGTTTCTGCCAGTAACCGCCGAACGCATCCTCCGCTTCCATTGCCCCCGCTTCCACTGCGTTCGGTCGGTCGGTCGGTCGATCCATCAAAAGCTCGGGTCGACAGCCAGTTATTTTTTTTTTCCGATTTTCGTGGCGAGCGCCTGCCTTGCGTCCTTTTCTTCCTTTCGCTGCAGTCGCCACCTGCGTTCATTCATCTGACCACACCTTTGTCAGGTATGATCCATGCGCAGGCAGTCAGGAGTGCTTTGAGCCTCATTCACGCCCACCACGCCCACGCTCAGGGATGGCAGCGGTGTGGCAGTGGGCACAGCACACTCACTCACCTGGTTCAGTTCTACTGTGGCGTGGTAGCGCTCACCAATCGATTGACCTCTACTGGCTTTTGACCCAGGACCTACATCACTCGCCCACCATCCCACTTGCTGGTCTCCAGATTGAAGAGGTGAGAAGGCACGGCTCACGTGCCATCATGCTCTGCGAGTTGTGGCCCCTTTCTTCTGACACGCTGCTGGTGCCCCGCCTTTAGGGAGTTCCTCCATTCACCGCCACGGCCAAGCAGGCCTTTTCATTAAGCTAGACATAGGCGTAGACTAGCATTAGAGCCTTAGGATAAGGATTACACGGGTGGCCATAAATCCGGCACTGTTCTTCTAGAAGTAGCATCATGGACTCTGCCATGTTGCAGCCACGAGAGGCCTTGGGACTTTATGATCCCGCACAAGAGCGCGATGCCTGCGGCGTCGGCCTGATTGCCCAGCTGCACGGGAACCCCGACCGAAGTATTGTTATCGATGCGCTGAGCATGCTCAGCCGCATGTTTCATCGCGGTGCCACTGGTGTTGATGAGGCCAGTGGCGATGGCGCCGGCATGCTTGCCCGCCTGCCCCGCCGCTTCCTGACCAAAGTGCGTCTTTTCCGTCCTCGGCAACCTACTCCTACGCGGTGCAAGTCCAATTCACTTGACAATCGGCTTTGCGACCACCCTTGACCTGTAGGTGGCACTTGAATTGAATATCGAGTTGCCCGAGCTTTATGGCGTGGGTATGCTGTTCTTGGCGCAGAGCCAGGACACTCAAGCCGAATTGCAGTCCATCGTCGAAGCGGTAAGCTCTATGGCCCCTTCAACAGAGACAGAAGCTTGCCGTGCTTTGCAATACCCTTGTCTCGTGTTTAACTTGCCTTGGCTCGAGTATTCTCTCATGCGCCTGTCTTTCACCACCTTTTTTCTCACTCATGGCTTAGACGCTTATCGCCAACGGAATGACTCTGCTGGGTTGGCGTCGAGTCCCAACCAACGGCGACATCCTCGGCAAGGCCAGCAAGGCCGACGAACCGGCCATCTTCCAGCTCTTTCTTGCCCCCACTGATGCGAGCATCGATCCAGTTCATCTCGAGCGCCAGCTTTACATAGTTCGCCAACAGAGCTGGAATGCAGCTCAAGCCGTCCTCTACCGCGATGGCCGTGCGGGTCGCCCCTCTGAATTTCACTTTGCCTCCCTTTCGTGCAAGACCATCGTCTACAAGGGGCAACTCACCGCACGACAAGTCTTGCCCTACTTTACCGATCTCAACGACGACGACTTTGAGACTGATTTGGCCTTGGTCCACTCTCGCTTCTCAACCAACACCTTCCCCAGTTGGGATCGAGCCCAACCAAACCGGTGCATGAGCCACAACGGCGAGATCAACACGGTGCGGGGCAACATCAACTCGATGGGTGCCCGCCAGGGCCTCATGAAAGCCAAGACGTTGGGCCTCACTCCGGAGCAGCTCAAATCAATCATGCCCATCATTCCACCGGGTCTCAGCGACTCTGGCGACTTTAATGCGGTTCTTGAGTTTCTCATGGCTAGCGGTCGATCCGCTCCCGAATGCATGATGATGATGATTCCCGAAGCCTGGCAAAACGCTCCAAACATGGACCCAGAGCGCCGTGCCTTTTACGAGTACATGTCCTGTTTGATGGAGCCCTGGGATGGCCCTGCGCTTGTGGCATTTACCGATGGCCGCTACGTTGGCGCCACCCTGGATCGTAATGGCCTCCGCCCGGGTCGGTACTATGAAATGACCGACGGGCGCGTCATCATGGCCTCAGAGTTTGGCGTCGTCACCGTCAATGATGCAGATGTTAAGCACAAGGGGCGCCTCAGTCCTGGACGCATGCTCATGATTGACTTTGACGAGCACCGCATCGTACTTGATGAAGAACTCAAGGCTCGGTAAGCCGCTTCTCTCTGGCTCAAGGCTGGCTCTTCGCAACTTTTTTTTTGTCCTTTTTTCTTTTATATGTATAAATTCCCCGCTCATTGGCTTTGCTGCTGCTGCTGCCCGCGACGCTTTAGCTTTACATCACGCTTTCCGTTTGCCGAGTGGCTGCGAGAGCATAAGCGCACCCTACAGCACTTTGTATCTCCTGAGGAAGTGGCCGCTGCCGAGACAGCTGTGGGCGCCGGCCCTGTGGCGGACATTGTCAAGGAAATGGCAGCCTTTGGCTGGACGCGTGAATCCATGAACTTGATCCTGCAGCCCATGCTCAAGGATGGGATGGAGGCGCTCGGCTCCATGGGCAATGACGCTCCCTTGGCTTGCCTCTCCCAGCGTTCTCGCCTCCTGTTCGACTTTTTCAAGCAACTCTTTGCGCAAGTGTCCAACCCGCCCCTCGACTCGACCCGTGAATACATTGTCATGTCTCTTGTATGCATGGTGGGGCCTGAAGGCGACTTGGCCGATACCACCCCGGAACAAGCTGGTCGGCTCAGCCTTGAGCATCCCTTCCTTCTTGATCACGAGCTACAAGGACTGCAGCGTGGCATTGCTGGCTGGCCTACAATCACCTTGGACTTTACCTTTCCCGTCGAGGAGGGCCCAAAGGGCTTGCAAGCTGCCATTGCTCGCCTGCAAGAAGCTGCCGTCTCGGCCGTCCGTGACAAGGGTTCCACTTTGATCATTCTCTCCGACCGCACAGCCGATGCCACGCGCGTGGCCATGCCCAGTCTCATGGCCGTGGGCTGCGTGCATCATATCCTAGTGGCCCAAGAGCTTCGCATGCGCACCGCTCTTGTGGTTGATACGGCCGAGGCGCGTGAGGTGCACCACATGTGCGCTTTGGTTGGGTATGGCGTCGACGCAATTTGCCCGCGGTTGGCTCTCGATGTCATCAGCCGCTGGCAATTTGACCAGGCTGCCATGGCCCGAGACACAGTGCGCATGGAAGCACCCGCCAGCGTCGCAGAGCTGTACCGGCGCTACTTTTATGCCCTTGGCAAGGGTATGCTCAAGGTTATGGCCAAGATGGGTATCTCAACCCTCCAAAGCTACAAGGGTGCACAAATTTTCGAGGCTGTGGGGTTGTCCTCAGACATCATCGACGTGTGTTTCTGCGGAACAGCCTCGCGTATTGGCGGTCTGACCTTTAACGACGTGGCTGACAACATCCTGGCTCAGCACGCGGTTTCATATCCGACTGCACACGCGCCTGAGCTCGGCCGCCTCTTGCCCGAGGCTGGCGAGTATCATTACCGCTCGCTTCAAAATGCCGAGCGCCATCTGAATGACCCCATCGCCATGTCCAAGATGCAACACGCTGTCCGCACCAACAACAAAGAAGTTTACAGCGAGTACACGCGCATCATCAACGAGATCAATCGGCACACGACCATTCGCGGCTTGCTCAAGTTTGACACGTCTAAGAGCCAGCCAATTCCCCTGGATCAAGTTGAGTCGGCCGCTGACATTGTCAAGCGCTTTGCCACCGGAGCTATGAGCTATGGTAGCATTTCACTCGAGGCTCACTCCACCCTAGCTGTGGCCATGAACCGCATCGGGGCCAAGAGTAACACGGGCGAAGGCGGTGAAGCGCCAGCCCGCTTGCGACCGGGTGCCGATGGCAAAGATCATCCTGCACGCTCCGCCATTAAGCAAATCGCCTCGGGCCGCTTTGGTGTGACGAGTGAATATCTCACCCACGCCGACGAGCTGCAGATCAAGATGGCCCAGGGTGCCAAGCCCGGTGAGGGCGGTGAGCTGCCCGGACGCAAGGTCAACGCCAAGATTGCTGCTGTGCGCCACTCCACGCCCGGCGTTGGCCTCATTTCGCCGCCGCCACATCATGACATCTACTCGATCGAAGACTTGAAGCAGCTCATTTTCGATTTGAAAAACGCCAACCCTCGTGCTCGAATCTCAGTCAAGCTTGTGGCCGAGGTTGGCGTGGGTGTCGTGGCCAGCGGTGTGTGCAAGGCTGGTGCAGACCACGTGCTCGTCAGCGGTCACGATGGCGGAACCGGTGCATCACGCTGGACAGGTATCAAGCACGCGGGGCTTCCTTGGGAACTGGGCCTTGCCGAGACGCATCAGACGCTGGTGCTCAATGACCTGCGTCGCCGCATCGTCATCCAGACAGACGGTCAGCTCAAGACGGGACGGGACGTCGTCATTGCCGCCCTACTGGGCGCTGAAGAATTTTGCTTCGCCACGGCGCCGCTCATTGCCTTGGGCTGCATCATGATGCGCAAGTGCCACCTCAACACCTGCCCTGTTGGGATCGCGACCCAGGACCCCGTGCTGCGCAAAAAGTTTCAAGGGCAGCCGGAACACGTGATTAACTTCTTCTTCATGTTGGCAGAGGAGGTTCGGGCCCTGATGGCTCAGCTCGGCGTGGCCAGCTTCAAGGACTTGGTGGGCCGCAGCGAGTACCTGGCGGTCGACGATGAGCTCTTGAGTAGCACTCGTCACTACGGCAACTTTCGGCTCGAGGAGACTTTGCTCCGTCCTGCCCATGAAATGCGTCCCAACGTGGCTACGTGCTGCATTGAGGCTCAGCCCGACACCCTCGCCAACCAATTGGACCACAGCATCATTGCAGCCGTGCAGGAAACACTCGACAATGTCAGTGAACCGGTGCGCTGCGAAGTGGAGTTTCCCATTGCCAACACGAATCGCGCCGTCGGCACGATGCTTTCACACGAAGTGACGCGACGCTGCACTGGCAACCCGCTTCCGGACGACACTTTGCATCTCAAGTTCAAGGGATCAGCTGGCCAGTCGTTCGGGGCTTGGGTATGCCAGGGCATCACTCTTGAGCTCGAGGGCGATGCCAATGACTACGTGGGCAAGGGGCTCTGTGGCGGTCGCATCATTGTGTATCCACCGCGCACTTCGCGCTTTGCCGCAGAGGAGAACATTCTTGCCGGTAACGTAGTAGCATATGGCGCCACCAGCGGTGAGATCTTCTTGAACGGCCGAGCGGCCGAGCGGTTCTGCGTTCGCAACTCGGGCATTACGGCTGTTGTCGAGGGTGTTGGAGATCATGGGTGCGAATACATGACTGGTGGTACAGTGGTGGTGCTTGGCGCCACCGGTCGCAACTTTGCGGCTGGCATGTCGGGCGGTACGGCCTACGTGTTGGATCCGGCTCGGCAGTTTGCGCCTCGTTGCAACACGGAGCTGGTCGATCTGGAGGCCCCCTCAGAAGCCGATGGCATTGCATTGCGCACCCTGGTGCGACAGCACCACGAGTATACCAATTCAGCCTTGGCGGCACGCTTACTAGCAGACTGGGACAACACGCTAAGCCACTTCATCAAGGTGATGCCTCGAGAATATCGCGAGGCCCTCAAAAAGGCGGAGGACCGTCGCGAGCAAAGCAAAGCACGCAAGGCACGTCACGCCGCGCAGGTGGCTGCGCGAGCGGCTGTGGCAGCTGGCAGCGGTGCCCCAGCTGACTTGGAAGAGGCTAGTGCCGGGGTCAACAGCTTGGAAAAGTGGGCCGCCCAGATGAAGGCACAACAGGAACAGGGACAAGAAGAGCTCTCCGACGGAGGTAGCACGGACTCGGAGGACTCGGGTATTGACACGCATCGCCCTCATGCCGTGGCAGAGGCGGACAAGCGTCGCGGGTTTATTGCGTATGATCGCGCCGTGGCTGGCTATCGCGACGTTAAGGAACGCACGGGCGATTGGCAAGAGCTGGCCAAGCCGCTGGCACCGGATGCGGCCGAGCAGCTCTTGCATACCCAAACAGCCCGTTGCATGGATTGCGGTGTGCCCTTTTGCAATCAAAAGACGACGGGGTGCCCGCTGGGCAATCTGATTCCTGATTTCAACGACCTGGTCCACCGGGGTGAATGGCACGAGGCGTACTTGAAACTGTCAGAGACAAACAACTTTCCCGAGTTTACGGGTCGAGTGTGCCCGGCGCCGTGTGAGGGCTCCTGTGTTCTAGGCATCATTGATAGCCCAGTGGCCATTAAGAGTGTGGAATGCTCCATCATCGACCGCGCTTTTGCTGAGGGCTGGGTCAAGCCGCAGCCACCAGCACAGCGAACGGGCCGCTCGGTGGCCATTGTGGGCTCAGGGCCATCGGGCCTGGCGGCAGCCGACCAATTAAACAAGGCAGGTCATCAGGTGGTCGTGTACGAGCGGGCCGATCGTATCGGAGGTCTGATGATGTATGGCGTACCAAACATGAAGGCGGACAAGCTCAATGTGGTGCAGCGCCGCGTGGACTTGATGGCCCAAGAAGGAGTGGATTTCCGAACCAACGTCAACGTGGGTGCAGATGTGACGGTTGCCAGCCTGCGAGAGGCTCACGACGCTCTCGTATTTGCGGTGGGCTCCACGGTGCCACGTGACTTGCCCATCCCGGGCCGCGAGCTGACCGGCGTGCACTTTGCGATGGATTTCTTGACGGAGAACACCAAACACGTCTTGGCAAGCGAGGGTTCTACCGTGGAACCACGCCGCATTGACGTGCGGGGCAAGCGCGTGGTTGTCATTGGCGGCGGCGACACGGGCAACGACTGCATTGGCACGGCCGTGCGCCTCGGCGCTGCCTCAGTCGTCAACTTTGAGCTTCTGCCACAGCCGGCAGAAAAGCGGGGGGCAGACAACCCCTGGCCAGAATGGCCACGTATCTTCCGGGTGGACTATGGACACCAGGAGGCGGCCCTCGCCACGGGTAGTGACATACGCGAGTACTGTGTGCTTAGCACTCGCTTCTTGGGTACGGACGCAGGCGCTTTGCGCGGCATTGAAACCGTGCGGGTAGCCTGGAATCGCGATGATTCGGGACGATGGAACATGGAAAAGCAGCCTGATACCACGCATATCTTTGAAGCGGATGTGGTGTTGCTGGCCATGGGCTTTTTGCACCCTGAGCCTGGACCAGCCGAGGCAGCCAATGTGGCACGAGACACGCGCGGAAACTACCAGGCCGATTTTGGCTCGTTTGCTACTAGTGAAAAGGGCGTCTTCGCAGCTGGTGACTGCCGGCGCGGCCAAAGCTTGGTGGTTTGGGCGATATCCGAGGGTCGAGGCGTTGCTGCTGCCGTCGATGCCTACCTAGCAAACTGTGAACGTACCGCCGCATCATAAAAATTGAATTCACAGTCACTTCCTTTTATTCATTTTTGTGTGTTTGATGTGTGTGAAAAGCGAATCAAAAAAGGTTCATGCACGCAAGCAAGGGAAAGAAGAGATCGCCTTGGCCCACACACACGCACACACAATTTTTTTTTTCTTCTGTTGTCGTTGTGGTGAACATCAATGAGACAAGCCAAAACCAAATCGGCATCAGGCTGCGATTGGGCTTCTTGGAGGTCGCCAGCGTCGCTGTCGTGAAAGAGGTTAGTAGAATCGACATTGAGTTGCAGGTGGATCTTTCTCACGATCTTTTCTTCGACGTCTGTTGGTTGTCGCCCTCGCGACTTAAATAGCAATCTCGATGGAAGGGGACGCCCCCACCGAGGGCAAGGCACCACGCGCCTCATCTTGGGCGCCAGGGACGCAGGGCTGCTTCATAGCAAGCCGTGTGAGTTCGGCAACTTGTGCAAGCAGCGGATATTGCGCAGATGATGAGGCCGACGGCGCTGCCGTGCTGGGCACGGTAGGCCGGCGAAGATCCGTGCCAGCCGTTCGTGTGTATCAGCCCGGAACACGCTATCCTCCCAAGCGGCATGTAGAGGCAAGTCAGGGTGACGGTCGCACTGTCCTCGCTGGTCTGAAAAACGGCGCGTGCGTGCGCGTAAACACGCCCTTCCGCTTGCTAGCCCCCAGACATTACTCACAAGATGCGTGCGCCATCCACTACAGGTGCAGCTGCAGCTTTTGCTGGCATTTGGTGCATACTGCCGCGAACAAGGCCTTGCACCTAATGGCCGGCGAGAGGCCCTGTTTGAGCGGCAAGTCTTGCGAGGCTTGGATGAGGAGGATCTGGCCCAGGCACTGCCTTATGCCTCCCTGCGTCGTTACCTGGCCCGGCGTGCTGCGCGGGTTCGACGTCGCTCCAAAACGCAACGGTCAACATCGGCTCAACAGCAGAGCCCCTTGTTTGCCGCTGGTTGGCAAAGCGTTGAGGAAGCGGAGCCCTGCTCCTCGCTGCCACACGCTGGCGTTCGGCTTGTGACCGGGCGGCGCCCTAAAAGTCTACCTTGGTACTCACAGCCCCTTCTTTCGCACGCTGAACTCATGCGTCTCTGCCAACAGCGTGCCCACCCGACAAAACGCCGGCTTGCTGCGCTTCTCATGCAACAGCCAGAACAGAACATTCCCAACTGACGCATCTCTTCTCATGGCGCAGCGTGATGTGCGACGGCGCTAGAGTGAGCTGCGCCTCGCGGTGCCGGGTTGAAGGACGCCGAAATATCTTAATTAACATGTAACATTCTCATAGAATCATGGTTGCACGGAGTTTTCATGTCGATTACGTTCTTTGAACTGCACAGGGACCAGAGCCCTTGTGACACTGCATAAACAAGTACAGGCTTTGGAGCACGATCAGAGTAAAGAATACGGAACAACAAGCGACCAGAGCGCTAACACGGACACACAGCAGCTCTTGAAGTCAGCATGAGAACAAGCCACGGGCACAACAGCGGACAGGGCTATTGAGGGCAGCATTGGGTGCTAGCGTCAAGCTTCTTCAATCAGAGGAATCTATGCGAGGGCGCGGGCCCATTCTCCCGCATTTACGCCCTATGGCAAGGCAGGCAATGCAAGGGCACGCTGGTCAGGGGAGAGGCTGGCCAGTTAATGAGCGGGTCAAAAGGGGGCGTACCACCGCTTGAGGGTCGCCTTGACCAAAGTGGCGCGCAATTGTGCGAATGGCATGGGGGGTAAGCTCTGGGATCACATCCGCCACTGTTTTTTCAAAATCTTCCAACGATAGCACCGAATCCTGCAGCGTGCAGAAAAGCAGGCATGAGGTGTTGACAACGTTAGCAGTCCCCAATATGGGTTGTCCAAAGCTCATCGCTCGCACTCTTGGGTGGTCTTGATCGCAGCAAACGTCCGGGCAGCTACCAACGTACCTCGCCGCCCACTGCGGTCAGCACATCCTCCGTTTGACCTGCCACGGCAGCGCGGCACTGCTCCATGCAGCGCTCAATATCCGATTCGGGGTGCTGCGATGGCAAGCCACAAAGGTCGTCAGTTGGAGGTTAGCAGGGCCAGAGAGGAAGCGGTGCATGACATGGCATAAGATAAGCGGTTTGTTTGAGCGCATGACCAACCTTGGCGTTCTCAAGGTACTGGTAGGTAAAATCCGAGGCATCAATGATGATGAAGCGAAAGCTGTTCAGGTTGATGGGGTTCCCCACGACAAAGTCGAAGAGGTTAAGGCGGCGGCTCTTATCTGCCGTCTTGAGAGGGCGTCGCTCAATAAACTTGCCACCCATCACGCCTGAATTGCGCTGAGCCACCTCAAACACTGAAATGGTGTCGTCTGCCAGGAAGTAGCTAATTGTGAAGCGACGGGGTCCATCAATTGAGTCTGACGTGTCAAAGCGGGCAGTGAACTGCAGCTTGTTTGAGCCCTCCTGTTGGGGGTTGATGCCAACGAACAGCCAAGGTGGAAGGAAAGAAGCAAAACAGAGTGGAACGGGGTGAGAAGTGTCTGCAGCGGCGATGTCCGGCAGTAGGGCAAGCCATTCCATCAAGTGGGCGCACCTTGAACCACTTGCCAAACTCCTTCTTTGGTGGCTTTGGAATTAGGTGGTTGACGCTGACGAGTGAGTCTTCGTCTGAGCCAATGCCCGTATGAGGCGGAATCGGGGCCTCAAAGACTTGCTTCACGGGCTCTTCCAGCTCGACGGGGGCGAAATCCTCAATGCCAAAGGTGTCTCGGTAGTAGCGTTTGGTAAAGTCGTCGCAGTCACACAAAAGCATCTGGCGTCCAAAGACATTGATTGTGCATCCAACCTCCAGATCGCGATCGGTGTAATGAGCGCTCGTGCCATCACCCAGTTGCAGACTGTCCAAGATTGAGCGTCCCTTCATGCCGTCCTTGGCAAACACGTTGAGAAGTGTGCGCGAGGTGACGGCACCCGGAGCCGCGACTGAATGCGAGTGATCCTATCGTCAAAAGGTGCATACAGGGGTAAGCATGTGACGCTCTGAGCCTCTTTGATGCACGCGAGGGAGGGTACCGGGCGTGCCTTGGGTAGCTTTTGACGTTTAAGGAAGATGCCGGGGCCATCGCGACCCGAGTTGTTTTGCTGCACTTCACGGACTTCGACCGTGTCATCGGCCAAGAAGTAGTGGACGATCATGTAGCGGCGCTCGCTTTCTCCGTTGCCGGTATCGTCCCAAACGGCGTAGAAGCGAAGGACGCAGCGGTCGTTGTCCAGAAACTTCTTGAGCTTGTCCTGACGCTCGTACGGACGCAGCGGCACCTGAGCCTCGTGTTGATCCGCTCGCAGGCGGGCATAGGGGTCATCCGGCATGGGTTGGGCCTCGCCCACCTCAAAGCCAAGGCGCGTCAGAAAGTCGCGCGTAAAGGCGTCGCAATCGACAATCATAAAAGTACGACCATAAAAGGTCACCTGCTCACCCAGGTTGAAATCGTCAACCTTGAAGAAATCATCATCGTTGGGGGCAGGCTTTGGCACACGGTGCCGGCGCAACAGCTTGCCCTGAGGCAGACCGCTGTTGGGCTTGCGTGGCTCGATGACCTCGATGGTGTCGTCTGCCGGGAAGAAGTAAATCTTGCAGGCACGGACGCGATAATTCTCTTCGCGTTTTTCATGCACGGCCTCTTGAAAATATGCGTCAAAGCACAATGTCTACACCACGCATCACAGTCCCAAAGTGCACGCAAACAGGAAGGTACGGGGGTGCCGGAAGTCAGGTGGGCGAGTGCGCATATAGCGAGACTGTGCGTCAGCCACCAAGAATCAATCAAGATCGTCCAGCTTCGACAGCTGATATGAGTCTCCTTTATCGTACCTGGCGGTCATAGGCAATCCAGGCGGGCACACCTTCAGCTTCGGCGCCTGCACCAGCCAAGGCTGAGGCGCGACTGGCAGCACTGGGCTGAGTTGCTGCAGTGGCGGCTATAGGGGTGTGAACATCAGAGAACGGCACAAAGTTGAGAGTTTGGCGAAAAACAACAACAACGTTGACCGTTGGAATGACGTGCGGATTCAGCCATGCATGGATTGGGTCGCCTCGTACGTTCTGCGCCACGAACGACGGGTACGCCGTTGGCAAATCCGAGCTGTTGGGCCTTGTTGTGCTTTGAGCGCTGTGTATGGAGCAGACGAGGATGAGACGTCATCAGGCCAGCGTTAAAAAGGGGGGACATCACGGCAGACACTCTCCTCAGGCCAGACAGGCACGAAGAACGGTCAAGGCAAAGCAAGTGCAATCCTCTTACCGCATCCAGGGTCAAAGATCCGAGCGGCAAGGGTGGAGCATGGTAAGCCATGGTGGCGGTGATCTGCGATTAGAGACCGTCACTCTCACAGACTGGACTGGCAGGTTCTTGAGTACTCCCAGGCGTAATTGACTCAAGTCGTTCTCACAGCATACACGCTCGACAGCTGAGTGACGGCACCTGGCAAAGTCCAACAACCAAGAGGATGGGGAATGGCAACCAGTCGGTTCGAGGGGGACACGATGTGAGAGTCTGTCTGTGTGGGGAAATGCGTTGTCAAGGTCACAAGGATGGATAACACGTGGTAGCAATGTAAACTTCGTAGACGAATGCAGTGAAAGTTTTGGCTTGATATTGTCATCAATTTCTTTTTGTGTGTGTTGGTGGGCGTCGTCAACTTGATGAGGGTGTAGATGGAACTGGGCTGCAGCCTTATGGTTGTAGTTAGAACCTGGGAGGTCCTTGTTGGAAGTGCGCGGCATTGCCGGTGGGCGGGCCACGGCCCTGCGGTTGCGGAGGGGCCATGGCTTGTCCGGGCGGCGGTTGTTGCGCAGGCATCATTGGCATCATCATTGGACCAAGATGAGGGGGTGCCATCATGCCCATTGAGCCCGGAGGTGGCATGCCCATTGAGCCCGGAGGTGGCATGCCCATTTGGCCCATTTGGCCCATTTGGCCCATTTGGCCCATTTGGCCCATTGGTCCCATTGGTCCCATTTGGCCCATGGGACCTGGGGTCATGCGCATGCTTGGCTGTGCTCCAGGTGCACGGCCCCCCGGCGCCAACCAGGGCATCATCTGATGCACCGGTGCCATCATACCAGGGCCCATCATGCCAGGGGGTGGCAAACCACCGGGTCCCATCATGCCTGGGTGGGGCATGGCATTGGGCATGCCTGATCGCGACGCAGCCATCGCTTGGCCTGGTGCATCCCCAGCATTCCCACGAGAGGGGCGCTTAACCTCGGACCGTTCCGAATTCCGCTTACGTGAGCTAGGGCCTGGGGGCTTGGGTCGGCTGTCGGGGTCGGCGGCCTCTTGAGCAGCCATGAGGGCTGGGTCGGCTGCACGTTGTCGCTGCGCTGCGCTGTAACATCCACACATAAAGACCAGCACAAGTGTCCATGAGTCAAGACTGAGAATCACGGCGCTCCCTTGGCCCAGCCCCGGCTCCCGGCTCGCCGACGCAACACGCATGACCCAAGTGAGGCTTGGATAGCACACGGGTTTGGCTAGCTAGCGCTTCATACGTTTTGGCAGCTTTGCGTGCCGCCTTGGCGGCGGCCTCTTCCTCGTCATCCGAGAAGTCAAGTTCCTACATTGGAAGTTGAGTGATGACGAGGGCAGGTCGCAGGGAGAACAGAGTCCGATGGTCAGCACAGGCGATTTTGCGTCGCTGAGAACAAGATGCATGATCGGGTGCGTACACACGCACCTCTGGAGGCGGCTCCTCGTCGTTGAGCCAGGAAGCATCCGAGCCCTTCATTCTATCATGAATTCAAAACCGTAAGTTAGAATTCCTGCACCCGAGGGAAGCTCCAGATCAGATTCGGAGGCTGGTATTGCTGCACGATACAAACCTCTTCAGCTGCTCAGTGAGTACGTAGATGGTCACGTCTTTGGCCGCATCTGGCGCGTAAAAGACGTTTGATCCTCGCTTAAGCTGTTCATGTACGAAAAAAAAAGAAAGAAACGAAAAAAAAAAAAAAAAAAAAGCCGAAGGGCGTCAGGCCCAAAAAAATGCATTGAATGGACGACAGGGCCGAACTCCAAGGGCACAGCAGGTCAAACCTCAAGGGCGGCCAAATCTGCAGCAGTGTTGAAGCGAATACTGTACAATGGTTGAACGATAGGACCAAGAACCTCAAAGACACGCCCCAAGGGCCGGCGATCCTCGAGCCAGAGAACGGTGCCAACGTCAAGCGGGCTCAGCCCAGTTTTGGCAGCCACCACCAGCAAAGCATCCAAGCAGGCGTGAACCTGACCCACGCATTCAATCGAGGCACTATCTGGCAGGTTGATGGTGATGGGCTCCTCGGGCGGCAATTCCTGTGAATCACACGGCAGGTTCATCAGGTCTTGTCGTAACTGCGCCCATAGCAGTCCACGCCATGGTACAGACGGGCGCAAGCAAGTAGAGGTGAGCATACAGCCGGTGAGGTAGTAAACAAACCTGTAATCCAAGTTCATGCTTGGTTTTGACGGCACCAATACCGGTTGGATTGGCACGCTCGATGCCATCCCCTATATCGGCATCCAACCCCTCCTCATCTTCTCCAACGGCATCAGCGTGGTGGCGCTGGGGCTTGGAGCTTTGGCTTGACTGTGCTTGTGCTTCCTTGTCGTCATCGTCGTCGTCGTCGCTACTGCTGTCATCCGACAGCTCATCGTCTCGTGTGGGTCGGCGCGGCCCATGTGCATGGCCTTGTTCGTGCTGCTCATCAGCTGGCGTGGCGTCCTTATTCTCCTCTGCTTGGGCAGACTGACCGTCGGTGGCTGCTTGAGCATCACCATTGGAAGATCCAGCCGATGATGCAGTCGGAGACGCTGGCTTCTCGGGGCGCGCCTCGAGAGGAGTCGTCAGCGCCGCCAGCGCGAGCATGTCTTGGTATGCAAACGTCGAAGCATAGCTCAGGTCATCAGGGATCTCGGCCGCCATTCCGGCAGGGTACAGCCCCCACGCTTTGGCACCCTGATCCACGCAACCCTAATGTAGACCTCAAGCGCTGTTGCCAATATCGGCCCCGACCAATTCCCACCACCCGGCTGCCGCTCTTGGTACCTCCCTCTCTCCGTCTTGCCCTCTCTCTTCAAAAAACGCAACACAAACACAACACAACACAACGCAACGCAACCTCCACATGGTTGGATGCTTTTGACGTGTTGTGCTGAATGCTGACAAACCCGTTAAATCTGTCTGACATTTTGCTGTTTGCTGTTGCACAGAGAGAGAGAGAAGTGTGTGTGTGTGTGTGTGTGCACACAAGACAAACGACAACATGCAGCGGCAGCGGCAGCGGCAAGTTAGTCAACGGGGGATGGCAGAGGAGGAGGACGATGCAGGGAAGGTGGTTCTGAATACGCACCGTCAGCGATGGCTGCAAGAAGCGTCGCGGCCTGCATGTCGCTTTGATCTGCTGGCTATTCTCTTCTGCGAGTTTCATCCCCAGCTGGGCCCAATCATCTTGACACAGGTCGGGTTCTGCAGTGGCGGGCGCCCCTCAACTGCACGGCTTGTGCCGGCGTGGACATCCTCACACGCGCGAGGGCATGTACGCGTGTCGCTGATTTGATGATACTCACTTTGCATGCCACCCCACGATCTGATCCAGGCCCCAGAAAATTTCATTTCGAAGGAGGCCTTCAAGCCTCTGGAAAAATACATCATCACCAAGCCCGAGTTTGCTTTCCACACACTCTGCATGTATGTGCCCTTCTTGGATCCATCGGCATTGGGCGCACCGGAATCAGCCACAAGGCTGTCTCTCTGTCTCTCTGTCTCTGTCTCTCTGTCTCTGTCTCTCTGTCTCTTTCACCCTCTTGTGTGGCCATGAATATCACCATTCCTTTGCTGGTTTCAATCTCGCGTACGGCTGACCCTGTGTTGTCTCGTGGGGCAGCGACGCCATGGGCTACCGCTTTCTAAACTGCCCAGTTGATATCCCGGGCGAGCAGTACGAGCGCAACCACTTGTTGTTCAACATGGTGCGTCTTTTGGAACGTGCCGATGCTTCCCCTCAACTGACAAAGTATCTCGGACCTCTGGACATCACTCCGAGTCACTTGTCGCGTGTATCGTCGTACACTGCTTTAGGTTCTGGTTCTTCGCGACAACTGTGCCCCAGAGCCTTTTGAGCGCTTGGCCACCAAGCTGGCCAAATTTATGGAGCAGGCTGAGGTGTGTGTTGACCTCGTTCTTCGGCACGGATTGTGCGCGCGGTTTTAGAGGCCGACCCACGCAGCCCTTTTCTGAACACGCTTTGCTGCTGGCTGCTGCTAGGTTGAGACGGGCTACTTACAAAAGCCCAATCGCAAAGATCTTCTTTTTGGTGTCCTGTCTGAAATGTTGGAGCAACTGCAACAGCGTGGCCAGTGCGCCGTCAAACTCAGTACGTACCAGGCCCATCGCTCGCGAGCACTTGTGGTTCGATCGCACTCATTGATTGGGACATATGGCTGCTTCTCCTGGCCTAACAGGCACCTCGTTGGTGATTCGCTTGCGCGTGCTACTTCCCCCGCCCCCCATTGCACCGCTCAAGCCCTACATCACGCCCGTCGTCATCGCCCCAGGTGCTCTTGTGCTGTCCACCGCACGAGTCCCTCAGGCAACAACCACGGGCATGGTCGCGTGCTCTCAGCTTGCTGGTTGACCATCCATGCTAGATATTCTTGAGGAGTGCTCCCAGATTGATCAAACAATCTTGCGCGTAGCCCCGTATCTAGATGGGGTCATGTACTTGCGCGTGAGTTGTGTCTGTGGGCCTTTTCGATTGGGGCAGATTAGATTTGCATGGGCTCAATGCCTCACTAGAATTGCTTGGTGGTGTGGTGCCCGTGTGATTGTAGAAAATTGCTTCCAAGGCTGACATGGACATGAGTTTGGTTCAGGCAGCGTTACAATACCTGGCTCACTGCGGTGCCATTGTCATGGTAGAAGCGATTCAGGTATGGCTGCAATGATATGGGGAAACAGGCGTCCAGGGCAGCCCTCTCACGTTCGTGTTGGCCGTGCAGTTTTGCAGTGTCTATGTAGTGACGCCGGATGTGGTCCGGCTGCGCAACGATCCCGTTTTGCAAGAGAATTGCCTCAACTTCATCTCCGTTGCTGGTACGTCGCTGTCCATGCATGGTGGTTGAAGTCCGAAGGCTGCCACCACATTTGTGGCCCATTGCTGCCCGAAAAAGGCCTTGTTTGCATGGACATGCGCGACTGTACCAACGCCAGTCTCGCCCGGGCGTGGGTGTGTATCGATAGGGTGTGCTCGGCCTTCTCTTGCCACCGTCATGGAGCTCTATTGTGACTTGATTGTGGAGGAGCCAGTCCTGACCTTGAAGAGCTGGTTTGAACGCCACGTGGAAAAGCTGGCTGACATTGACATCCGGTGCTGTATTTTTTACTTGATCCTTTGTGCTTGTGTTGTGCGTGTCTGGACATTGTCTCATGAGCGAGTTTTTCCTGTTTGGTGTCGGGGATGTTCTGGACAACCTAGACGCTTTATCCAATTTGGGCGCATCGCCAACTTTTTGCGGCAGATCAAAGGCTATCCCTACCGTGACCCCACAGCCAGTCTTGATGCTGACTCTGACGTGGATCTCCCGACCATTGTTTCGTACGTATCCCTCTCCTTGATGGCTCTTGCTGTTTCGCCTTGGGCACTTTGGCTCGTGAACAGCCCAGTTGTGCATGGCCTTTGGGTCACCAAGATGGCCGACTGTGGCTGGCTGGCATAGGCTATTGGATGGCCATCACAGTGCCGATGAGATTTGTTGTATCAAAGGCATCAGCGCCGCCCGATTGGATGAGATACTGCAGTCTGATCCTTACACCTTTGTGTTTCATCGTTAAAACCTGTCTGTATCAAGCCTTCTCCTTGCATATCCTCCTTGTTTAGTGTCCTGGTCTTCATGAAATTTCAGAGGAGACGGCGGGGAGCCAAGCTCCGGGCACCAAGCAGGAGGATTCCGTGCCGGCATGGTTTATTCGAATGTGATTTGGGAATTTATGCATTGAGCGCTGGCTTTCGGCAGAATTTGGCCGAACGTGGGGGTGATCCGTGGTCATTGGCAAACAGGATCAATTGTCTCATCTTTCTGGTGCAGAAACACACAAGCAGGTCTCCAAGGGAAAAAAAAAGAAAAAGAAAAAAATAAAAGATCAGAAAGACAATGCCGGGAGCAGGACAAGGACATGCTGAAATGGCAAAGCGTTGGGATGATCTACATTGTGCCCACGCTACACCGGTAGTTCTCCACTCGGGCTCATAGCCGAGGGCGCCTTTGGGCAATTGTAGAACTTGGTGTAGGACACACATTGAAAAGGTCAATCAGCAACTCAAATGGCTTTTGCAATGTCCGCCGGGCGCAAGCGTGGCCTCCCGGCTCGCGGCTCTTGCGAGCCGGTTAGATCATGGGCGGGCAAGGTGCGTCGCATTTAAAAGAATGTTGGTTCGAGATTAGGCCATGCTGACTTGTGTTTCAACCACCACGGCCTCGGGAGCCGTTTCCTTGGTGGCCTCAACGGGCAGCTCAGTGGTGCGAGCCTTGCGGCGGCGGACAATGACGGCGGCGACAATGGCCACGACGCACAGAACGGCGGCGCAGATGCAGGCAATGGCCACGGTGGAGATGCCAGCGGCGCTGCCGCTGTCCGACTCGGTCTCGCCGCCGAACATGGTCTTGGCGTAGCCGTAGTAGGCGCAATACCAGGCGCCGGGGCAGACATCCGAATAATCTTGGTTGTTGTTGTAGATGCCCTGAATGGTGGTGGTGGTCGAGGCGATGGTGGTGGTGGTGGTGAGCTCGGAGCGGAGGCAATAGCCCTCATCGGCGAGCCAGGTGCACTCGGAGCGCTGGTCACAGTAGTACTCGAAGAGTTCGTCGTTGCAGGTGTCGTACGCCTGGGCGCTCACGGCCAGCAGGGCCAAGGCCAGGAGGACGTTGGTGAACTGCATGATGCTGTTGAATCAAGATGTGTCTAGGCCGAATCAAACGGAGTGGCGAATGAGCTCGAGTCAAGTCGCTGCCGTTGACGTTGTTGATGGCCTGGGAGATGCTTCCTCGAGGAAGATCAAGAGTTGTAAAATGCCACTGCTGCACGGCGCGCGCTCAAAAGTTCTCGAGGCCATCGCTCCCACAGCATACATGCATCCTTGTTCTAGGAGCAACGTGTGGTTGTCGCTTCCACGCACGCAGGGACATGTGGGCGTTAAGCGGTGATGGGTGGTGGTTGGGTGTAGGTTGCAGGATAGATGATCATGGATGGAAGGGCAGGTTGTTGGGTGGGTGAGGCTGTACCGACGGGACGCGCAAGGTTCTGCAGCTTGAGGAACAAGCGCGAGCGTGGGTGCGAAGAGTGGTCCAGCTGTCCATGTTGGTTCTTTTGTTGTTGAGCGGCGGGGACATACAACGGCATCATGACATTATATGTTTGGAGATGGGTGGTAGCGATGCAAGAGTGTGTGCTCTTCAGTTGGCGCCGGGGCTCAACGGTTGCGGCGGCGTTTCGCAAATCAGGGGAACTGCAGAGCATCAGGTTGGGGCCTTTGGACAATCGTGTGGGTCGCATGGGCTGAGGGCGTGAATGTGACGTGGTTATTTCCAGGCGTTGGCATGGCAGTGAGCCGAGACACTGAGCAGCGCGTTTTCCAGGCACGATGCGCCTGCGCTCATGCAACTTGACCCGCGTGCTCGTGTGTCCCTCTTGTGTCGAGCACGCGGCACACGCACAGGATCAAGGCAAAGACAAAGAAAAGGCGGGGTGAAGAGCAGGCGGAGAAGATGGGATCGAGGGTCACCAGCAGCAGCAGGAGCAGCAGGACGAAGTTTCGCCAGCCAAATGGGGTGTGACAAGAGGTTTAGAGAGGTGGCCAACGGTCAAACGGCCCGACCCACAAAGCAGTGTCGAGGGTTGGGTGAACGTCGGGGTAGAGGATGATTTTGTTAGAGTCGTAAGGTGTTCTTGCTGTTGGCTGTGACGCAGGAAAGTGGGGGAAGCGTTGTGCAGCGGCTGCCAGATTGTCGCATGTTGCGTAGGCTGGATCCGATGGGGTACAACGGGGACACGGGTTGAGTCACCGGAGTGGCTGCACGAAAGGGGTACGCGTGCGTGGGCTCGTGGCAACGGCAAGGGAGGAAGCGGCTATGTCATGTCTGGAAGAGGCGGTTGCGCGGCAGAACCGGTCAGTCCGTCAGGCAACCACAGCATGCTTACATGCATGCGGATGCCATGTTTTGGGCCAAACCCAGCGTTTCCGTTTTCGGACAGCACCAGACAGTTGATTGCGTGAATTCGCAGGCAAGGTCGAGGGGCGCACGGGGGCTTGAAATTTTGAAATAATATCATGTGTGAGAGGCGAGGGTCGCGTGAGCGAGGTGGCACCAGTCTTCGAGGAAGGAAGAGAGAGCTTCTGCGTGTTGCACCCCTCTGGCGGACTCGGCAAGGGCTCCTGTACATTGATATTATTATGTCTCAGGCTCGAATCAAACCCAGCGCAATCCCTCGAATGGCCTCTTCTCGCTGCCGCGTAGCAACAGCTCACTGGTCGAAGGCAGAGAGGGACGCTGGGACGCACGGACGCACGGACCCCATGGTGACCAAAAGTCCTGACGAAGGGGCTTTTCTGCCGAATTGGAGCCCCATAAAACCGCAAGACGAGGCATGGATGGCGAATTTGAACGGAAGTAACGTGCAAAAGTGTCCCACCCAGTCAGTCATCAGCCTTCGGAAGGCAAACCAAGGCATCATGCCTTGATGATCTGCCTTGTATCATCACAGCCTCCTCACCAAGTCGAGCCGAGCGCACCTGAGTTTGACATGACGTGCAGACTTGTTTATTGCCATGCAAGATTGCAGGCTTGGTACCTTGTCCGACTATGGCCACTCTCTTGATCTTTTTGGCTGGCCAAGTCTCTCACTGTGCCAGTCATTGACATGTGAGTGGCTTGAGCTGCCATGCTGGGACGCCTCAAGGCCAGTCGCATGTTGACACGGCGCACACTCACGACGACGTGTTGGTCGTGCACACAGAGCTGGACGTCAAAGAATCAACACAATCGAAATCGCCCTTGCAACACATGGAAGGCTGCACAGGAAGGGTGACGACGCTAGTACCAGCAAACCACCTCAAACTCTCCACTCCACGTCTTGGCCTGTGCTCCACAACCACCCATCACCACCTTCCTACTTGATGATAAACCCTTCTTCTGCCTTCCTTGTTGCCTTGTTGCCCCCACCAAGTTAGATCCGAAAACCGATCCCGCAGCGATGAGAACCAGTCGCCAAAGTCAGCCGAGCGCGTGGGAGCACGGCCGGCGAGATTAGTTTTCTCATGATCACGCCTTGACATATGACTTGAAAAGAAGTCACTCCAACCTACAATCTCCCAAATTTGCTTGCATGTATGCACGTATCTTCACGACAGCGGGACTGAGATTCAGAGCCAACGCGGCGGTACGACTCAAATCAGATCGTTTACGGCTTGGACGCGCACCGTAACCTGGACAAACCGTCAGCAGAGACGCGGCCTAGCCACTCGCGTCTCGCGTCTCGCACACCCTTCCACCGTCATAAGCATCAGCTGGTGGGCGGAACACCGTTGTATACACATCGCGAAGCCAAGGCCGGATGAGATGAACCCGGACCGAGTTCAAGTGGTGAACAACTCAGCTCACGAGTCATTTTTCATCCCCGACCTCCCACTTTCAAGCAGCAAGTGCCTCAACATCAGCCTCGAGTGCTGATCAGCGACCTCTTCGACAACACCACGCCTTGCCCCGATCTTTCCCCGAGTCGTGCTCACCACACCCCATCAACCTTAACATCCAAAGATGGCCCGTCAACTGCTGTCCCTCCTGGCCTTGGCCCTGCTGGCCGTGAGCGCCCAGGCGTACGACACTTGCAACGACGAACTCTTCGAGTACTACTGTGACCAGCGCTCCGAGTGCACCTGGCTCGCCGATGAGGGCTATTGCCTCCGCTCCGAGCTCACCACCACCACCACCATCGCCTCGACCACCACCACCATTCAGGGCATCTACAACAACAACCAAGATTATTCGGATGTCTGCCCCGGCGCCTGGTATTGCGCCTACTACGGCTACGCCAAGACCATGTTCGGCGGCGAGACCGAGTCGGACAGCGGCAGCGCCGCTGGCATCTCCACCGTGGCCATTGCTTGCATCTGCGCCGCCGTCCTGTGCGTCGTGGCCATTGCCGCCGCCGTCATTGTCCGCCGCCGCAAGGCTCGCACTGTTGAGCTGCCCGTGAGCGTGGAAGAGGCTGATGTTGCCGTCCCGCCGGTGGCTGTGATGGAAGAGACTGCCGTTGTTGTGTAAGCAAGTCGGCACATGAGCTGCCACTTGCTTCTTTCCCGGCTCCCATCCAGTTGTTATTTCTTCTTCTTCTTTTAATTGGTCAATATAATAAAAGCGAATCCTCTCTCTCTCTCTCTCTGTATGTCTCTACGTTTCCTCCCCACGTGTGTGTCCAGTTGTTCAAACCTTCGACGGGACCCAGTCGACTGATCAACTATGGACCGTGAGACGAAAAAAAAAAATTCATCAAAAAAAAGCCAAAAAACTCTTTGAGCCCCAACTCTTTGATCTCTTTACTTTGCTTGTTGTTGAAAAGACCGAGACGCCATTCATGTACAGTAAGTACATGGAGATAAAAACACAATGATCAAGGCCCCTCCGTATTCATGCAGACAAGATTCATCATGTCGTCATGTCTTAACACCATCGCAACTCAATTCCTTTCTTCTTCACTACAAGGACCAAGAAAACACTTTGGGAAGGGTCATGTGCCACATTCGAGGCTGTCGAGGCAAGGGGTCGCGCGAAGAACATGCCGCCAGCTCGAGCACACAAAAGGGGCAAACGTGCATTATGGTGCCTCAGACCTGTGCCATCTGGAGTCGAGCACACGGTGCTCCAATCCAACAAGCCCAGACACACACTGGGCTACCAAGAAGCCAGGCGGCAAAAAAAAACAACAACAACAGAAAGCAAGGAGAAAGAAACAAGCAGAGACAGGCTGTGTCATGGCAAGTGAAGAGAAAAAAAAGCGAGGTGTGGAGCGAGCCTATGGCCATTGAGCCACAACCGCAGCCATGGGCGGGGCACGGGAGACTAGTGCGCCATCCATGAGAGGGCAAAGACGAATACAGCAGCAAAAGTAAACAAGCAGAAGAAAACCGAGGGTCGGGATTCACGGCAAGGAAGCAGTCAACGACTTTGGCGCGAGTCACGCAAACATGCTCAGATGACCAGAGCCGAAACGAGACCACCGTCTTGATTGAAGCACACGGTCAAGTCCATCGAAAGCTTAGACACGCTGGCGTGCGACCATTGATACCACGCTGTTGCCACGAACGACCTGTGCAGCCCGCAATGAACGACACAATTGAGCGGCGGGCGATATACACGGGCGGCAGGAATGAGGCAGCGAAGAAGCGGTGCGACCAATGAAACAACACAAGCTGATCCTAGGCCACTAGATGTGCCACTTTCATCAAGTCAAACTAGCACCCCGACAAGTGGATCCCGCACAGCAAAACTCACCACCATGCCAATGGGCTCCTCCTTGCCGTCGGCGTCAATGTTGAAGGTCTCAGCAAGCACAAGGTTCCTGAGCACCGACAATGGTAGAGAGTACATCAGTGATTTAGGATGTGCAAAGGCCAAGTAAAGACGCTGGTAGACACCCTTGGCATTTTTGCACGAAAAAAAAGAAAAAAGTTTGCATGACCTCTTGCGATGCAGCCTACATGAAGGGGTCAAAACCACGGAGGATACCGCTAATCTTGCGGTTAGCATTCAGCTTCAGATCCAGGCGCTTCTCCTACGACAGGCCATTGCAATCCACATGCACGGTTTGAGCATTGGTCGTAACAGATGCAGAGAGGCGTGGCCCGGTCCATGTTCCAAGTTTCCACATTCGACGCAGGCAGGCGCTGGCCAGTCCAAACCCAATCAAATACGTACGAGGAAGGTCTTAAGTTGCGGGGCTTGGGGCTTGGGCACTGCAACAATGACCGCCATCACAACGGGATAAAGTAGAGCAACGACACGGTGAGGTCACGCATGCCCAAAGCGGTGTGGCAGAAAAGTGCCTGTAGCCCTTCCACACCCTTGCTCTTGCTTCTGACAGTCTGCGCGCCTGAATCCGCAAGAAAAAGGGGGGGGACATTCGAGCAAGCAATTCAAATGGAGGATCCTCCAAGGCTCAGGTTGTTACTTACTGATGGCGTTGAGACGGATGCGATACAGCCTGCGACCACGATCACATGCAGAGAGACATAAGATAACGGTGCAAATCAAGAAAAGAAATGAAAACAAGCCACCGTGAGAAGTAACATGACCACGCGCATCTGCTTAAACCCATGCCACGCGCCACTGGCCCGCACACATCAACTGAGCCCAACGTAATGTACCCGCCACCGCCACACAACGTCGGTCACCGTCACCCGCGTGCGGAGAAGGGCATGAAGCATCTCAACCGTACCAACACACAGTGAACAGCAAGGAAAATGGTACTAAACACATGTTGTGGCGCAATATTGATTTTGAGGTCAGACACACCTACGGACGCTGTTTTTTATTTTTTATTTTTTATTTTTTTTTTTTCTTGAAGCGCTCCGTTGCAGATCGTCCGGCGTACTCGACTGGCGGTGCACGGCATTGGCCAAGCAACCCGCTGCGCAGGACAAGTTTCATCGCTGCACCAGTCTGTTTTTCTCTGTCTCTTGCTCGGCTTTGGCGGATTGAACGGCGTACTTGGCCCATAAACCAACAACATGGCCCCTAAAAAGGCCCGTGACTTTAGCTTCCTCCTGAAGGAGGAGCGCCCCATCATTAACGAGGTGTGTCTGCTCTGATTTTCAACGCATGGGCCCCGGTGCCAGCTCGTCAATGTCGGAGAAAGTGACTGCTGACCCTTTGCCTCACAAGTCTCCTTTACTTCCATTGCTTTGCACGTCAAGGCTAACCAGCAAGAGCCCGAGGAGCCGTCGGCGGAGGCGCAAGCACAAGCAGCAGAGACGGCTGACATGGCCGCCATGATGGGGTTTGCCGCCTTTGGAACCGTGACTGAATCGCGGGAGGTGCGCGAAAAGCGTGAATCCGAGCTTCTCGCACAACGCAAGCGCGCCGACCCCATGGCTTTTGCTGCGAAGCCGACCTCGACCGGGGCCGCTGGTTCAGGGCAATCGACTTCGGGCCAGCGGCCCAGCAGGCAGGAGCGCGGTGGCAGTGAAGACGAAGGCGGCGATGATGATGAAGATGACGCTGATCATGATTCTGAAGCTAGCCGCCAGCCTCAGACGGCTTTTGAAGAGGATCAAGAAACCACGCTGGGCGTGCCCATCTCTCACGAGATTGTTTTACAACACGGGAGTCGCCCCGTTTCTGCCCTGGCATTGGAACCCAACGGTACGCCATACTCATCCCGCAACTGCACCACCCACGCCTCTTGAAACGAGTGTTTTTTTTGTGTTGCAGCTGTTTCAGCTCACTTGTTGATCCATGCACCGTGACGTGGCGGTGTGATTACCACTGACAATTCCCGAACCCTTGTACACGTAGGTGCACGGCTGGTTTCAGGGGGCTACGATTATCAACTCAAGTTTTGGGACTTTGCTGGGTGCGTGGACATGACCATCAGCTGCCTGCTCCCTCCCTTCATGTTGTGCGATGCCTTCAAGCTGTTCATGGACCCGTGTCGCTCACCTGCTTCTGCTCGGGTCCTTTCGCGGTGTGCCAGCATGGATGCGGCTTTGGCACCTTTTCGACAGATTTTGCCACACGAGGGGTATGATGGAGCCTGAGGCTGTGACGCTTTTGATTACATTTAGACTACACCGAGTTGTGTCCTCTTTGCGGCGTTCAGCTTGCTCATGATGAAAATGAATCGCTCTCGCTTGCCAACTCGTCCCGTGCTGGTTCTTGCGTATGTATGTATGTGTGTGTGTGTGTGTGTGTGTGTGTGTGTGTGTGTGTGTGTGTGTGTGTGTGTGTGTGTGTGTGTGTGTGTGTGTGTGTGTGTGTGTGCGCGCGCGCTATCTATTTTTGTGTCTTCCTAGGTATCCTGTGCGTGCTCTGGCTTATTCGGCCTCGGGTGACCAGGTACTGGTCTGCACGGGCCGACCCCAGGTCAAAGTCATTGACCGCGATGGTAGCGAAATTCTTGAAACCGCTCGCGGCGACATGTACATCTTCGATAGCGCCAAGACATATGGTGTGTCCCAATTACCTGCGGCCCTTTGCTCGTAGATCTTGTACTCATTCTGAAAATGCCATCCTCAGGCCACGTTGGCCTGGTCAACGCAGGGTTGTGGCATCCGACAGAGCGCGATCGATTTGTGACAGCCAGCTCAGACAGCACCGTGCGCATCTGGGACATTTCTAACAAAAAGTCACTCCTTGCCGCCAAGTGTCGTTCGCGAGCTGGTACGTATCCTTGAGCAAAACACTTGGTGTGCTCGGCGTGGCTTGATTTTAGGTTTTCAGCTGACCCAGCTGCCTTTGACCATGCAATCGTGTACTCTCGGGCGCAGGCAAGCGTACGGGTGTCAACTGCATCGTTATGACGCGTGATGGGCGGTATCTAGTGGCAGGCTGTGAGGATGGCGCGATTCACGTGCGTAACGGCTGCGGCAGCGCTCTTCACAATGACTACATCGCTCTCTGGACAGGGCTAATCTTATGCATGACGGTCAACACAGGTTTTCGTGTGCTCCAAAACCATGATCCGACCCAAGACCCAGGTGTTCGATGCCCACGAAGGCGAAGTGACTAGTCTTTGCCTTGCTCGTGATGGTGATACACTCTACTCGCGAAGCAGTGAGTCACGTATACTTTGTAGCCGCGCGTGTGGAGCACTGCCGAATGAGGAAAGAAGGCCCCCTTGCTGACTCGAACCCTCATCTGGTGTCCATGCATGTCCACCTTGTGCCCAAATTCAGCTGACGGCACTGTGAAGCGATGGAGCTTAAAGGCCCTGCGCCGCTCCGAGGCCACACGTGGTGAACTGCCGTGCTTTTACAACTGGTAGGTGTTTGAAATGCTCGCTGTTCTCCGCCACCCGTGCCCTGCCCTCGGGCTCTCATGTGTACCTTCTGAATTGGCGTCTGCATGTCAGCACCGACATTGTTCTCAGCCCCGATGAGCGGTTTGTGCTGACTGGTACCTCGGGCAGCGACACCGTATGTTCGAAGGCCGATACTTGACGACGTGAACTCTCGCTTTCTCTCCCCCTCCCCCATTTTGTGGTCTCAATGACACCTCATGTTTTTGTTTCATGATCCAATCCCTTGCACCGCCTGCAGTTCCGTGGCGCCTTGGTCATCTTGCGTGCCAAGACGCTGGAGCCTGCATATCAGGTGTGGCTACAACCATGCGCGCGAGTTGTCGCACTTGAGCCGAATCACCTCATGGAAGCATGTTCGCACTGATGCTTTCAGGTTTCTGTGCCAAGTCGCGGCGTCTTGCGCATTCTTTGGCATCTCAAGATCAACCAAATCATGGTGGCATGTGCGGACGGCACTGTCAAAGTTCTCTTCGACCCCGTCAAGAGCGATCGGTATGAAAGGCTCGGGTTTTTGCCGAGTCTGTAGTCGGAATCATAAATGGCTGGTGCCAAGAACAGAAGTGGCTCATTCGTCATCGAAGAAAGGGAAAGGCAGGCAGAACAGCCGAACGTGGTTTGAAGGTTGAGCCGCCAAAGCTCATACCATTGCCTGGCTTGGGCCCTGGTCATGTAGTGGTGCCAAGATGTGCGCTACGCGCGCACCGCGCAAGAAGGATCCCTTGGACATGGAATTTGGCAACCTCAACTCGGCTGCGCTAAACCGTGAGTGGTGTTTTGTTTTCACATTTAGCCTCACCATCATTATGAGTGGGCTTGGGCGCCTCTGAATCAGTGTGCTTCATGACCCATTTATGTTGCATGGACGATGCAGCTTATACGATGGACGAAATGCGCGAGGGCCGCTGGCAAGACAAGCAGGTTTGGCATGCGTTTTGCCTAGCTTTCGTCGCCGCCTCTTGATACAATTTTTTACTCTATCCGGTCAGCTCACGGGCTTGCGCTTCAGTTTGCGGCCGCACGCAAAGCCAAGCAGCTCAAAGACCCCAAGGCAGCCCGTATCCCCGAGCGACCGGTGCAGCCTACACGCAATGTGGGCGTGGGTGGACGTACTCTGGGCTACTCGAGCTCCATCTCCCAGCTTGTGGCCAAACGTGCTGCCTACGTATGTACAAGTTGCCAGCACTGATCCCTTGCCGCACGCGAGATTCTGTTGGGTTCTTGTGTGCGTGCGTATGTGCGTATGTGTGTGTGTGACCAAGCGCGTGGTGATGCACCCGTGGCGGTGCATCGCGTCCGTGTGTGACTTGTACTTGACGTGGTGCTGACGGAACTGTAGGATCCAACACGCGATCAAGACCCGCGCGAGGCATTGCTCAAGTATGCCGAAAAAGCCGAGGCCGAGCCCTTTTTCGTCTCCAAGGCCTATGAAAAGTCAGTTGTGGGCCTTTTGGCGCCTGTGTAGTGGGTGCAAGAGTGTGACCACATGAGCTGGAATGCCCATTTTCTCTCGCTTGTGCGTGGGCGCGATTCGCTGCGGGGGGCTGACTTCCATTATTGCCCTTGGACCCCCCCTCCCGATTACGCCAGGACCCAGCCAGAGGCCATTTACAACTTTGAAGAGCCAGCTCCGCAAGACGATCAGGTACATAGCTTGGCCCGGCCCCGGCTGTATGGCCAATGCTGACGCCGGCCTGTCCGCAAGCGAGCCTGCACGCCTGGTTGCATGCCCTCATCAAACCGGGTTTTGATCGATCCTTGCACTTGTTGAGCGGCAGGATCCGCAGGAGAAGAAGCCCAAGTATGATCCCGAGTACAAGAAGAAGCAATATGTTGGGACCACCAGCGTCAGCACCGACTACTGATGAGTCAAGGCTGAGTTGGCTCAGCAGGCGCTTTGCGCAAGGCTCTTGGGTTGCCTGCTGCCGATTTTCCCACGCGCGCTTCTCTCTGACTCCGCCTTGACAAGCGGGTGCCGTGTGGTATGAAATCTCGAACCGAGAATTGATCGACTTGAACTGGGATGGCATGTGCCCAGAGGCGACTCTATGAGCAAGGTCGCAGAGCCGGGTGGGGGCGTACGATCGGGTCTCCTCGGATCTGCCAGAGGCGACGGCTCAAAGACAGGACATTAGCCCGGGAAGCGCGACAGTCAAACGCACAATTCAGACACCATTATCTCCTGTCAGATAAGGCCATCCAAGCCATTGGCTCGTGTTGTGCTCAGAGCCTGCCGGGTCTCCTCAGCCTGACAATGGTATTACGTCACTCTTCGTGAGAGGGAGACGCCATCTCTACCGCTGCGTTGGGCATCATACTTGGTGTATGTTGAGACCGCCTTGTCCCAAGTATCGTGCCCTCGCCAGACCCCTCGAGCGTCCCCAGCAGCGACAGTCACACGGTGATGACGTGAATGATGACGGCATTGGAGCTCTCCGTGATCACTCCCGCTGCTACACACAAGTGGCGGTCAGGCAGGTTAACCGAGCGCGCGACCGCTGAGACGCAGGCGTGCGCCCACAAACTCTACCAGAGCCCAAGATCGCACGAGCGGATACGACTCTCTTCCGATCCATTGGTATGGGTCTGGACTTTCATCTGTTTTCAGAATCGTGCGTCACATGACAACGGCCGGGGGCTGGTCTGCTCGACCGACCTCTTTTGGATCCGATCAAGATGGGCCCACATCCCGCTTTCGCTTGCCCCACGAAAGCGCTTTTCTCCTCCTGCTGTGCTGCTGTGCCCGCTGCTGTATTGCTTTGCTTTGCCTGCTGTGCTGCCGGTTTGACTTGGTGGGAGTTGGACAAAGCCTCTTGCCAGCCTGCACATTGGATGTGTACGACGCGCTGATTCGTCCTCTGGTCTTGATCACCCCACTCCGCGCTCCCCTGAGCTGGCACGATTGATTGTGGGTGGCCACCCGTCACCCCCCCACCCCCGATGTGCAGCAGGCCTTGAAACGTCCCGTTCTTTCCCCCCTTCTCTCCGTCTCTGAGCATCCCGGTCGCTGACACCCAGCTGCGAGGCACACACCCTGACAGGAGCCTGACGGACCACCCAGCCCACCCAGCGCCCTTCGCCTTTGTGCCGGCAACACCAACAGCCCAAGCCGCACACCCACCACCTGCGTCCTTTTATTTGTCAAGCTCGCTTTCGAATCACGCTGCTGTTTGATTCAGGTGGTAAATGTCAACAAGACGGGCCAGACGAGCTCGTGGGGAAAGTCGGAACAGACCGGCCGCAGCCGCGCTCCGTACGCGGTCCATTTATATAAACGCGCCTCCTTGCATCGAGTAAGCGGGGTGTGAAAGCAGCCGCTCGCGGCCTGAAAACCTGCGCCCACCCGGCACGGCGAGTCGAGTGGTGGGCGAGCGAAGTGCCACAGTTTTCCGCGTGCTGTCATCTCTTCTTCTTCCACCGTGACCGCACCACACGGCGCACGAGCGTCGTTTCTGCTCAAGAGACCACCGAGGTGAAGACAGACGCAACTGTCCCACTTGTCAAAGTAAGAGACGCAGTCTCGTCCAGTTCTCCGTTTCCCCCTCTGTCGGATGGTGCTTGGGGCTGATGGAACGATGAGTCAAACTTTTTTTTTTTCTCGCGCCTCTTGACTTTGGCGATTGCACGGCACAGTTGCCCACGCGCTGGGACATCCTCCGTCCGCGCTTTCCTTGGGCCTTGACCATACCGCTAGCCTAATTTTCTTGATGGTCCCCTAAACGCTTGCCCACGCCTCATCGCAAACCTCTCCTCTCGCCCAGTTTTAAACAGTTGGCGTGCAGCCCCTTGCGTACACCGCGTTCGCCCCTTGCAAGTTGTTCCCAGCCCAGGTCAGCCATCACCTGCCGTGCCCCGGCCATCAGCCATGGTTCGCTGGTCTTCACTGCCATTTTTTGCACTTTTCCGACATTGTCTTTCCACAGCCTTTGGGTTATTGATGATTTCACGATTCAGCTCCTCATCAGGGCCTGTGCTTGCGAACCCATGTCTCCACGTTCCCTCAGCCGGGCGTCAGCTGTCTTCCAAGAAGGAAGGTTGGGGGACGACACACGTCCACAGACTACATTCTCAAAGCCGCCATCACCTTCAAGCACCGGTGCGCGCGCTGCGTCTTCGAATCCATTGTGATCAACGGCTCTGCCCCAGCGATCGTCCGTCCAAGGAAGCGAGCCCTGGGGCTCGTCATGCTCACTCACAAGCCAAGCAGGCACTGTGATTGCCATCAGGTCCCTCTCCTCCCCTCCTCTTTTCCGCAAAGTTGACCCTGTGTCGTGGTCCATTTTGTACGGACTGAGGCAATGCAGCGGCCATGCTCGGCACCTGCCGGGCAGACAGATCAGCTGGATGACGTCCTCTGGAGCATGGACGACCATGTCAACTCCGAGTACGTTTCCACGCGCACGCCTGGCTTTTCCTCCTTTTCCTCCTGCCTCGTGACTCACCGTCATGACTTTCTGTGCAGGCCCCGCGTCGGCCCAACCCCGCCGCTCCCCGCCACACCTCCCTTGCAAGACCAACTCTGGCCGTGCCATCTCCAGCTGCAGTTGCCGCAGACCAGACATGATGCCCCCTTGGACTCACCATCGCCCTCCGCATCCGTCTGTACAGCCCCGCTTTCAAATCTTGACTCTGGTTGCCACGATCCGTCTCTTCCCCTGCCGCCACCGAGGTCGACGACGTTGAGACTCGATGCAAGCGGTGTGGATGTGAGCCCCCCTCCCTTTGCCGCCAGTCCAGATGCAGAGTCACTTCACCCGTTTTCTTCCTCGCCACCCTCCCCTTTGCAAGCAAAAGCTACTGATGCACCCAGCACATGCTTTCCACGTCGACACTTTCCTGCGCGTGACTCGGGCATTCAGCTCGTGCACCCTCACGAGGCCTTGACGGGCCTCGGACTTCATGCCACGCCAGCCCCAGAGTGCCCGCATGCCCCAGACATGGGCAACGCTCCCGTCTCTGCCCAAACCCAGCTTGATGTCGCCCAGATGACCCGCCGCGTTGCGAGTCTGCAGCTACAGCGATTGGAGAGTGGTCACTTTGAGCTCCATACTGCCCAAGCCCCTCCAGAAAGCATTGATTTCACGCAAACAAGCCCCACTCCAAGCCCAAGCTGTTTGTTAGAACCCGCATCATCGGCCCAATCTGAGACCCGCACCAGCCAGTGTGATGCCACGATCGCAGGCAATGCGCGTCGCAATGAAGCTCAGCGGACCGGTGAGCAGGACTCGACAAGACCGATCTTGACACAGATTCCTACCATGTTGGCATCGAGCCAGCAGGGTGCTGCGATGAGTGGGCTTTGGCGGCGACGGCAGCAACGGCGAAACCTACTCGAGACCAACACCGTCAGCTCGGCCAGCGAGGAAGCTGATGCAGAAGTAGATGCTGCACCCCCAGCGCGTCGCGCCCGCCGTCTCCCACTGCACGCCCACCCCAACCCAGCTCTGGCCACCGGGCAGACAGCAGGGTTCGAGCCCATCTCTGACAGTGAGTCAGACCTATTTTGGTCCCCAAATGAGCTTCAAACCGCCCGCGATCAAGTGCTGCAAGCAGCTCATGAGGCCGGCTTTCTACCATCCTCGGGTGGATCGCATCCACATTGGAAATATGTGCGCTGGATCACCTGTGATGCTGCCACACGTGCCAACACGGAGCGAAATCGATTCGTGGGCCCCGGCCTCGAGCAGGCGCGCTTGCAAAAGTTGCAACGCGGGTGGTCAGCATCCTCCATGTTCCACCCCACTAGCGACGCCAAAATCAGCTCTGGGTCATCCTCAGAGCATCGCGCCTTACCGTGGTCGCCACGGACCCACAGCACCCCTTTCCTAAGCAATGCCGACCTCACCTCCCCTGCAACCTCCCCGACGCCTTCCTGGAGCAGTGAGCAAGATGGTTCGGCGTCCTCAGAGGGGGAGCTGCTGACAACTCTTGACCCAGCTGCTGCCAGCCCCACTCCGAGCGAATTGGAGGCCACTTCGCCCTCTGGCTCCTCGTATTTGGGATCGTTTGATGTTTTTGATCCACCTCAAGACACTTTCAGGGCGTCACCCCAGCTTAATGCCACGTCCAACCCCGTTGCCCAGATGGATGCTGCTGCTATTCCCACAACTGCTGCTAAGCATGCCCGTACTCGATCCATGAGTACGGGCGCCACCCCTCTGACCGCAGAGGATCCGACGTCCTCACCGCATGCTCTTGGTAGCATATGGCAATCAAGTCCCTCTCCACCACGCCGCTTGACATCTCCCAGCAAACCGGGCGGACCCACTAGCCCGAGCAGCAGTGCGTCGGAGGCTCGTGCCCAAAGCTCTGCTTCGCCCAATCGAAGTCGTGCGGATGATGGGCATCCCAGCTTGGCACATCTCCTGCTCTTTCGCAAGAAGCGGGCCTCTCGCCGCGACTTACACCGCACCCGCTCGGCGCCGCAAGTGCAGCCACTCCCTCTCTCCCTCAGCCTTGCGCAGCGTGGTGTGTGGTTTCACCCCAGTGTGTACGAGCACGATCTCCACAAGGTGGCACGTGGATTGCAGGTGGCTGTCATCCACCTGCCCGGTGATGACCCGCGAGTGGGCATATTGCGCGAGAAAGTTGCACTGCTGGTGCAGGATTACGAATATGCACGCCAGCGCTTAACTTTTCAGGCGCCCCGCCGCCGCTCATTGCCTGAGCAGCTAATTGCGGCTCCACGCGCCCGCGCGCAAAGCTTTGACTCGTCCAATACATCGGGTCTCCTGCCACTTTCACGCTCCACCAGCTGGGGCTCGTCGTGAATCCACTGTTTGAGCATGCACGTCACGTCTTTTACAACGTGGCTGCATCCTTATTCATGAGAGGATAAAACACTAACGGAACAAGTCTCCCCTTTTACTCCACTCCTTATGACTGCCTTGATTGACCATCGACACTGCTCTTCTAACTCCTTGTGACCGACTCTTATCTGCCTTAGCCTTCTTGATTGACCGACTTACGAAAAATGACTGTTGTGTAAAACCTGCCTGTCCGTTGTGGCCCCCGCAATGCAATGCATTGTTGCCGAAGAAGAAGAAGAAGAAGAAGAAGCGACAACCCGCGACCCAACGCCGCTGCCTTTCAGCCAAATTGACCCTGCTCTTTGGTTGTCGGTGTCTTCGTCTCTGTTTCTCCCAATCCACAAGAATCCATCAAAAACGCGCCTCTGTCACAGACTTGAGGTGGTATAAAATGTAAAGCCGTGAAACTTCGAATTGAATACTAACATGTGGATCTAAAAACTCAGATTTCACATGACCATACCCTCAATCGACCGAGGCCGAATCATGACTTGCCCAGCAGCCACCGCCGTGTCCTCATAACTCCATTTGGGGTACACGCGTTTGTACAGGTTCATCAGAATGGTGTCGTCGGCCTTGATCTGACGGTCAAAAGTACACTTCATGTGGCCGTGTGTACCCAAGCTCTCCTATGTCCCGTCGCGACACAGGGTTAGAAATACAACAGACTGGGCAGCGGGGAGGGAAAGTGACACGACAAACCTTAATGTGTCCGCGGCGACCATACTTGGTGACCACCTCCACGGGCTTGAACCAGGCAATGTCGTCTGGATTGAAAAACATGTAGCGGATGGTGGCACTTCGCTTGTTGATCTTGAAGGGATGGCCTATGCAAGGGTGCGTGCGTGGGTGTTGGGTGAATGGAGTGGTGAAGCAGAAGAAAAAGAAGAGGAGAAAAAGGAACACACCAGAGAGGCGAACGCGCTTGATAACGAGACGGTCTGGGTTAACGGAGAGCACGGAGCCCGTGGCAACGAGCGTCAAGCTGCCGTTGGCGTCCTGCCTGTTAAAATGCGCAGTTTGGCGCAGTGAGTGGCAAACAAAGATGAGAAGAAAGGCTTCCCTATCACCCCAGAATTGTTTGCCAGCTTGAGGCGTCCATTCGTCCAACTGGTACCGAGGCAGACATACCGATAAACCAGCGCTGGGAGGGGTGGGTAGGACACCGGGCAGATGGCTGAAGCCACAATCACGGAGCCTGGTTGTGCAAAGCGCTCAAACTTGTGCTTGTCCAAAGTGCTGTGTTGGGAGAAAATGGGGTTCACGGCGAACTGCCGTACGCCCGTGTCAAAAATCAGGCGTTCCTTGGATCTAGATAGACGTGCCACGAGCCCCAGAGTGAGACCGATTTAACCATTACAAATCTGAAAGCAGGAAAAAGCAGACGACCCCACAAGCCACGCTTGAGGCTTGGGCTGTACATACTTGAGTGGGACGATGCCTTCTTCCACCTGCAGAGTAAAGTTGACGACGGTCATTTTGGCCTCGTGCTCAAGCAGGTTCCACAGGATGAGGGGCACACCGGCCTGGCCATATTGTTGGACCCAGGACTCGGGCACGTCCCGCACGTAAAGGGTTGCATAGGTGCCCTCACCCACGAAAAAGTCTTTGGTCTACGAAAAAGGTGGGTAAGTCATAAGCGGAAGGGGGTGGCTCTTCGCTCTTATTTGAATGATACTCGAGCGACGAACAAGCATACCTCATCCTCATGCTCTTGAAACTCGAGATCGCGAAAAACGCGTCGCCGGGTGAGGTTAAAGTCCTTGAACTTGAAGATGCGTGCGTAATCTGTGGGCAGCTCCTCACGGGCATCCCATTTAGAATACTTGAAAGACTGCAGACCACGATATTTGCTGAAGCGAATACTGGCCGCCATATCGCGGGGCGTGTCCACCTCATCAGGAAATTCAGCATCCTCGGCAGCTGCAGAACGCCATTTCTGCACGCAAAAGATAGCGAGGAAGGGGAAAAACACAAATGAGAGCAGTTCCAATAGGGGTGAAGGCAGGCTGCTGTTAAAACACTCTGTTCAATGCAACGAAGAACAAAAAGATGGACACACACGTGCACGAAACAAACCTTGTAATCTTCCATCTCTGCATCGAGATCCATTTCCTGGTCATACTCCACCTCGGTGGTGAGCTGACCAATCTCGCGCTCTTCGTATTCGTCATCTTCATCCCCCAAGCCCTGATCAAAACAGGATATGAGCCACGAACGCATTGGCTGCAAAGCACCCGTGCCTGCTCAACTGGCCATGCCCAGACTTCCACCAACACGAGCCAGGCACAAGCAAATTGCGAAAGCAAACCGACCTTGCCCAGGCCACGGGCCAGTTGAGAGCGAGCATCAGGGGCCTCGTCTGCGAAACGAACGCGCCGATGCACATGGTCCCAGTCAGCGGCGCCCGTGTCCATGTCTTCGTCTTCCAGATCATCTGCTGCGGCGTCGTCATTGTCGTCGTCTCCGCCGGTTGCTGTAAACTGGCGAGGGCCATTTTCATCCTCCTCTTCCTCCTCCAGGGGTGCGTCCTCGAGGGTCTCATCGTCAATAATCCAGGCCGCCTGATAGTCAGACCAACCTTTGGGCACCTTGACAACTTTGCGCTGAAAAAGTTTCTCAGTTGCTGCCTGCGCCGGAGTGCGATGAGCTTCTGCTTCAGCGGCCGCTTCCTCCTCAGCTGTCGGGAAAGTTTGTTCACCCTCAAAGGGTGACACCTCGGCCTCGGCTACCAGCGAATGCTGAAAATCAGGATGGGCAGTGGCTAGCGTTTGTGCGCCGTCCACGGGTTGCATGTCATCCTCCTGAATCCGGCGCTTGGCGTTGGACATGGGGACAGGCTCTGCAGCCGCATCCAGATGAGAGACCTGGCGAGCACCGAGACCAGGGATGTGCACAAGGGCGTTGACATTCCAGCTGCGGCCGCGAATATAGCCTGTGACCGCCAACGTATTGGTGGCTGCGTCGTGGGCAAATCGCTCGCACAGGACGTGGCTGCGCAACTCACGCCAACGCACGCGGCGGCGCTTTTGGTTGGCCAGCGCCCAGAGCAGGGTTGCACCATCACTCTCCTTCTCATAGGCGTGAACCTTGGTCTCGGGAAAGCGCTCAAGGGCTTGTTTGCTGGCCATACGACGAAGCTCGTTTTTGCGCTTGACGGCCATGCTGCGCAGCCCGGTTAGGACGTGGGATACGGTAGGCACGCCCTGTGCACACAGCGCCGTTTGAAACTCCTCGGCATCGGCATCGGCATCTTCTTCAACATTACGGACCAGAAGGACTGAGTTGGCTGCCCGCGCAAAGGCCAGGCTCGTGGCAACATCGCGCGTGCATGGCACGAGAGTCAATCGTTGCTTGATGCGAGATGAGAATACGGTGTGTGGTTCGCCAAAGCTGGTCAGAACCTACGGGCATAGAATTTGCGAAGCGACCATTTATCGTGATGAACACAAGAAGCCGGGGCTTGATGCTTGTGTACAAAAAGTAAAAAGCACGCAGTCCCTTGCCACGCCCTGAGCCAGCTTATTCGCTAGACACCCCTCAAAAGACCACGTGGCCTCTTGCTAGTCGGGGGGGCCAGAGCATGACGATGCCAGGGCGCTGCTGCACGTGACACACCTCGTTTGAACCAGCGGCATTGTTAAGGATGTTGGCCATGAGCATGGCTTCGCTGCCGTCCCCATGCAAAGCTACGACAGCGATGAGGAGCGGCGGGGCGGCGGTCGTGCCAAGGCTGCGCTTGGCTGCTACGACTTGGTCGCGCTTGTTCTGGCGGTTGTGCACCGCCTGCAGTCGTCGCTGCTGACGATTCAGCTCGAGCTTCTTGGCGCCATTGCTCTTAAAGGCATCAATCCGACCCTTATTGGTGGTGTTGAGTTCCGACTTTGTCCGATGCCGAGCCTTGTGTGTCTTGTTCTGCTGCTTCATCGACCCCGCAACGTGCCGATGCGCCATGATGCCGGTCGCTCTCCCAACAACACACAAAATACACACACACACGATACTTCAGAAAGAGAGCATGTGGTCCAAAGATATGGGTGCTGAGAGACTATAAGGTGAGGGTGTTGAGATTTAGAGACAGCGCCTTGACAGCGTCGGCAGGCAAAGGTGGAGATAAGCTGAAGCCAGAGATTTGAAAGAGATAGAGGCATAGCCCAGAGAGTGAACCAACCTGAGGAAATGTCACGTTGTGCGCAACCAAATGTCATTTTTAACCAGCAGCAAGCTTCAGTTGTCAGATATAATTGTCAGATTTTACGGGCAAACGGTGATCGGTTCCGCGCGCGAGTTGACGACCCAGCAAAATGGCAGCGGCGGATTCCTTGAGGCAAATGTCCATGTTGCGGCAGCGGCAGCAGTTTTACAAGGTGGGTTGTTATGTGGATGCATCGGGGGTTGTCGTTGCTGTGCCGTGGCAAATGTGTATTGGATTGCTGATCTGCTGCGCTCGGATGATGCCTGTCTGTAGAAAATTGGAGCTTTACAGGACCAGGCATCACATGCGTTTGCCCTCTTCAATTCGTGTCTGCGCGCGCGCAATGCAGAGTCGTTGGCCCAAGCCAGTCTCCGCATGCGTGTGCCTTCTGAGCTCCGTTTTGCGGCTTGGGAACTCTTGATGGGTACGGGCTGACCCCGCGCATCCCAACTAGGCTGAGCTCAAAACCATTCACATCTGTGTCTGTGTCTGTGTCTGTGTCTGTGTCTGTGTCTGTGTCTGTGTCTATGTCTGTGTCTGTCTGTCTGTCTGTCTGACTGACTGACTGACTGACTGACTGTTTGTCTGTCCGGCTGTCTCTCGTTTCCTCTTCCTTTTTCTCCCTTTTCCTCTCCTTGCGCCCCGCCCCTTTCTGCCGTGTTCCCTGTGCGCGTTTATGAACGCCTTGCGCTCCCCTTCCTCACTCGCCCTCGATGCTCTTCTTCCTGACATGGATAGGCCAGGAGTTTATGAACAAGCCACATAGCCAGCTAGATAGCACATTTGTCGCGCTGCTGCGCACAGCGGTCGTTCATAACATCCACGTTCTTCAGCGACTGCTCGCAAAGGACAACAGCGAAACCCGAGCCGTCTGGACCGAGCTCCGTGGCTATCTACCACCGACACCAGCCCTATCAGATGCTCAGACCCGGTCGCTGCCCCCAACTATCCGCGTGTCCAGTGACATGAGTGTAGGCAGCCACTCAAGCACGGGGAGCCAAGCTGCCGGCGAAAGCTCGACGCGCGAATCCTCCACTACCTCCCTCGTTGCCCGGCTCTTGCAGACCAGTCAACATACACGCGATCCTGAGCTGCTACTCGAACTCTTTGGAGATCTCTATGCCGTGGCCAATGGCACACGTTTGCCCCCGCCTCCTCTTGCGCCCGCTTATCTCATTGGTAGCGCTGAATCCAAAGACGTGGCTTCTTCGGGATCGAGCCCCATCACTTCCCCGGCTTACATGCGCAGCGTCCCTGCCTTTGCCCTCACCCTCTTTCCGGACCTTCCAACGGCTTTTTGGTTTTCTCGCGCCTTCATCCTTCGCTACCTCGACCCGTACCCAACCTATGTGGCTCTGGTACGGCTTGGCCCCCAGAGGCGGCACCACAGGCGCCTCAATTCTCCGTCACGTCGCGAAGGCCTCACAACTTCTCTGCCTGCCCCCTAACCTGCGCAGTGCTTGCGAGCCACTTTTGTCATCTTGCAAGCCGATGCAATTGACCTCTACGTCCCACTCCAGGACATTGGCATTGATGAACACACGGGCATCTTGCAGCAGTGGTGTGAATCCCTCTTTCTCGACGTTTTACCCGCCGAATTCTGTCTCATGTTCGTCCCCAGGCCGATGGCCGTAAACATGCATTCCTTTGTTATCTCGCGCATCTGGCTACACGCTTGTCGCTGATTTGCCACGGCGTGGGGTTTGTCATCCAATGATAGAATCCTGGACAAGATTATCGCTTCGGACGTCATGTTCTTGGCTGCAACTCTTGCTGCATTGGTGAGTGTGTGCCGAGAGGTTGTGCCTCGGCTATTAGCTTGCTCCGCTTTTCTCACGACGACCTATCGCGTGGGCTCGACGAACGACAGCTCATCAGCTTTGAGGACGTGGTGATTTCGTGTTCGTCCTCTGCTGTCTTTGAGGAAAGGCTGGTCGAGGTGAGTCGTTTTAATTGGTTTCATGCTGAGCGTATGGCGCTGCAAGACTCAACTCCATGTCTTGGAAGGTCGATGACAGCGTTGAAAATTCTTATCTTCCTTTGTGTGCAGGCAATTGAGGATGGCATGCTGGACCAGCGCGCGTTCCACAATCTCACAAGCCAGCTTTACTTTCGGACAAGCCAGATTGTGCAGCTTTGAGGAGGAGACCATGTGGGTCCAGATGCAACAATGGCATTTGGAAGGCGATTGAGTTTATCAATTTCAAATATGCTTCACGGCTCTAGGGCAGCGCGGCTGCATGTCTGAATGGCGGGCGCTGCGCGTCCTAAGAAGGTAAAATGAAAGATATCGTGCGTGGCACGGGCACTATCAAGCAAAGAGATGCCTAACTATACAACACCGCGAGTTCTAAAAATACGTTATAACTACATGTATCAAAATTTAATCTTTGACTCTCGAATATCGGGGTATGAACAAGTCTTCGAATCGGTTGCGTGTACTTGTACCCGGAGAAACCGGGCAAGCGCTGGCCAGCAACAATGCAGCTTCCGTAGCGTCAGTTCGAGCTGGCATGCCATGTATATTCACAAGAGAGCAGGATGATCGCCAATTGCTCAACGCGGCCGGGCCGGGTTTGCTCAAAGATACGCGATGCGAACCTTGGCGACTTCGCCAAAGTCAATCGATGACCGGGCACTCGCCGCTGAAGAGCGTCGGGATTGCGCACCAACCAGGGAGGAGCGACGGTGGGGGCTTTGGGTGGGCAAGGAGGAAACTCGCATGCCATTGAAGAGGGTCAGGTCCAAGGTGGGGCTGTCGTGAACTTTGTCTCGTTGCTCGGATCCAGAAACAATATCATCTGTGGGAGCCGAGGTCGAGGAAGAAATCGGTTGGTCTGATGGGTGATCAGCTTGCAGACGGACGCTATGGGTCGAGTCATTGGAGCGCTGCACATGGCAGCGCGTGGGCAGCGCTCGTTCACATTGAGAGGGCGACATTAAGTCAGTTCCACTATCCACGCTCCAACGCTGGCTGCTGCGACGAATGGCAGCCACTTTGCGAAAGCTTTCCTCGATAACGGAATAGTCCCCGGCGCGTGGCTCATCCAAAAGGCTATCGCTGGGCTCGTCCAGACGGAAGTGGCGAGCCAGTGCATGACGTCGAAACCAGCGGTGCTCGTGTTGCAGGAAGCTGGCCACTTCTTCCAAGCGTGGGCGACGCGAAGGTACCGGGTCGAGCATCTGAACCAGCATGTTGTACACGCGTGGCCGCAGGGCGCGGATGGCTGAGGTGGCTGGCAACATCCGCGTCTGCAAGTATGCGGCGTAGTCGGGATCTTCTCGTGTGGGGGTGGCCCAAGGCAGGTCCCCAGTGATCATGCCATACCAAACAAGCCCAACGTTCCAGACGTCCTGCTTGGCAGAGCAGGGCATACCGAGATATGATTCAGGCGCAACGTAGAAGGAGAGGGAGGGCAGCAGCTCGCCCTGTAAAAAGCGATGTCCCTGCTCTGTACAGGCGGAGAATCCGTGTAGCACGAGGACGTTGCTCTCATCGATCAGACATTTGCTGGGTGTGATATTGCCGTGCACGAGATGAGCACGAGAAATGGCAAGCGCTGCGGCCACCAATTGACGTAGCCAGCTGCGGGCCAAGTCTTGGGCTAGATGTGTCGGCGCGTCCGGGCGAATACGATCAAATAGGCTGCCGTTGGTCATGAGTTTCATGACCATGCACGACTTCATACGCCAAGTAAAGGTGTCGAGGGGATGGACCACGCTGCCGCAGGAGCGTACACGAGAAACGTAGTCAACTTCATCTTGGACTTGACCACGCACCACACTGCGCTTGACCATCTTGATGGCCACTTCTGTGTCCGTGTGCAAATCCAAGGCCTTGAAAACGCTGCCTGATACGCCATTACCCAATTTGCTGATCAATTCGTAGCGATCATGCAGGATGGTGGCGGGCATTGTAAGGGTGTGGGTGTGGGCAGACTAGGCAAGTGCAGAGGTTGGTCTCATGGAAAGAAGGAGGGAGCACGATACAAGCGCAAAACTCGTCGCAGCACCTCAAGGCGTGCGTGGTAATGGTTGAAGGATGGAAGAAAATGACTGGAAAAAGAGTTACTGGACCGCCTCTGCCTCGTGTGCGTGGTGATCGTTTCCGTTTCCGTCTTTTTTTTCTTTGACACAAACAGGGGCTGCGGGAGTTGTCCGCGACACAGCGATAGGCCACACATAAAACAACAAAATGACACTGGTATTGCGCACGCCCAGGTGTGTTTTGATTGCGAGGGGGAACGCGCGGTGGACGAAAGGCGGCAGCAGAGAAAATGACGTCTTCAGACTTTGAAACATCAAAGAATCTGATTTAAGATTTTCATTGACCCGAGCACGCTTGTGTGTGAGTAGAAAGTCCCTTTTGATATGGCAGCACGCGAGATAGTGTGGTCCAGACAGCACGCCAATCTAGTCGGTCCAACTGACCGCACACGGAAGAAGACCGACCGCGCGAGGAGAGAAGACTGAACATAAAAAGAGGGAGGGCCTGAAAAGTCGGGGAAGTGTGTGCCTGTGGGTTTTAGAAAGGCGGACTGATGGGTGTGTGGGGGTCATGTGTCGCAACCTTGCAGTAATGGTGATGCAGTGGTGATGGTTAGGGGGACAATATGGGATGCCCCCCCCCCCTCCTCAAATGTTTTTCGATACCAATGGGGTAGCGGCAGTCTGATGACGTTGGTAGGGAGCCCACTGCACAAAGGGGAAAAGGGTAACACACGTGTTTTGTCTTGTGTTGTCATTTTGCAAACTCACATGTCAATCGTGTCCCGACTCTTGAGCATGTGCACAGAACGATGCATCGTTGTTTCCCAGCAGTTGACGGGTTTTCTGCGCGTTGAAAAGCGTGCGAAAGAGGAGAGTGATAAAAAATTTATGTGCTGCTTAGCTCATGATGAACAATTTTGGTGGAGACGATGATGTGCCGCCACAGCCCGCGGCAGCCGCGAGCAGCCGCGAGCCAAGCCGATCAAAGCTGAGAGGATTGTCAAGGAGTGGCGGCGCTTACACTCCTTCCTGACTAACCCAATGTGAGCAGGCAGTCATCCGGACACGCACGTGAGTCAGCCAAAAACCACCCTCCCTCTCCAATTATTGCTTGGCATCAACAACAAACAAACGCCAACGACTTGGGACACTGATGTCTCAACCGTCTCACTCGGTTTTGGAACCTGGAAAAACCCCCTAACGATTGATTGCACGTGTATGCTGTTCCCTAAGCGATTGCTCTATTTTTGTCTGACATGTGAATGAGTGAAACTTTAGACATCCGATGTTAAGTTTTCGGGATTGGTGGGAAAACGACCTCTTCTTGAAGACCCAACAAGCAGCGTGTGCGGCGTGTGCGGTCAATGTTTTATGCTCTTACGTCAAGCACACCTGTGAATGGACCACCTTGTTCTGGGAGAGCACACACACCGTCTACAACTTGCGCAATCCTTTCGGTCCTGCGTCGCTCATATGACTTCCTTGGATTTTGACATGTTTGTGAATTGAGCCCACTTGGTCATGCAAAGCGTAGCCAGTCCCCCCCCGCTCCCCACTCGACATGTCCATTGTGGTCGACAGCTGGTGGACAGGGCTTAACAAAGTCACAAGTTTACACTCGCGGATGTTAATGTCAGACCTGTCGCCGACCCGATGCCATTGAATCAATGACGCTGAGTCTGGGATGCTAGCAGTTGAAGGAGCCGGGCAATAATGTGCCGAGGCATGTGGTGGCAATTGATTCTGCGCCTGCTATTTCCCTCGTCGGGAGGTGCTTTGTTGTAAAACACATGCGAGGCGATCGTGCTCGATCGTCGATTGGCGAGTGACACTCCATACTCAATGGCCAGTCATAGACGGGTTCGTGCACACGAATGGTAAGTCCAAGGGACTGGTGAGGCGGCAAAGGCGTCGCCGCAGTGTCTGCCCCAGCCTCGGGGAGCGCAACCAGACCTGTTTCCTGCCCCGTGGCCAGAAGATCTACAAAGCCGCGAGAGATGATGTAACGAGAACACACAAAAAAGTGTAGAGCACGGGACAGACTCGCATTTTCAAATAAAAAGTCGCTCAATCGAGGGCACAGCCGCGCAAGAAACCTTATGGACGCGGGCGTGGGTTCGTCAACCCAATTCGCGATTGAGCGGATCGCAGCGATGAGCTCACCCACGAGCTTCTCAGCCTTGATGCTGCCGCAAACGAGTCAGGGGGTGGGGTCTTAGAAAATTGTCAGCAAAACAGCCATAATGTCAGCAAAACTAAAGCAAAAACAGTCCACACCAACAAATATTATTGTCTGACAAATGGCGTTTTCGTCGTCGTGATCGAGAGTGCCGCGTGGCGAGAGCGACTGAGCGAGCGCCCGTTTGAAACCTCGGGGCCGCCATCATCATGGCGGAGGTTGAACCGCGTTGCGATGTGATGGCCTTGTTTGTGGCAGCGCGCGATGAGAAGCGCTATTTGCGTGTGTCTGCGCCCATGGTACGATACTCGAGATTGGCCTTTAGGCGCACGGTTCGCAAGCACGGCATTGATTTGGCCTACACGCCCATGATCGTGGCTGACTCATTCACAAAGTCTCAGTGGGCGCGCGAGGCCGACTTTCACACGGCCGAGGATGACCGGCCCTTGGTGGCCCAGTTTGCGGCAAACAATGGACCCGTGCTGGCGCATGCCGTTGAACTGATGGCACCCTATGCTGATGCCTTTTGTCTCAACTGTGGTTGCCCGCAGCGGTGGGCCATACAAGATGGTCTTGGGTGTGCCTTGACGTTGAATCCGGATGCAATGGTGGATCTGGTGCGCCACGCACGCGCAGCTGTGCCCCACCATCCAGTTTCTGTCAAAGTCCGCATTCGAGACACGGCTGCCGAGACGGTCGAGCTGGTGCGTCGCGCCGAGGCCATGGGCGCTGCTTGGATTAGTGTACACGGACGCACCCCCGCCGAGCGACACCAGCCCGTGCACTACGACATGCTCAAACTGGTCAAGGACTCCGTGAGTGTGCCCGTGGTGGCCAACGGTGACATTTTTACGCTCAAGGACGCAGATCGTGTTTGGAATGAAACAGGCTGTGATGGTATCATGGCCGCGCGAGGCTTGTTGGCGAATCCTGGTCTGTTCGAGGGTGGCCGCTACGTTTCGCGCGAGGTGATTGGCGACTTTCTGGGCGAGGCGCTCTGCACTGGGCTCCACACGAGCCTGCTGCAACACCACCTCAATTTTATGCTTGAGCCTATCATGGGGCGGGCTGATCGTCAGGAGTTTGGTCGCTTGCCTAGTGCCACTGCCATGATGACCTTTCTCGAGGAACGATTTGATATCAAGGTTAACTTGCCTCTGACCAACCCATCCCCGCACATGACACAAGTACACTGAGCAGCGGGGATGGAGACGAAATTCCTTTGCTGAATGGTTTGTCATTTGTAGCCCCCCCCCCCTTTTTAAGCAACACTGGACAGCTGCCATTCGACTACAAGTTGGGCAATTGACGCTGAGCGTCCAAAAGACGCCACTAGAGCACCGACTACCCTCAATGGGTGGGCAGATGTTGGCAGTGTCGTTTTGTACAAAATTGAAGCCCATTCCGAGTCGGGTCTGCTTTGAGCTCATCCAATCCCACTCACTGTGTATGGGTGCGTGCGTGCGTGCGCGATTACCTCCATCTCCATCCCTTCATCCCTTCATCTCTTGTCTTCTGCAACCCGCTGCCTCCAACCCTGTTTCCATCACCACTCTCAAACCCAGCTCTCCCACTTTCTCCGTGTGTCATCAACATCAGACTGAACAGTAATATGATGATGATGCACAGTTCAACAGTAAAGAGTTGTTGCGTTGTTGATGATTTTTTTTTTTTTTCTCTCTCTCTGTCTCTGTCTGTCTGTCTGTCTGTCTGTCTGTCTGTCTGTCTGTCTCTCTCTCTGTCTCTCTGTCTCTCTGTCTCTTTCTCTCTCTCTCTCTGTGTCTCTCTCTTTCTCTCTCTGTCTCTCTCTGTCTGTCTCTGACTCTGTCTCCGTCTCTGTCTCTGTCTCTGTCTCTGTCTCTGTCTCTGTCTCTGTCTCTGTCTCTATTTTTTTCTGTCAAGTGAAACACAAACAAAGGCAAAGGCAAACGGCAGTCGGTGGGTTTGGTGCTGGCAAACAGGAGAAGGGCGGTTGTAGTGGGGTGGGCAAGGCGGGGCGGTGATCGTGGTCTCATCTTGCTGGCGTTTGGATGCTTGATGTTGATCAACGCCGCAGGCAGCCGACCACGCCATCAATCAATCATCAAAGATCTGGTTTTGAATCTGCTTGACAGGTGAGTGGCGTCATCCGGCACCAAAGGTTGACGATGGCATGCTCCAGTGCAAGGGCTGGGGGCTCTGCTCAGCAAATGTGCACGCCGATTTTTGTCAAAGTGCAGTGGTGTTTGGTCGAGACCAGCAGCCAATTCACGCAGCCATGGCGAGTGACTTTGCCAATCCATACGTCGTGTCCATCGATGATGATGTCCTCAAGGATGTCCAGGCTCGCCTCCAGAATCGGCGCAAGTTTCAGCGCCAAGCCTGCCCGCCCTGGCAGCAAGGCTGCCGCGAAGAGGAGCTTGAGGATCTGCTGCGGTAGGCCATGCGCGCTAGTATAGCTTCACTCTTGGGCCCCCTGTCGTTGTTTTTGTTTGATTTGGTTGGCTCAAACTCGGCGGTAGCTTTTGGCGGGAGGAGTACAACTGGCGTGCTCAGGAGGAGTTTCTCAACTCCTTTTCTCACTTTCGTGGCGCTTTATTGCGTCCCGACGTTGATGAAACCCTGAACATACACTTTATCCACGAGGTGTGTCGTGATTCGCGCACCCTCGGCCCAAGCACTGCTAGTGGGCGCTGTCAGCTAATGCAGCCAAGCTCATGTTGATCGCACTGCGCTGCACGCATCTAGCGCTCAACCCACACCGAGGCTCAACCCTTGCTGCTTTTGCACGGTTGGCCGGGCAGCGTGGTTGAATTTCTCAACCTCATCCCGAAGCTGATCAACAACAAGGTGTGCCAGCCTCCAACGATCCCTCATCAAATTGCTCATCCACACACCCACCCTTAGCCTCTTCACTCTGCTTGCTTAGGCGGAGAGCTTTCACGTTGTGATCCCTAGCTTACCCGGCTATGGATTCAGTGATACGCCGCGCGAGGAGGGCCTCAACGCCGAGGTTGTGGCGGACATGATGGACGATCTCATGGCCAAGCTTGGCTATGATCAGTACTTTGTCCAAGGCGGTTTGTTACATCCGCTACCCACTCTCCCCACAGCTTTTGTCACGCGTGATTGCCTCGATCGCTTGATGAATTGTATCCCACGCTTACCCTGCTGTCTTTTCAAGATCATTCAAATGAATACCTAACAATGACCTTGTTCGGGCTCCGTAGGTGATTGGGGCGGCATCGTCGGGCGGGCCATCGGGGTACGCCACCCGGAGCATTGCAAAGCCTTGCACATCAATTTCTGCACGGCCGTGGCCCCGCCACTCAACAGTCCACGCAACCTGTGGACAATACTCCGCTACTTTGGCACTTTGATCCTGACCCCCCTTCTGCTCTCCCGAAACGATGCTGACAAATTGGCGGCGACGCGCGCTTTTGCCAAAGCAGAGACGGCTTACCAGATGATTCAGGGTAGGCGTTTGGGCCGCGCGCGAACATCGTACCACTGGGCATTTGGCACCCGGGTTCATGACTTGCCCGTGGACAACTTCCCACCGCGCACTGAACCGCAGCAACCAAACCCGAGTCCCTCGGCGTGGCGCTCTCTGACTCGCCTGCCGGGTTGGCCGCCTGGTTTTTGGAAAAGTTTTATACGTACGCTTCAATGCCCATATGCCTGTTTTTGTGTGCAAAGTCATCAAGCTTGCTGATAACATCGCAATGGACCGGCATGGTGTAGGTGGAGCGATTGTGACGGCGACGTGTTTGCCACGTTTGACAAAACCACCCTCATAACCAACATCATGCTCTATTGGATCAACAACAACATCACTGGTGCCATGCGCCTATGTAGGTGATGCTTGGCATCGTGGCAACCCTGTACCCACCCACCAGAGCGATACAATGGCTCACTGTGTTTTGCTCACTGGCCACTGACGCGGGCACAGACTACGAAAGCTTGGGCGTGGCCTCAGGCAAAAGCCTCAAGCTTGCCAAAGATTACTGCCGCGTGCCTACGGCTGTGGCTGATTTCCCAAAAGAAATTATTCGAGTGCCCCGGGCAGCTGCCCAGCTGACCTTTAACATTGTACAATGGCACGAATTCAAGGCCGGGGGACATTTCGCCGCCCTTGAGCAACCAGATGTAAGCTTGCTGCCTCTTGAACAGTTCACTCGCTAGTTTTGGACATGGTCATGGGATGCATACGCACCACTCATCGTCCCGCGCTCCTAGGTACTTGTCGAGGATATGCGCAATTTCTTTTTCCATACCGTCAAGGCGCCAGGCAACAATCAGCCCGCTAAAGCTAGTGCCCCAGCGCCAGATGCGTTTGACTATGGATGTTGGTCTGCATTGGCCTTGCTGTTGCTCTGGCTGTTGATCAAATTGGTCTGCTGATGCATCCCCGCGAGGGTTTTCTGTTTATATTCAAGACCTTTGCTAATTGGGCAGGAAGGGTTTGCTCGGGTCATCTATGTTCTTTTCTCTCCTGATAATCAAATGTTCAAGCAAGTCCAGCGAAGCTTTGTCAATTCAATAGACATTTAAGCTGTCACTTTCATATTTTGGCCTCCCTGAGTAAGAATTGGAAGAGCGGTGATCATCGTCGAAAGCCAGAAGAAACCGAACTGCTGCGCTTGGCCTGTTTGCTGGCTTGCTTGGCTTCGGCAGCCTTGCGTTTGGCCAGTGACGCTTGCTGCACGTGTCATGGGCGAGAACATGAATGCATCGAGACATGATCCACCGGAGCCGAATGGTTGGGAAGGCGCTGAAAAAAACCGGCAAGTTGAGTTGATGCATAGCTGCTTGGCGCCAACATACTTTGGTCAGGTGCTCGCGCTCCTCTTGGTCACGCTGGCGTCGTCGCTTCTCCAACTCTCGCGCTAAAATGCTTTGCGTTGAGATCTTGATCTCTATGTGGAATGCATGACACGATCGATCGAACAGGCGATCGCCAACATGAGCAAGGAGGAGGAGGAGGAGGAGGAAAAATGTGCCCATGCCCCTTGAAGGCATGCTGGTTATCCAGAGCCAGCACTTACCCTGTGGGTCCGCGTCGCGCTTGAGGGAGAACGAGGGTGGGAAGCTAGGCTGCGGGCAAGGGGAAGAGGTAATGAACTCTGGGCTGTTGTCCATACGACAAATATGATGCCAGGTAGGGAAGGTCCCGAATGAGCCACGGCGTACCCGAATCTGCAGAAACTGCGAGAAGCTTTGCGCCTTGATGGAGGGCAGTTGTTGCAAGGGGTCCTGCCGCCATGTCATGTTCAAACAAGCAGACATGGAGCCGTTGAGCTTGGCTGAGCGATCACTCAACCAGTGGGCCACGACAAGCGCACCTGGGAGGCCATGCTCAGGGTGCATGAGGCCAGACCGTAATTTTCAGAGCACACTTGCCCACCGGCGCGAAAGGCGGCAGAACTTTGGCCCCGATGGGCAGGTCCAGCCGTCGAAAGCTCGCTGCAAAGGTCGCCTCCTCACGCGCTCAAGATGACGCAACTTTACTCAAGGATGAGACGGCGGCAGCAGCCACCACGCCTGCAACAGACGCCTGCCAGTGTATTAACAGTACTCGCTGGGTGGCAAGAGGTCAAATTGGTGGCATAGGTGGATCTGCACGCACAGCTGTGAGCAGAGACCTCACCGCGTCCGATGACGTGAGACGCAACGAGTCGACAAACTGGCGCCGAACACACACACACACATACGACACACACACACACACACACATACGCACACACACACACACACACACACACACACACACACACACACACACACACACACACACACACACACACACACACACACACACACACACACACACACACACACACACACACACACACACACACACACACACACACACACAGAAAGAAGTTTTTTTTTCTGTTTTTCATGTTGTTGGAATTGGAGTTGGAACTGCACAATGGCAGCGCCAATGGCGGGGGATGGGGCGAATTGGGGCCAGGAGGCGGGAGGCCAGGGGATCGAGGGGGAGGAGATGTTCTTTACACTGTTGTTGCGCGATTCGGTGTGGCCTAAAGTTGTGCTTGGGCTGTTGGTGATTCTGCTCAACGTGGCCTTTGCTCGACTATCCCGAGTTGACCCTGAGCAAGGCGCTGCACTCGGTCCCGACACAGCAACGGGGAGTGGGACCAGCCCTGAGGCTGGAGAAGGCCGCGAGGCTGCTTCGCAATCTCATAAGCGTGTCCTCTTTGTGACTGGTCTGTTTGTGCTACTGGTCTGTGGGTCCATCGTTCTCGAGAGGGATGCACGCCTCTGATCACACGTGCATGCTCGCAGCACACCCGGATGATGAGTGCATGTTCTTTGGACCCAGCCTGCTTAATGTTATGCGCAACCACTGCGTCTACCTGCTTTGCTTGTCGACGGGTAAGGACGTACGCTGGGCTTGCTACCTTAGACTCGGTGGCCATCTGCAATGGTTCAGTGCCCCACCAAGATGGCTTGGCTCACACCAGATGAAACTTGGCAGGCAACGCGGATGGCTTGGGCAAGCAGCGCACCGCAGAGCTGCGCCAAGCTTTTGGCATTCTGGGCGGAGATGCCGATCGGCTGGCGGTACTCGATGATGCGTAAGCAGTGCTCTTACTGTGCTGGTTGCAGCCCAACCTTTGCTCTGCATATCACTGATTCCGGTTCGTGCTCGGGCCGAAACCAGACGACTTCAAGATGGTTTCGATCAGGAGTGGCGTGCGGCTGATGTGGCCGACCTTGTGCAGCAATACATTGCCCGCTGGGACATTGACGAGGTGTGCTTGGGCGCTTGACTACCTGGCTTGCCTAGTAAGCATCTTATTAGAGACCCGGACGTACGATTCTATGTGCGCGGCGGTGGGTGAATATTTAGGTGGTAACATTTGACTCGGCTGGCGCCTCGTGGCACCCCAACCACCGTGCAACATGGCGAGGCACGCGGTGCGTATGAATGCAAATATCATCAGCTGCTTTGATCAGGTTGTCCACGATCCTTGCTCGAGAGCTCTGGGGCTTGGACATTTCACCTTGTGACATGGTACTGTTAGACAAGCTTGCTTGGTCGTGAAAACACACCTCCGCACCCTATTGAGCGTTGGCATGTGGCGTAAATACTTTGGCATCATGGACCTTCCTTGGACAGCCATCTTGGATCCAATGTCAGCGCGCCCTGCCTCGGCTGATATCAGGAGCCACATGCCGCCATTTTTTTCATGTTGATTTCATCCTTGCTTTGCGCTCCCCTCCAGTCCCTCAACAGTCATGACGACAGAAGCACAGCGGGTGACCATTCGGGTTTGTATGCGTGCTACCTTTTCTTTCTAGTAGCGTGCTTCTGGGCCGTTCCAGACGTGACAATCGCTACTGTGCCTCAAACACCCGTTTTCACATCATTTTTTGTCCGCAGGCTGCCATGCGCGCCCATGCTAGCCAATATGTTTGGTTCCGTCAGCTCTCCGTTTGGTTTTCGCGATACATGTATCTGAATTCCTTAGTTTCCGACGAGGCGGTGACGCCCCAAGAGTAGCCAGGCGTTGTTCAAGCAGCACGTCCAGCCCGGTACTCAATTTTCCAGTTTGCATCCAATGCTTAGCTCAATGCCAACGTCACGGGCTCGTGGGCAATTCAGACCTACTGTGTGACCAAGCTACGCCCACTTTCCCATCTACTCTTGGAGCATGTTCATAGCCGCAGCCAAATTCAGGAGGAAGCGCTGGGTCGACGCCGCCATCTTCCGGCCCTGTATGTCAGTCCAACATCAACCAAGATCACTTTGTGGGTGAGAATGACGACACGCATGTGCCCCATCATCGCACGTGGCTATGTGGCCCACTCTCTGCCCTTTTCTGAAGCCAGACACCCACCGTGATAGTCTCGGCCGACAATTTGCCGTGCTCATCCGCCAGGTCCCGCAGCTTGTCCACAACATTGGCTGTCCGCTCCTTGAGGACCTAGTCCCAAGCACAGCGATTATAAGGAATTCATCTCGCTAGGCCTTGGAGACGTTCCCGCATTGCGCAAAGTCAGACTATGTCAAAGCTAGCAAGTTGAGACAGCACCTGTGCCACATCTTCGTCGCTTGCTTCTGTCTTGCCAGCCACCTCCAGAACAGCCTCGGCAATGTCGCGGTGCAGGCGACCGAGTGCAAAGTCACTCTCCGATGGCGCGGCAACTTGCACAACGCCCGCGGGCACTAACCAGAACCACGAGAGACTGAGCAAGGCGCTTCATCACAGGGGATGCTTCTCTCACACAATGACTCGATACCACCAAAACTGATAATAGAGGGATGCCAATGATTTACGACATAAACGACTTGTGAAAGCAGGAGCGGGACCTACTGTTGACCAGAACGTCATAGGCTGATTCGCGCTCGGCGAGCGCAGCATCAGTGGAACCAACAATATACGATGGCGTGTTGAGCGTGCTCAGTTCCTCCTGCATCGAACAAGCCACACCGAACCATGAGAGTGTGGCATGCCATCAGCCGCGTCACTTTAGAATGATTCTCCCTGATCATTCTTTTGTCTCAAAATGGTCTTGCAACTTCCCCTTGTCCTCAGCGCTAGCTTACCAGCGGCAGGTTGGGGTACACATCAGCCAGTCGGGATGTGGGAGGTGTCAGTTGAGCAATGGCTGTCACGGCACTCAGTACCGCAGAGGGACTCTCAGCGATGACAGCGACGCGGCGCTGCAGCAGGACTGCGACGTAGGCCAAGATCGTCTCCATTCCACAGTTGCCCCACAATTCTAAGCAACGAGACACCGAGACCCGCGATGACACCGGATTGCCACGTGATAGCGACACTCAAGCATCATGAAGAAAAATATGTATTGGTGACCAACCTTTCAAGCCCGACGGGGGCTGTGCCTCGAGGCCGGGCATGGTCGCCGGGACCCACTGGCGCTTGAAGCGGCCACGGACGGCACATGCCAGGAGCAGATTCAGCGGTGCGGTTGCATCGGCATCAGTGCAATACTGTTCTGCTAGTAGATCAAGCAAAGCAGCATATTTGTCCGGATAGAAGTCCTGTTTTTGGGCAACAGGCTTGCATGAGAGATGTACACGATGGCAGGGGTGGGGACTCGTCATGGGTGAGGGGAAAAACGGGACGACACAGGGCCGGATTTTGCCATGCATCGTTTGGTACTGGCAAGTGACACACCTTTGTGATCAGGGCAACGGTAAAGACATCCAACTTTGCAAGCAATACAAGCGCAGACAATCAGGGGTAGTTGCTGATGAGACGCGCAGGTTTACGATGGGAGACGGGAGAGCTGCACCAGCAAAAAAAGTTTTCTGTTTTTGCGCGGTTTGGCTGTTTGGGCGTGGACAGACCTGTAGTCGAGCAACGTCCTCAAAGGCATATGTCTTGAGATAGAGGCTGTACGTGGCTGTTCGCACGACCCGCTGAGTTGCAAGCGAACCACTGTATTGTGAGAGGGGGGAGCTGGCGTTGGCAGCTGCGAAGAAGACATCAGGTCAAACAGTCCAAAACGGTCAAAAACATACTGCTTGGTCAGTGGAGGAGGCAGGTGCCTGCTGCAACACCAGGTCGCGCTGTGCTGCGCTAGCCTCGGGATAGACCCAGGCGGTTTGCCAATGTTGCGCATCGTCACGCTCTGCACGCATACGGCGCACGGCGTGCGGATCTCATGAGACCGAAGAGCCCAACAGCGAGAGAAGCACCCCAAGGTCAACGTGGCAGACGAATCATATCCAACGTTACCAACCCAAAATCATGCAAGCAAGGATGTCTGCCATGGTGGCGATGCCGTTTCAATGCGCCACCAGCCACAGGACTTGAAAAAATAAAAACAGCAAGAGAGAGCGAGAGAGAGAGAGAGAGAGAGAGAGTGTGTGTGTGTGTGTGTGATTTGGAGAAAGAGAGAATTAACAAAATAAAGTTATACTCTCTGAAATTGAATTGATCCACCTCAAATGGGGGACGGGAAAACGGAAATGGCAGGGCGAGTGAGTGGTGGGCATGATGCCTGGTCGTGGGCTGTGGAAGGTCTAGGTTTGACAGCCACCATCGTAATATGTTTTGCCATGGGCTAGCCAGCGTGGAGTTTGGGAAGCTGTTTCAGCGACCTGCGTTGTTTGAGTTTGCATGGTGCGACTGTCCAAGGTGGGCGTCGCCAAGGTCCAGTCTGGGGCGAAGCAGCTTGGAGCAGCTGCGTCGGTACCGATTGTGCGCATGGACACACCCTCTGCATCTGGATAGTTGAGCTCTGTCCACAGGGCAACAAAGTCATGCTCCGATGTTTGTGCACCCGTGGACGCCTGAAGCAGCGGCAGCGCCAACAGATCGGCAGCACTAACGGGGTCGTCAGTTGTTTGACAACCAATGGTATGCATATCCAACCAACTCCAGTCTTCCGTTAATGTATCAGTGCCCTGGTCCTTGCGGTCCTGTGCTGGGCTACGGGAACCCCCCAACAGCCCCGCGTGCTCATGCACATCTGAAAGCAGCGGAAACAAGGGCTCGGCAGGGCCGATGCCCCGCGTCACGCGCGCAACTGGCTGTTCTTTGCTGTCGAACAATGTGTCCTGCGGCACTCTGCTGCAGTTGCTTGATACAGTGGCTGCGCCAGTCTCTTGGGTGTGACCCGTGGTGCACCCTGCCGCAGCAGACGATGCCTGGGGTGCTTTTGCAGTGGACCGAGCGCGTGCACGGGCACGCCGCTGCCGCTGCTCCTCGGCAATCGGGTGACCAGATCGGCGGGCATGGGCTGCCAGGCTGTCCCAAGTTGGGAAAGGAGTTGAACGGCAATGACAGTGGTAGGTTTGGCCGCAGTCTTGCTGGTGGCGGCGCAGTGCCGCCAAGGTTGGTAGACTGTTTTGACATTGGGGGCACGAAAAGTTTCGCCCGATGTGACAGTGCCGGTAATGTTGGCGCAAAAGAGCCAAAGAGGAAAAAGCCCGAGTCGCATGAGTGCGAGGGCACTGGGGTGCGGGGCAGCAGTATCGGTTGACCAACCCCCCCTCTTCCGGCGAAGCACAGTGGGCCAATGTTTTGTTGTCGCGGGAGGCAGAGGTGGGGTGACGTTGCTGCTGGTGACGAGCCAGTGCACCCGGATTGCCACATTCATGCCCGCACAGATCGCACAATAGCTTGGCCCGCTTGGTTCGGCGGAGGTCAGCAGCCGCATCTGGCAGCAGCTCTGCCACGCCTGGCCGCCACACACGCGTCGTCATGCTGCAAGCATACCTCAAAACTTGATAGAGTGCGAATGCAAAGTAAGTGTGTGTGTGTGTGTGTGTGTGTGTGTGTGTGTGTGTGTGTGTGTGTGTGTGTGTGTGTGTGTGTGTGTGTGTGTGTGTGTGTGTGTGTGTGTGTTAAAAGCAGTTTTAGCCGTTGCAAGAATAGAATTTTGCTGTCTCGTCAAGGACAGCGATACGTGACGAGGGGGGAGGCTTAGCTGGCTGGGAATGATTGGTCATGGCGGAAGCATCATCCTCCAGTCGTGCGCTATTTGAGCGCTTTCAAGCTGACTTTCCATCGAGCTGCCACAGCAAGCTCCGTCAGCTGCTGCGGCTAGCGCGACCCGATGACCTGTCGCTGGACTCACCAGGTCACGTGGCCTGCCCAATCTGTGCTGCCGAGATGCCCCTCGATCAGGTTGATGCACACATTGAAGCCGGCTGTCCTCCGGCAGAGACCCCTTCATCGACCACAAAGATACCTATGCCTGGTCCCGTGCCGGGCGGTGTGACTCCGCCAGCCAAGCGCGAGAAGCCAAACCCTCCAACCGAGGCGAGTCAGACCCAAGAAGAATCACCCGCAGCGATATCAGCTCCCAAAGTCAAGTCCAAGAGCAAAGACAAGCCCCCTGCGGCCGTTTCATCTCGTGGCTCTTCTCGTGGAGGCAGTGGTAACCTTCATGCTTTCTTTGGAGGTGAGGATACCACGGTCCCTGGATATTTTGTTCTGCACCGCACGGCTGGCCTGCCCACGCATGCCACTTTTGAGCGCGAAGCGCCGCCGGGGTTTCAAGCCTTGCAGCATACCTTTACTTGGGAAGGCAAGCAGGTATGGACTCGTGATAAACGTGAAAAGCACATCCTTTCTGGCGCTCAGCTCAAGGCCCCGCCAACACTTACCCGTCAACTTTTGGCCAGGCTCGGTTGGGCGAAGTCGGCGCAGCTGCCGCCAAGCCTACCTATCGATGGAGTGAGAACAAGCCGCAGTATCGTGATGCCCAGCTGCTTCAAAGTCATCTACAGGTGCGTATCCGATGACCTGGTGGAATTCCATGACGTTGATCCGGGCCTTTCGTCTGCATTCACGGCATCACATCGTTTGCGCGCGCGCGCGCGCCTGGGCCACACCCTGTTGAAGAAATGCGTGCGGCGCTGTCGGGCTGAACTGGCCGTTTGCAGCGCCCGCGAGCTGCTTCTGTTTGACCCAATCAAGGTGCTTCGACGGCTGCCCGTCATCATGATTGAAGACGGACAACTGTTAGAGTGCCTTCCGGCTCTCGTTTGGTACATGGTTGCCTTGAGCAAGAGCTACCGGCTCTCTGATGCCGATACGGCCTTCCTCCTTGGCGTCGTGCACGCCGTCGCTGCCTCGCCCTTCAAGGATGGCGCCGTCACATGGGGAGAAGTCGACGAAAAGTTCAACGGCCGTCATATTGTTAAAGTGAGCTGTCGGTCCATCCCTTGCTACGCACAAATGTGCTGTCATTCAATTAGATGGTACTTGCTGACCCGACCGTGCTCTGGTTTGGGCCACCACGCTTGTGTAGGCCAAACTTTCTGATGCGAAGCAAAAGAACGTCTTGTTTGCCTTGCTCCTACGCCGTGCACATGGGGGTATGAAGGGCGACATGGGGTACGAAGGCATCGTTTGGTGGTACCGATCATCTTCATGTAGCACCAACAGGTCGCCTTGATATTTCGCTTTTTTTCACTTTATTTGGAAAATTCTTTTCGCTCAGAATGCTCACTCGAGCCGCTCAATTATGGCTCGAACGCTTCAAGACTGATCATTCAGCCGCGACGGCCATGCACTGCACCACCAACCCCATTGCCTTTGCGTGAGTCTATTTGAGTTGTGGTGTGAAAGACAAGCCCCAAGGGTTCATCCTTGGGGGTTTTTGGTGCTTCCTTTCGCCCATGTGTTAGATCGGTACCAGCCCTGAAGCCGCAAGACTGGGAGACTAGTGCTGTTGATTTTCATTGTTCCAACATTCTCGAGCTGCTGGCCAGAGACTTTCCCGGTCGGTGAACGGACGGAGATGTAAAATCGACGGCTCAATTGCGCGTACAACGCGCGTGTGTACACTCTCACACAGCCTTTTGTGATGCAATCCTGAAATCATTAGGACTGGACCAGGCCCAACTGCGATCGGCCATGTGGGCATTCAGCTCCTCAGTGTCGCGCAAAAGCTGGGCGCCATGGGCACCCCAACGCGTCTCAGATGGCGACGATGCCAAGTTGAAGGCCATCTGGCAGCAAGTGGAAGACCGTGCCAAAGCACACGCTTTGCACATCATCCGTGACCGGTGCACTGCACCCTAGTTGTGGCTCAGATGGCTGATGATGGAAAAGAATAGACTGGGTCGACAGACTAGATCTATGATGCGTCTGTGGTGGTTGCTTGTGTCTGATCAAGAGATCGGCGGTAGCGCTGCAATGCGGTCCGTGGAACACAGAAACACGGATCCATTGGCGCTACGGACTCGTGTCCCAAGACGCCCAGGGCCGCAATGGCAAAGTGCGTGTGGAACAGGTCCTATGCAAGCCAAGTACCTTGTGTCACAGCGCAAAACCCACACGACAAAGCGCAGAGCAAATGCGGGGCTACCTTATAGCCCTGGGCAATACAAGCACGTAGCGCGTACCGGAGATTCATCTGGACGGGGGCTAAAGCCGCCTGCCGGCGTTTGTAATCGAAAAAGGGCCTTGATTGCAGCTGCCTTGTCAATCGCACCCAGCACGCTTGGACTAGCATGTAGTGTTGGCCAACCGACACGTGACAATGAGGCACACACGAGTCGCGGTACGACCAAGACGGCGTTGTGCAAAATCTCGAGCCCGCGTTGCAAACCAGACAAAAATTTTCAGAGCGCAGGCAGGACGCACCCTAAAATGGCCATAGTGGCAAGCACCCACCATGCGTAACAGCCATCGGATGCCTAAAATGGAGATGAAGGGCGGCCCATGCCTCTTCCAAGTCAGAAGAATTGCGAGACAGCATTTGTACCATGCTAGTGAAGCAAGTGAGAGCCGGCTAACCTTTTCTGGACGACCATTGAACCCGCCATCGGCTTGTTGACGTCGCAGCAGAAATCCCTTGAGGGTGTCATGGTTGGCCTTTTCGAGGAGCCCACACAGTTGCAGGGCGGCCACACAGCAGAACGTCTGGCCGGCGTGGGATTCGCAGCCAGGGCGCAAGCCAAAACCGCCGTCGTCGTTTTGGCACGCCAGAACGAATTCGCCTGCCTGGCGCACATTGATGGCTTCCGGCTGCAACTTGTCCACAAGTGCCAAGGTGGCCAAGGCACAATAGCTAAACCTAAGAATGATTGGCATGTGTGGTTAGAGGGGTTGGGCCGAGTGCTTGCATCTGGTCCTGGTAAGCGACGTCTGCATGATTGCCGGGATCCGACCTTGTATCAGTATCACTGGGATCGTTGCCGTAGTAAGCGCCCGAAGGCAGGAGGCGAGACCAGACAAATGCTTCAACTACCGTCACAGGCACGGGGTGGAGAGGCGCATCGTTGAGCGTCAAAGAAACAAAGAAAAAAAAAAGGAGAGAAGACTCTCAAGCCATTGGCCTGGACATCGGTAGCTACCTACGTGCGTCGGCGTCGAGCAGTTCTGGCTGGTTGTATAAAATGGCCAGCTGTACAGCGCTGTAGGTATAAAGAAGGTGCGATGGATACACCTCATTGCCAGCATAGCCTGCCCAAGAAAAAAGAGGAAAAGAATGGAATCAGACGTCGATCATTGGACAAGAAGAGCCAAGGCTTGTCACGGTGTACAGCACAGGCAGTCGATGACGGGGCGGCCCCAATCGTACCACCATCGTCGCGACGGCAGGCATGAATGCGCACTTTTTGTGCTGCGAGGTGGTCATCCTGCCCGGCTGCCGCCAGGGCGCATTTACCAAAGTAGAGACCTGAGAGAAACATGTGCTCCGTCATCCAATAGAGCACGCCACTCTCTGTCTCGGCAGCCTGTTTCACCAGCGCCACCAGGCGGGGTACGTCCAGTTGATCGTCCATCTCCAGACCTGACGCTCGAAGTTGTACACAACACAAAATGACAAAATTAGAATCCGATGAACGAGTTTATTTTGTGTGTGTTTTTGAGTTTTTGAGGTGGAGCCCTTTCTTGACGAGTTGCTTCTTGTGCGGTATGATTGTTAGAGTAGCACTATTTGGGCTGACACGCCCGTGGGCGACGCGCCATCAAAGTCATGCCACCGTTAAGCTGGCGGGACAAGGCACACGGAATCAATTTCATGTCTAGCCTACAGTGTTGGCTTGGGCACGGGACGAGCCGGAACGGTGGTGCGGAGACTTGCCAGAACGGTTGCTTCTAGAGTTGCTGGCACGTAAAGCAAATCCTTAATGTCAGCCTCTTCGGGGCACCGTACTTCCTGGTCAGCATAGACAGCCTCCAAACGCACATAACAACCCCCGTCTGACCCAGGTTCGTCGCGCACACCAAGCACGCGGCTCAAGACATAGCCACGCTCCATGCCACACGAGTACTGGGGACCACTGGCACCGCCGCGGCGAGATCGCTGCTTGCCTAGCCCTTGAAGCGGTGCCAATACAACCTCGTGGGCGAGTACGATCTGCCCTGGAACCACAATGGCCTCGTTGTCCAAAATCGAGGCTGATAACGGCCGGAAAGGCAAAATTCGTGATCTGTCAAGAGGGCATACACGCACCATCATGAGATCACCTGGAGCCAAGGGGAAAAAAAAAAAAAAAAAAAAAAAAAAAAAAAAAAAAAAAAAAAAAAAAAAAAAAAAAAAGAGGAGTAAAAAGCAAAGTGCTCTTACGAATCCACGTGGAGATGCTCGGGCGAAATGATCAGCGTGACCAGAAAGAAGGGTGTCTTGACGGTCGCACTGGTGACCGCTCCGTCCTCATGAAAACCTTCATCCCACTTGACACTACCCACGCGCCCGCGCCTCCAGATTCCGTCCAAGCATCGCACTGCCACTGTATGCGGGTGCAAGCATGCAGAACGGCAAATGATGAGCACCCGATACTCTGTGGAAAAAAGCCGGCCGAGAATAAGGGGAAAGGGTTATCAACACGCCAACCGTAGTCACGAATGTAAATGCTGCTGCAAGCATTGCTCCACTTGAGTGGTGAGCGTTCGATATAGTCAGCGACAATCCTTTGCACACGCTGCAGACGGCGCAGCGTTCGCAGGCCCATGCGCGAGTGCCGTGCTTGCAGGTTTAGCGAGGCGATGGCATCATTGACCGAACGCAAACTCGAAACGGCTGCTGATGCATCCACCCAAAGGAAATGGAGGGGCTCGTCGGATGCTGCATCTTGGCAGGTCTGCAAGTCGAGCTGGGTGTTGCCCAGCACAATGCTTTTAGGGCTTTGTGCCGCAGATGTATCCTTTGCCTCTCTGTGGACCAGGTACATCATTGGACAAAAGCGTGAGCAGTTGCTTCTGTGTCTGCTCTTGTTTCGCACTCACGAGCTAGACAAAGGCCAACCTCTGGGTCGGGCTCAAGATTCGATCCGGGCACAGCTTTACGGGCGGATCACAACGTACCGGGACTTGTACAGGTCTCCTCTTAAGCTGACCACCCAGAGCGTATCGGCATCATCAATAGATAGCTACGATTGTTGTACAGCACCAGCCGATGACTTTAACAAATGAGACACGGCCTACCTGACAAGGCTCTACGCAGGTACATGTTGCACCGCACAGACAAAAACAAAAAAACAAAAAAAAAAAAAAAAAAAAAAAAAAAAAAAAAGCACGCAACCGGCACTGGTGCAGACATGTGTGTGGGCAAAGGCAGTTCAGCCTACCTGGTGCACTTCGAGAAAGCTCTCAACTTTTGGAGTCGCCCAGAAGATGGCACCGTAAATGTCGCGCTGGCCGTAGCGCACAGCCGTTGCCAGCTCGTCCGGGTTGCCATTCTCCTTGACCGATTTGAACAAAGTGGTCACCGCACCCTTGCCATGAGCTATCTGCATCAACATGCTGTTGTTGTCCTCTTGCAGGCATTCTTCCAGGTTGGTGATGGTACTGGAGCGACTACGGCGACGGCGATCTTGGCGCTGCGCGGAGCGAAGTTGACGTTCGTGCTCCTGGGCAACGTGCCGAGCCCGCACGGCTGCTTCGTGGCGATCTTTCCGGAAGAGGGGATCCGGGCGCATGGTTCCAATGACGCCAGTGGCGATGGCCGTACTCTGATCCTCCCAAAACGTGCCGTAGCGATGTCTATGTGAAAATCCGGCCCGTGTATACACACGCCCCTTGGTAGTGACGGCCATTATGACGCCACAGCCGTATGAGATGCCCATGATACGGGCGTCGCACTCAATCGTAATCCACGCCCGACCAGTGGGAGAGTCCCACCCAACATTAGTTCGCACCAGTACCGTGCCCGCGTTTGTGAGGCACCAGCACCCGTGCGGAGCCAGAACGGCTTGAATGATGCGCAGCTCATCACCGCCACGCAGAAAGCGCTGATGCTTGGGGATCTGAACCCAACCACAACTCTTCAGGCTCATGTCGGCAGCAAATGGGTGGGCAGCTTCCTGGGGCGCATGTTCACGCACGAGGACGTACACCTGACCCTTGTCGGTGGTGACACACACCAAGCCCTGGGGCCCTGCACTGATGTGCAGCAGATTGACCGGTCGACGTCCCTGTGGCTCGGTTGGGAGCGGGCCATCGAGCACGTGAAACTGTAAGTGATCACGGACGTGGCCCGGTCGCTCCTCAAGGTTGGCCACCCACACGCGTTGTGAGATGTCAATGGCCCAAATACAGGCAGGCAGTGCGGGCGCAGGGCGTAGCGGGGCAGTGTCCTCATCCACGACCGAAAACCAGCGCTCCAAATTGGTTTGAGCGGCTCGTGCGGGATGGCGCAAATGGCGGCTGAACGAGCGTCGCAGGCGCCGGGCCATGCGATGCGCCTCCTGGTCTTGTACCGAGCGTTGCAAGGTAGCACAGAAGCGAAATAAGAAAATGCGCCAAGCACGCATCTCCCGGACCTCAAAGAATTGAATCTCCAGTGTTGAGTAGTCTTCATCCTGGGTTAAAATGTGGAGATGCGCATGATTGCGCTGGTCCGAGCTGCTGCTGGAAGTGCCGGCCAGCTGAAGCGGGGCTGAACCGACCGTCACTTCGGTAATGTGGTCAAAGGAGATGGCGGTTTGCACGCGCTCGGGCTCGCCCCCCACAGCAGGCACGAGAATGGTCAAACGACCACTTGTCACATCAGCTGCAATGATGCGTCGCTGAGTCAAGCCGTGCCGAATGAGCGTGACATTGGTCCGCAGCGCAGTGGAGGTGTCCGTCAGCACGAGTGGGACATATTGCAGTCGTGTGTTGGGCTGCACTTGGCGAGGCACGGCTGAGAGACGCAGCTATGACAGTGCGTGAACAAGCGATCATGAGGCGGGTGCCCGTCAAATGGCCCATTTACTCCCAAACTACAAAGTTTCGCACCACTGGCGAGGAGGTACCTTGCCTTCCCCCTTGCCCCACTGTCAACCTGCCATGCAACCTCGCAAGCCACGAAGCTCACCAATCCCATGCCAAGATGCTAAGGCACAACTTACCTGGCTGATGATGCTCTCCCGCCACGTCGGCTCGAAGCGTACAGGCAAAACCCGGTCATCGATCGCACCAATGTTTCCCAAGTCTAGACTTCGAAAGCGGATAGGTGTACCATGCGAAGAGTCTGGTTGCAGCTGTACCCAGACGTTGCCCATGGCATGCGCATCTGTTCCAAAACGCCCATATATGCGTCCGGCCGCCGTGATTGCAACCAAGAACCCGCGTTTCGTGTGCTGACTGAGAGACAGGCCCGTGAGTGGGGTCTCGTCTCGCTCGGGCTCTTGCACAAGAGCCTGCTCAAATTGCCCGTCTTGATCGGCGCGAAGGTGAGCGCGATAGAGGTAGTTGCGGAGGTTGTACACGGCCGGTGTGGTGATGTCGCCTTCGGGTGCAGATAGGGCAGAGTGGGATGGCTCAAAGGGGTCATCAGCAGAGGGTGAGGATTGATCCTCTCTACTTGGCCCTTCCTGAAGCCCTTGCTCGTCTGGATGCAACGAGACAGAGGCGCCATCGTCATCAGGACCGCCAGAAGTGGAGTAAACGCTTTCAGAAAGCGCATTGTGAGCTGCTTCTTGCTCAATCAGACCCCAGTTGGTGCTGACGTCTCGGCGTGGGTCAGCCAAGGGGTTCCACAGCAGGCTGGGCGTAAAAGCGGGGTCCCACTGCTGTCGCAGAGCATCCGACGCCGCATACACGATACCATCCACACCGAGCCCAACAAGCAGGTTGCAACTGCAGACAACTGAGCGCATCGGTACATCCGAAGGTACTTGAGTCCACACAACGTCATAGCGGGAAGCTCGGTCACCCAGTAGCTCTCGGAGATGGCCGTTCTCGACATGCATCGAGCCGGGCGTCAAGGCCACTGTGCGGCGAAGTTCGGGAAGGCGCGTCACATACACGGTTCCGTCCGGAGCAGCTATGGCCAATTTCCCGTCAACCGAAGCCGAAATTCGCCCTGGACCCAGGTAAGGCTCCACCGCTACCTTGGGAAGTTCGGTGAGTGGAATCCATTCGCGGCCTTCGGGCTCTACATCGCTGATGCCCCAGCGCACGTAGACCTAGGGATCGTCACCACGAACGCAAAGTGTGGGCAAGGTGATAAGCGTGACAAAAAGACTGCACATCCAATCAAAAGCCCCAAAAGTAATTTGATTCGGCAAGAGGCGCAAGCAATGGACGACGCACCGTCCAATCACGTCCCAGAACACAGACAGTGTTTTTGGCAATGGCGACATCAGCTGGGTCAAACGTAGCAGCTACACGAGCAAAGTAGGCTTGTCGATCGGTCACCTGCCGTGTTGTCACCCAGCACCGTCGCCGCACAGTATCAAATCTAGCAACGAGGGCAGGGACCGCATTGGTGGTGTGAGCCTCTTTGCTCATTGCCTTGTGCAGCACGAACAAGTCAAGAAGCAAGGAGTTTTTGCATTACCGGCCTGCCGAGGCACTCAGCGCGCCAACTGCACTGGTACCATAGGTCCAGCCATCGGCATCAGATGGCACGTCTACGTTCAAACGTGTGTGCGGCATCGCACGCACGCCGACAATAAGTATGCTGACCAAAGGCAATCGAGAGACATGTGCACCTGTTCGCGACGCACGCACCATCGGCCAAATGCCAGGGGCGGGAGGTCCACCGAGTGATGTCAATGTCCTCAAAGGCTTGCTCTCGAGAAAGTTCGCGGCGGGCCTCATCAAAGAAGCGCGAGCGATTCCATCGCCCACGCCAGTATTGAAACTCGTAGTTGCGGCGAATGACTTGAACCGACTGACCAAGAGCAGAGCGTGCAGGTCATAAGAAGGCGAATCAAGCTGGGTACAGGAAGTGCATGATGACGGGTGGAAACGTACTAGCGGTCGAGCCACCTTTGTAACTGGAAGCCCCGGGCGCACTTTGACCCACATTTGGCCTTGCTTATCAATGAGCCAGAGTTGTTGATCAAAGCTAGCCACTTGAGCCACCTGATAAAGTGATGGAGATGACAAGGTGAGTCTGCACGGAAGCAATCGACAAAGTCAGTGCAGGGTAGCTGGTCACCAACCGATTTCGAAAACCCAGTGTTTCGGGTCCAGAGCAAGTGAGGGCCGCGCAAGCATGCCACGTGCAAAGTGCCGTCGGTATCGACCGCAACAATGTCACTGGCCTCGGATTGGCGAAACCAGTTGCTGCGAGGTGGGGCCAGGACTTGTAGGCCCCCATCTCGCGCTTCTAGCGCCATGACGACGACTGTACTGGTACCCAAGTTTGCTCGGTGTACAGCGTGAACAAGGCAAGCAGGCAGTCAGATCAAGGCGCACAGGCGACGCTCAAGCACCTAGATCAATCGGCAGCGTCCTGTGCAAGGTGTTCAGCCCATGGTGCCCCGCGTCGGAAGGCAGGCTGGTCGTAGCGCTCAGCGATGAGCGATCAAGCCCGTTCCAATTTCAATCCAGAAGGAATAAAACAAGCCTTGGTCACAATCACAAGCCGAACCAGGCAATGAATGGGACACGATCAAAATGCGGGTGTGTAACAACGGCACAGCCCGAGTTTGCGTGAACTGCGAACAGAGGCAACGGCCGAGATGCACCAGCACCAGCACCACCAGCTTCAGCACCACCAGCAGCAGCTTCACAAGGAGAGAGGAGGGACTCAAACTGCACTTGTTCCAGACTGGAGGTAAAGAGCCACTTTTATCTGACAATACCTCATTTTATCTGACAATACCTCATTTTATCTGACAATACCTCATTTTATCTGACAACGTTTGCGCGGATTTTCATTTCTGTACACACACACACAGAGACACAGATACAGAGACACACACACTGATCAGGATGGCGACCCGGTCAATGGCGGCGGCAAAGGCGGTGGATCATGTGGAGGTGGAGGAGGAGGAGGAGGAGGAAGAGGAAGAAGGAGGAGACCTTGGCTTGGGCTTTTTTGGTAATGTGGACAATGTAGACCTTTCTGGTAAGCACCTTGCTGGCCGTTCTCTTGCTCAAAGGAGGTGCCCTCGAGGCTTCTCTCATCACAGCGCCCTGAAAATGATAATCGCACATGTTTGTGTGCATGATTGGGTGTAAAACCCAAAGACAGCGACGACGAGGACAGCGCGGGAAACGGTGAGGGTGAGGGCAAGCGTGCCAAGCGTGGAGACGACGGCGAGCCAGCACCTGCACTGCCCGGCGTGGACGAACTCTTGGCTGGCAGGCAATCCGGCCCCTCCTACCTGGACACGCGTGGCCTCTACGCGGGGCGGCATGTCGAGACCTTTGACACCCGCATTGAGCCCAAGGCCAAGGTGTTTGTCAAGCGTGCACCCTCAGCCAAGCGAGTTCAAGAAAAGGTTGGTCGTTCACGCGCAGACAATGCAAGGAGATTCCAAAGGGCCTGAGATTTATCTGACGGCAGTTCTCATCGTGTGTCGACTCGTGGTGCTTTTGGGGGGGTGCCAGGCAGAGCGAGCACAGGCCATGGCGGCCAAGAACAGCGGCCTAGTCAATGAGATCACGGCAGCAGCACAAGCCATGAGCTCGACCTACCAGTATCACAAGGTGGAGCCTGAGGACGAGGAGTATCGAGCCTACATGGTCAAAGACGATGACAGCGAAGACAAAGCCGGACACGATTCCTCCCGAAAGGCATCCAACTTCAATAGCAAGGAAAAGCGCAAGCGAGATTTGGGTCAAACGAGCCGTACGTTTCGCACGCACTTTGCACGCACCAGTTCATCCGTTGGGGGTGTTTGGGTTTCTCGAGCTCTGCCAGCACTTTTAAGGCTTGTGTGGATGTCAATTATCACTCATCAATTCGTCATGGTTCACATCACCTGTAGGTGGCAAGAGCTATGTAGAGGAGGAGAAGCGACTGTTACGACAACAATCGGCGCAAGGTGGGTATGGCTTTGACTGAAACGTAAATTCATGTGATAAAACAAGTTTTGGTGTCGCGGAGCATCAGATCAGAGCTGCAGGCCTCGCAAAAATGCTCAGAAGGACAAAGTTGGGTGGGATGAACACAAGGGCAGCATGTGACAATTCGCATATCCCACATACACACACACACATACACGCGCGTCCCCCGGCATGCCCACACGACACCCGACCGAGTGAAAATTCACTTTGGCACCAGTTAATTGCTGAAAAAGTGTCATTAAGACTAAGCCGAGGTCGTTGGTGTTGCCGTCGTTTCGCTTTTTGGCACTTCGGCCGTGTCAGACGGAAGGTCGTCAGTCGGCTTGGGAGAGGGTGCTGCGTCAGTATCGGTTGGCTTGGAAGAAGCCGAAGCACCAGCGCCTTCGGAAGAAGCCGAAGCGTCGGCCGCCTTTGGAGGCGCCGATTTGGGGGGCTCTGATGGCCCTGACGCCTGTGGAACTTCATTGGGCTTTGCGGGTGCTGATTTAGGCGGATCGGCTGCACCAGCCGACTTTGGTGGCACCGAGCCATTCGAGGCCGAAGCTGAGGCGGCCTGCAGAGATTTGGCAGCCATGTCCTTCCACTTGTGGCAGAGCGCTTTGGCTTTAGCGGACACCTTTTCATTCGAGTGTTTGCCCACCTAATGTCATGAACGCAGGGAGAGCCGCCACGATGAAGCAACGCTTGCATGGAGCAAGGTAGCACGGCACTGTTGTCAGCTGACCTGTTTGACGACCTTGATGATATCAGCCTGCTGCATCAAGGTTGAAGCCTTGCAATTCAGAGCATCCAACTTGTCCAGGGCTGCCAATGCCCCCGGAATGTTCTAACCGGTGTAGCCCGGTCAAATGAGAGGGCGACAAATCAAGTCAAACCCCCACTCAAGCCGGCGCGGCTACTCACGGGGCTGTCCTTGGGCAGAGATGTCATGAGCTCCTTGGCAAACGCCTTCATTTGATGCTCAACATCTAACGCCACAATGCAAACCGGCATGATGCATCGGGTCAAGGGCTCGCTGGAGTCCTGCGCATATCAAAAGTCACGCGCGTTAAGCGAAGCGGCAGCCCGCTGGTTACCCAAACTTACCAGGAGCAGGGGCCAAAGGTCGCGGCGGTTTTGTGCTGTCAGAAGCAAACAAAAGATGAGCAAATGTGGATTGAACGCCCTGCTGCCGCCATGCGCCGATGTGTGCAACAGAAGCAAGTCGTCAAAGCTACGCACGGCGTCTTGGCTTTAGAGGCAGGCTTGGCAGGCTTTTCTGCCTTGCTCTTGGGCTTGGCGTCGGCCTTGGGTTTGGGCTCAGCCTTGGCCTTGGCCTTGGGTTCAGCTTTGGTCGGTGCGGGTTTTGAAGGCTTTGAGGGCTTTGACTTTGGCTCATCGTCTTCGACCTCATCCTCACTGGATGAGATCTCGGGCAACGCCGAAATGATGGTGGTTTTTTGAGCTGAAACAGCGTGGCCATGAATGAGAATGTCGCGTCACGGTGCTGTGCATGCCAAAGTGCTGGGCGAAGCGGTTGCAAACATACTGGGCTGAGCCTGGATTTTGGGTGTCTTCGGCTTGCTCTATCATGGGGGAGGCGGTCAAGGCAATGGTGGAAAATTTGGGTGACGTGACAATGACGTGAGCATGCAAGCAGAACCTGCAAGAGCCTCGAGAAGAAGACCAACCACAGCCTCATCATCACTGCTGTCCGAAAGAAGCATACTGGCCGACCCGACTGTGGTTGAGCTGCGCTTAGCCTGCGATGCCTCGAGCCCCAGCAGCCACACACGCGCTTGTGAGGCATGGGGTTCAAAGGTTGGGCGGCGTGTGAGGCGACATGCACACCTTGCTCGCTGAGGACTTTGGCGCAGCCTTGGCCTTGGCACGTTTGGGCGGCGCGGCAGCTTGATCATCGTCATCATCGCTATCTGAAAGCGCGGCACTTTTACGAGCCTTGGCGTTGGGCTTGGACTTTGGCTTGCTGGCGGCCGGGCGCTTCGCGGGGGCCTTTGTGGGGGCCTTCTTGCTTGGTTTCTTCGCCTCTTCCTCGGACTCTGAGGCTGACGATGCTTCCTCTTCCTCCTCGCTTTCCTCGCTTTCCTCGCTTTCCTCTTCCTCCTCACTCTCGGCGTCCTCATTGGCATCAGGAGCCATTCTACATCCACAAGCAGGCGTCAGGGTGAAAGGATGAGCTCTGACGACCGTCAAACCAAAGGCATGGTCAGGCACGCTCTACATCCGAAAGCCATTGGTAAGCAGCAAGCTCAAATGCGACTTGTTATGTGTGCCTTACTCGGGCGGCTGCTTGCTGTCGTCGTTGAGCTCCTTCATGGCCTTGAGAAAGACCTTGGTCTTGCTCTATGCGCACAAAATTGTACAGTGACCGGGATATTGGGTCGTCAGTTCAGTGACAGGCCGTCAAGCAAAGGTGACGGATGATTGTCAAGATCTAGTTTTATTAGCAAGAAGAGATGCTAAAACGCCTATCCGGGAGGACGGCACACCTTGGCAATGATCTTGGCGGCAGCATCGCTATCAATGGCCGTGAGATCCGTCTTGTTGTGATAGCCATAAGACCAGGCCGGTGGTTGGGCAAAGTAGAAAACAAAGAACTGCCCTTCCTTGTGATCGACGCGGCTTTGCGTCGCGTTGGGCCGCACCACCTGTTTGTGCAATGATCCCCCGGGGCACACGGGTCATGAGCTGAGTGGACGAATGCAGCCAGATGCCATGAGACGGGCAGCAATGCAGCGGGAACATACCACTGCAGGATAGTGCTTGCCCGAGTACTTGGCGAGCACCTTGGTGCCCAAGGGAAAGTCGGCGTCTGAATCCATGGTGATCAATACCCTTGTCGTCCAACAACAAGAACAGGATGGGCTCAGAAGAACGCAAAAGGAAGGCAGATCACGCCAATAAGAGCGAGAAATGCAATAGTCGCCCGAAAGAGCCGGAAAATGATCAACGCAGACTGAAAGACAACGTGTGAGGCCTTGACCGTTTTTTTTTTTAAGTCTTTGCTTCGTGTTGTCTCTTCTCTCTTCTCTCTTCTCTCTCTTCTCTCTCTTCTCTCTCTTCTCTCTCTACTCTCTTCACTCTCTTCTCTCTCTCTTCTCTCTTCTCTCTCTTCTCTCTTCTCTCTCTTCTCTCTTCTCTCTTCTCTCTTCTCTCTTCTCTCTCTTCTCTCTCTTCTCTCTTCTCTCTCTTCTCTCTTCTCTTCTTCTCTCTTCTCTCCAAACCAATTCACTTCTCTCTCTTCTCTCTTCTCCTCCTCTCTCTCTGCTCTCTCTCTTTCCGACAACGCCGCAGCCTCGATGACCGCGGTTCCAGCGATTCTGGCAGCCTTTCGGACGGCCGCGGCCGAGAAAGATGAGGATGTTGATTTGCGACAGCACCCGCTTCAACCGATGGAGGTCGAGGTTGTCGCCAGGCAGGTGTGTCGCCATTTCAAGGGCGTGCGTGCAGCGCCCCTGCCTCTCTGTCAGTGGTTGCCCGTCATGTTGAACTTGATTAACCCCAGTAGGTGAGCTTGGCGCAGCATGTTCGTCACCTCTGGCTCAGCCACTGCTGCCTTGGAGATAAAGGTTCGCCCCGGCTCATCGACGGGACAGATGGGGTTGATCTCTCACCCCGTGCGCCGTGCGCCGGGTCCCACATGACAAGTGTCCATGCTGCTCATGTTTGTAGGGCTACGTCGCCTGGCCATCGGTCTTGGAGATGTTCCCCACTTGACCCATTTGTCTCTGAGTAACAACCAGATTACCGCACGGGGGTTAGAGTACCTTGTCGCGCAGCTGGAGCTGGCACGAGATCCACCACTTGAATATCTCAGCTTCCGCAGCAATCAATTGCATGATCCGCACGTCGCCTCAAAGTGCGACAGCCTTCTGGCCCGTTTGCTGCGCGCCCGCCCTGGACTTCTCGAGCTAGGCCTAGAAAATAACGAGTTGAGTGGGCTGAAAAGTTTTTGCGACGTACTTGAGGCATGTGAGCCCAAATTGGAGAGCCTCACGCTCAGCCACAACTGTTTGAGCAACACCGATGCGGTGAGCCTGATCCAAGCCGCTTGTCATGGGCCAGCTTTGCGTGAATTGGTGCTGTACGGCAACCCCGCTCTCACTGCACAAGGGTTGCAGCAAATGCTTGACGCTTGTGAGGCCGCACCAGGGCCGTTGCGAAGCCTGGTTCTTCCCAGCGCGCTCCGCGCCCTCGGCGGGCGGCGTGGAGCCTTGCGCGTTTCGTTTGAGTGATTCTTTGGAGCGCCGGGTACATTATCATTATTATTATGACGCAGTGTTGAGTGCCTATGATAATCGATTTTCCATAAACAGTGTGTGTACCATCACACGATAGACTCTCTCTAACGTTCAAGCTGTGGGCAAAGGGTCCCTGTTGTCGGCGTTACGGTAAGCCGCCCACGAGGAGCGCGGGGCATTCGGTGTGCCTACGCCGTCTTGGACTTGCTTGGTTGGATGGTTTTGGGGTGGTCCACAGAGTCGCGCATGAGCCAGATTTCCAAGAACCAGACAGATAAACCAATGACCCCATTGATCACGAAGATGAGGGCAAGGTCCATGTGTGAAGCCGCGATTCCGAGAAGGACGGAGACGAGGTAGCGGAGGAAACAACCCAAGAACTTTTCGACAGCAAACATGGCTGGCAGAAGTCTCGGATCCACGGCTTGCGAGAGCCAGACGGAGAGGGCAATGGTGCTGGCCTTGCTGACACAAAAGGAAACAGCGTTCAAGGCCCCAAGTAACCAATGGCTGTCAACGCAACCCAGAGCGATGATGGCCAGACCGTTAATGCCTCCCAGGAGCGCATACATCTGACGAGGCGTGAAATACTCGAGGAGATGGCGCGATTGCATGATGGACACGATTGAGGCAGCGGCAGCAAAAGAGATGCAGTAGCCTTGAAAGGTCGGGTCCATTCCAACTTGGCGGTAGCGGGAGGACAGGAAGGTGCCCACCACATGCGAAGGCATGGAGATCAAGAAGACGTGCAGGAGTGCCGAGCGAGCTGATGAGACGGAGAAAATGTCAACGTAGGGTTGTACCAGAGTGCGTAACGTGAGGGTGGGTGTCTGGGGAGTCCGCGTGGCTGCCAACGTCCCGCTCTGAGACGCCGGGGCATCAGGGTCGGCACTGAGGAATCGCTTGTCCAACAGCGCGCAGGCCAGAAGTGAAATGGCAGCGGTGAGGAGGAAAACCGCCCAGTAGCCCTCTGGAATGAGGCGAAGGATGACGGCAGTCGTGAGGGTGGGGCTGATGACTGCGGCTAGCGAAGCCAACAAGCGATACTCGGCATTCAGGCGAGCTTGGAAGAGCTTGTCGTGCTTTCCAACCGCCTGCAAAAGGGCGTTCACCTGCACCATGCCCAGCGAGCAGACGGCACTTCCCAGGGCGACGCTGTAACGAAAGGGGTGGTAGGACGTGACGGCCATGAGGGCCAAGCTCAGGGCGTTGGCAATCAGCGATCCTTGGAGAGTTCGGCCAGCGCCAAAGATGGAGCCAAGCGATCCCAGCAGCGCCACCACCAAGGCCATGCCGAAATAACGCAGTGCAAAGATATCGCTGGCAAATTCAGACCTAGTGAAAACAAGGAGACGCGCAGGTGTCTCATGGTCAGAAAAGTGAGGCCGCCGCGGAGCGGCGCGAGCAGAACATCTGCGGGAGCTGGAGTACAAACGAACGCAGTGCGATCAAGGCCGTTGACGACATAGAGCTGGACAATTGTCGAGTAGATGACACCAGCTAGCTGCACGGCAAACCCTGCCAGCAAAAGCGGCCAGTGTGGCACGGGAAACCCCGATGATCCGCCCGCTGCCCCCGAGGGCGCCGCAGTGCCCATCACTGCGTGGTGGTGGCTTCTTTGTGAGAACAGCGGCACTCACAGCGGCACTCACAGCGGCTTCTTCCAGGACACATTCCGCGTGCAGTGTTGTCTTGCCACACCCACCTAGTCAACTCGCACCCCGCCTCCCGCCTCCTATTTCAGCTTGCTACAGCAGCAGCAGCCCCCAGACCCGAAATCGCCCGTGCTTGCGAAAGTTGCCCACAAAGCTGAGAGATCTGAAGGCAAGAACAGAGACAGACAGGAAGACAGAAAGAGACATAAAGAGAGACAAAGAGGGAGACAGAGACAGAGACAGAGACAGAGGCAGAGACAGAAAAACAGAGGCAGAGACAGAGAAACAGAGGCAGAGACAGAGGCAGAGACAGAAACAGAGACAGAAACAGAGGCAGAGACAGATGTGACAGAGAGAGAGAGAGAGAGAGAGAGAGAGAGAGAGAGAGAGAGAGAGAGAGAGAGAGAGAGAGAGAGCAGCACACAAAAACAATTTCACAGGTTTTTTTGATTTTATTTTTGGAGAGAGTTTGTGTGGAGCATCTTTGTGGTGAGTCGAGAGAGGGCAGTCGGGCTGTGTCGGTGAGCGTGGATATTGATGCCTGCTTCGTTCGGGGAGAGGGGGGGGGCTGGCTTAAAGGCGAATGAATAAACAAGTATTGTCTTTGCTTTATGTTGCAGATTGGACTTCCCACCGCACAGCCACTATGCCGGACATTCAACATGTTGTGGTCATCGCCATCCGATCGGATGTGCCCGACGCCCAGCGCGAGACTGCGCTCAAGGCTCTCCGCGCGCTCCGCACGCAGCTCCCCCACGTCATCAAGAGCCTTCGTGTCGAGCCCATCGCCAGGTACGATTCATTTTTCCGTGGAAAGTCTTTTGGCAAACGCCTCTACTTTCCCTCGCCAAGCTGATATTACGCATTTATCGCGACCAATGTAGCAACCTCTATCCGGGATTTGACGATCGCTCGGGCCACTACACCCACATGCTCGTGTCAACTTTTGCCAATGCACAGGATTTGAGCACCTATAACTCGGTGCGTGCATCCTTCATCTGTTTTGCCCAACTCTTGCTGGACATTGGACGTGCTGGCTGCTTCTTTTTGCCTCACTCCCTCTGCTTGTATTGCCATCACATTGCTTAGAGTCCCGAGCACTTGAATGCTTTGGCTTTGGTTCGCCCAAGTATGTTTGAAGCAGAACAAATGCTCTCTGCCCTCCCTCCTCCCCCCTTTCCTGGGCTTCTTCCTCCTGTTCTCTGGTCAATCTGACGCCCTCCAACACACACTCACACGCTCTTGCCGTTGGATATGACCATCACTCATAGTCCTGGCCAAGGAAGATCCCATTGTGGCTGCGGACATTGTGGCCAGCCACAACTTTGACAAGCCCTGGTGGCCAAGTATGTCATGGTGCCTTTTGTGTGCGCCAAACTACTGCTTGAACGTGGAAGCACCACGCGGTTCTTGCTTGCTTGGTTTTTCAGGCGCCTGGCCAGCGCTGACCCACCCTCCGCTTGTGTCTCCGCAGCTCTTGCCGGCGTTTTTGGCGGTATCGTGGTTGGCTCCATCATCACGGCTGCTCTGATCAAGACTGCCTAAGCCTCACAAATTTGGCAGAAACCGACGTTTCTTTTTCACTTCTCGTCCCTTTATACCATCATGTTGTTGTTGTCCACTTTTCCCGCCTCGTCCGGCATCTCTGTTTTATCAACTGCTCAATTGCACAGCAGCTGGTGCCAATTCCATCATTTGCGTCTCAGACGCAGGTTCTAGCCTGCTCGGTAGTCATCCTCTTGTTCCTTCCTGCAATCATTTGGGTTTGCCGACCGTGATGGGGGATTCTAGCTCGGCCATCTTGATTACGGCGCAGAAGAATGACGTCGCCCCTATCTCCGCCATAGCCACGCCACTTTTCATGAGCCTCAGCTTCGAGTCCTTGGCCTCGGCTTCTCGATAAATGAAGACCCGAGCTGCAATTCCAAACTCACCTGATCATGCCGCAGACTGACAAGTCGTTGCTCGTGGTGCCCTGAGGGCGCTGCCGCTGCCGCTGCCGCTGCCCGTACCTCGGAACCTCTTTGGCCGCCACGGTGTGATGTAGCCATGTTGCGGAAACCAAACGCATTGTAAGGCCAAGCTTGGGCAACGTCGGATGAGAGGGTTTGAAAGCTCTGGCCAACGGGCGCCTGGAATAGCGACTGGGAGCAAGTCGGGAGAAGTGTTGAAGGCTTGGGCTCGGAGAGATGATCGGGCAACTCTAGCTTGGCCTCGCTCGATTGCTGTCGCGCTAAAATAAGTTCAATAGCATCAAGCTGTTCAGCGTTGTCGAGGGGCTTGGCCAAATTGAAGGCGTCTAGCCACCACGACACAGGCATGAATAAAAAACATGAGCGTGACAACCGCCAGGCACGAACATCAAGCCATCGCAGAGTGGACGGGTTGTACTCCTGTTGGCACTTGCCCTTATACCTTGAGCATGTTCGATGGGCCCTGTTGAATGACCGCTATGGTTTTTCATTGTACACGCCGGCGTACATCGCCGACCATTGTCCACATGATCATTCCATCCCGCACCTGAAACAAATCAGCATGAAGGGATCCACGATGCACACGCTTGCGTGTGAGAAGGTTGGATCATGCCGTCTCCTGCCTTGGACGTTCCAAAGTGACCTCAGACGCACAGACGCGTGGACGGACAGGTAGACGTACTGCCAAGACACAACCCCAACTCGGCAGGTTGACCGGTCTTCGCTTCAAGCTCGCGCGCATGCCCCATCAGGTGGGCCTTTGATGCACCAGATCAGCCGGCCAGCCAGGACATGAGTCCAATCCACGCAACTAACAAGCATTCAACGCAGGATTGCAGCGGCGACTGGCTGACGCACCGGGTATGCCGATGTTGGAACAGCCTCATCACAGATATAGCAGGCAAAGGGTCGCGACTGCCCAGCAGCCATGATGACTTGTGACACCTGACCCCCCTCGAAATATGATGACAAAATGTTTCGATTCTTTCTTTTTTGTTCCTAACGTTATTGTTGCTTCACCTCCACCCCTTTGGTTTGGTTTGGTGATCACAATGGCACTGTCGAACGAGACTGGGATAGTTGGCAGTTCGATTGCACCAGAATACCAAGGGGAAAGGAGACCGCACTCAAGAAGAGCCAGATCGTTCCCAGCGCCCAATAAGCCCTTGGACCCGAGATTTGAGGGTATGTGAATCTTCGCGGTGTGGCTTGAGCCACGTTCGTGGTGCCACATCGAGCATGCCACCAATAATTTCCTATTCTCAAGCGATACACAAAGAACGTGAGAGAGACCCAAGGAGCAGTAGAAGAGAGAGGTCAAGGGACTGGGCCTGCTGCGAGATACATAAAAGCACGACTCACGGCGCCAAAGTACTCTGGGAACAGCTCCTCGTCCTCCACGACGTGTGCAAAGCCACGATCAGGACTAAAAGCTACGTAAAAGTAGGGAAATCCTTTGGGAACGGCACGATAAATTCCGCCCTCCCGCACATCTACCAGCTTCTTGTTCTGCGACCATTGAGCGTCGCTCTCCAAGATGGCTTTCTAAATTATTTTCATCCCCAAACGTTAAAGCGCCAAATGGGGCACCTCATGGCGTGAGATGCACAAGAAGCGTTGCCGTCGCACCGGCCGCGCCATCGATATGGCGATATGGGCGTGCACAAACCTTGAAGAACATGGGCGCCATGGTCGCATCGTCAAAAGAAAGTGGAACACAATGCAAGACAGTATGCCGCTGTTTGTGTAGACGCATGGAGCACTCGAAGAAGACCACATCTTTCTTTTCCGGGGCAAACATGGCCACCACTCGCCGTTGCAGGGCCTAGTAGCACAGAGGAAAAGAATCACCGGAGCAAACCATTCAAAAATGAGGTGAGAACTGGCTGGAATCAAAAAAAAAAAAAAAAAAAAAAAAAAAAAAAAATCTTTCCTTTCCCACTTCGTCCCCGAGCATTGCCCTCTCTAATTCATCCTGGCATCGATCAAAGAGAACTTACTCGTAACTCTTCACGCTCATCCTCTTCAAGCTCAGTCAGACCAGTAACGTGTCGGATCGGAACCAAGACACAGTGGGTAGAAACGAGCGCCCCTCTTTCCGGGACCATCAAGATCATCTAGACATGGCAATGGAGCCAAGTAAGACCAGATTGCTTCCCTGCACAAGGTAAGGTTGGCCAGCAAAGCGCATTACTTTGGTGCCCATGTGAGCCACAAGATTCTTGCGGAAGCGAGGCGCGTCCAGGCAGTAATGACAAGACTCGAGCGTTTTTTGCTGTCGGTGATAGTCTGTTTCAGGTCAGAGCACAGCAATCAAGTAAGTGTTGCTTCGCGGTTGACCAGCGCAACGCAGAAGCAAAGCAGGGATTGGAAACGGATCTGGGCGTGCCACAGACCTCGAACGGCGCGCTGACGGTCCTTCTGCTCACGCCGCTCACGGCTTTGCCCCTTGGCAGCCTGGTCCACAAATGCATCATCAACGGTGTAGTCCTCGCTGTCCAGACCGCGACCGTGTGTTCCAATGGTGCGCATGGCAGCGGCATCTTGGTCATCGTCCAGGCCTAGGCGTTCGCGTTGCAAGAGGTCCTGTACATTCTGACCCATGCTATCATCGGCAAAATATTGGTGCCGAGTGCCCTCGCGATCGTGTGTGGGCACCTGAAGGACAAGCCATGTGATGCAATGAGCTAGCCCACTTTGCACACTAAGCGGCAAAATGGCCAACCCTAAGCAACAAGGTGGGAGGGAACGGGCAGAGGCGACTGTACTGACTGTGCGAGATTTATGGCGTTTTGCTGGCATGACTGCTTCCAAATTGACGTTGGCAGGCATGACCATGCCTCGGCGGGTGGTGGTGGTTAGCACGGCCACCTCTGCTTCTTGACCGTCTGCACCTGACATCTCCGCGCCTGAGCGCTCACTACTGCGCTTTGTAGCATGCCCAGTGCGACCACGCTCACGGCCACGTTGATTGCCTGCTTGAGCCCCGCGGGGGCCGGTCTGACTACGGCGTGCCCGCGCCGCCTCTAACCGGGCCTTGAGGCGTGCCACATCCTCCTACATGTCACCAGCAGCACATACGACGCGAGTGAGTGACACCGCCCGTGTGTGTGTGTGTGTGTGTGTGGGCGAAGGGGGGGGGGGGGTTTCAGAGGACAAAACTTGCACCAATCAGAGTTGCGTGGCATAGAAGGACCATACCTCATCACCCATGATTTCTGCCTGCATGAGCTCGGCTGCCATTTCATTCAAGGCTGCATCCGATGGTGGTGGCGAGCCCGAACGCCCAGCTTCGTCTTCCCCTTCAGACTCGCTGGCTGATGGCGACGGCGGAGCTCCCCTTGCCGAGGATGGCGGCATGCTTCGAACACCAGTCGACGGCGATGGATCATTGGAAACAAACTTGGATCGGATAAACTGGCTCTGGCTCGCGGCACTCGACCAGCCCGAGTTGCTGGCACTGGGTCGCAAGAGTCCAGAGGTTGACTCGCGAACACTCGACGCGTACTGCGAAGACGCGTTTGCAGCATCAACATCTCCTTTGTCTGTGGTAGACCCGGCGGCCGCCTTTCCGCTTAGCCGAGCACGCCAACTGGGCACTGCACCGCCCTCCTTGGCCCGATCGGCCTGTCCACCCCCAACGGAGGCCATGTGGTCGAAAGAAGGATTTAGCTCCAAAGCTTGTCGGCGTCGAGCTACCTCCTACGGGGGAAGACGGGCATGAATGTGGACTCAGGCACAAGAAGGGCCTTTTGATGATCAGACAAACCCACCTCCTTGGCAGCTTGTGAGGCCTCGAGGCGCCGCTCTGCCTTGGCAGCCTGTTCGTGCATGAAAACGTGTGGCCTGTCAGCCTGGCACACTGGAAGCGCGTTGCCACAGCCCAGGTGTCAATCTGTCGCGCGCCCACGACATACCCGGATATCGCGCACGGAGGTGCCAGCAAGCAAGGCAAAGGGGTCTGCATCTTGGCCGCGATCACTAAAGGTCATCCACGACTCGCGATTGGCATCCAAACGCCCAGGTTCCATCGGGTCCTTTTTCTTCTCCGAATCTGACCCAGCCTCAACCCAATCATCGGAATCACCATCGCTCTCTTCCTGTAGCCATGTGAAAAAAAAAAGAAAAAGGCCAAACAAAACAGCGTGGGTTAGTTTGCCCCACGCTGCACAAGATGACAGGCCTCGGGTACCGTTCACCTACCTTGTCGGCATGTCGATGTTTGCTCTTTTTTTTGTGCTTGGACTTGTGTTCGGATTTGTGCTTCTTCTTCTTCTTCTTTCGTTCTTGATCGCCCTCCTGTGCACAAAAAGCGGTCGGTCCAGAATTTCAAGCATCGAGCTGGAGTGAGGCCAGGGTTCGTCGGCGCGGCAGCGTGCAAAGCATAATATCGCAGCGAGCCTTGGTGTTGGCTGTTCAATGGACTGTGGTGTATACATCAGCCAACTATGCACCGTGCCTTACCGCATCCAAATGGCGTAGCGCGGGATTGTCCCAAGCCTGTTACCAGCAGCATAGAGGTGGTACGTCGCAGGGGTCGAGGCAGAAAAGCAATGAGACAAAGCGAGAGCTCTTCTTTGGGCCCTGGGCCGCCTGCACAATGTGACATCATGTAGGAGCTCCACTGGCTACACTCACCGCTTCCTCTTTAGCACGATGCTGACGACGCTCGTGCTGTCTAGCCTCCTGCGTTGTGTTGCCAGCATGATCGTGCCCAGACAATCCACAGTAACTTCAGTCACGAGACAAACAACGGGGGAGTGCAACGACGCTCAGTCCCTTAGAAGCCAGTTCACGCACATGTGCTAAGATGGTTTCACGCGCCCGCCGCCGCTCTTCGCGCTCGAAGCGGCTCTGGTCGCCTGACACAAAGCCCAGCTCATCCATGCTGCGACGTTTTTTGAAAAAGCTGGTTTTTGCTCTCGCGCTCTCTCTATTTTAAAGTAAAAAGTATAACAATCTTAAATTTAAATATCTGCAATCGAGCGCAAACGTGTCGAAACGACAGGAGCAGATCAAGCAGAGTAGTGTTCGAATTCCATCTGTTCGCAATAAAATAATCTACAAGGTGACGTCCAGGACAACCAAGCTCAACACACCAGACTGACAGAAGCAGAGTCACTGGCATTCACAACTCGCTTTCCACCTCCAAATCCATAGAGGCAAGCAGCGCCTCGGTGAATGGATTATGCTGAAAGCCTGGCATTGAGCTCATTTGTACGGTCAAAGTGCGTTCCACACGACTTGCTGCTGGGCGTTGGCTCGGATCGACGTGCCACATTTTGCTGACGAGGTGAGCCAAGCTTTCGGGAAACTGGCTGAGGCTGAGTCTCGCATCCGTATTGAGCATTTCGATAATCATCTGCAGTGTGCGTGCTCCGTACGGAGTTTTTCCTTCATTATAAATCTAGTGCACACGTTATGCCGTGAGAAACACTCGCAGCGGGCAAGGCTAGCTTGTTCTGCCACGAAGAAAAATGGGTCCCCAGGCACGCACCTCCCACAGCGTCACACCAAGGGACCAGATGTCTGAGGCAAACGTGAAATTGCCGCGTCGCAACGCTTCCGGTGACAGCCATCTGTTCACCAAATCAAATGTGGTGAGCCAAGCACTGCCCAAGAGGATTGGAGATGATCTAAAAAAACTGGCCAGACACAACTCAGCAGCACTACGAACCGAAACGGCATGTCGTCGAGCTGTGCTGTTTTGTAATAGTCGTGGTCCTTGGACAAGTAACGGCTCACTAAGCTCGGCACATGCAATCCAGGACCCGTCAAAGGAAAGTCTGCCGCTCTAACCCTTGACGTGCCAATTTTCGAGGAAAGATGTTCAAACTTACAACCGAAATCGCCCAGCTTTGCCAATGGTACGGCGTGAGTACGCCGAAACAACAAGACATTACGGCTGGCGAGATCACGGTGGACCAGGTCGCAGTCGTGGACGTGTCGCAGTCCAGATGTTATCTGAACCGCCAGCTCCACCTACGTCATACCGGCAGGTCCCATCGGTGAGTCGTAAATGGGAGCGAGAAGTTTTGAAGTCGGCCACACTTTGCTACGCCACGTGTGTCACCTTGCGCATTGCCAGTTTCTCATAGTACCTTGGCATCATCTGAAAGCGAACCCGCTTGTTGACGAAGATAAGATCGCAAATCACCCAGATCTGCCAGCTCGAGAACCAACCCTATCGGAACGCTGTGGAATGTACGGCACAGCTGCTGTGAATGCAACAGACCACCCACAGGACCGATTTTCATTCCCTCGGGACGATTCGCCACATTCATTCCCTCGGGACGATTCGCCACATACCTGTCGTCGACAACCGCCAACAGGCGCACCACGTGGGTGTGGTCACAGGCCGTGTGTAGCAGCGCCGCTTCCATCATGACGGCCTTGTAATCCATGGCCTAATTGGCGACCGAGCATGTACATGTCAAGTGTTAGAATGAGTCTTTAAACACCTGGCTGCATGCATCAGGGTCCCAGCCCAGGCGGTGCCTCCGATGAGGAAAGAACAAACCTCAACAGCATCAAAAGTCTTTAAGGCTACAACGCTGGCATGATTAAATTGCTCGCGGTGGCGGACGACAGTTGCCTAAGCACACATCTCATGAGCAAAGGACGTCCTTAAAAATGAAATAAAATAAAAAACACGCTATTCCAACGACTGGCACCACAGTACTTACCTTAAACACAGTGCCAAAGTTTCCGGCACCCAGGGGAGCTTTGATGGCCAAGCAGCTCCTGCCACACCCCCACAAAAAACGGTTATTGAGTCAAGGCCAATGTCCAACAAAAAAAGACTAAGAGATACATTCATGGTACCTTGAAACCATATTCATAGGCCGTCCTCTGCCAGCAGAAGAAGACTTATGCCGTGTGCGCTGCCGTGTGTCTTTTTGAAACTGCCAAAGGCACATTTCGATCTGCTGGGCAGACGACATGGGCACAGTGTCTACAAACGCCGAGTGACCGACTTGGTTCTGACCCAACGGCGTGCGACGATGCCGAAGTCGCCACAACACGGCTCCAACGAGCAGGACGATGCAACAAAGCGAAGGAACAAGCACTGCCAGCATAATTGATGGTGCCTTGGATGTCGTGGAGTGGAGAGCAGCACCCTCTTGCGCCTGAGTGGTAGTCGAGACCAAGTCTTCACTTGGCGTTGGCAACCTATCAAACAAGCAGCCGCTATCAACAAACCGTCGACTGCAGAGGCCAAAACAGCGCGATTGGGCGGTAGGTTTACGCAGACGCACTCGCTTGTTGTAACAGCACGGGCAATGGTGGACATGGTGGGATAGGTGATAGGCGACGACGACGACGACGACGACGGTAGAAGCGGCTGTGTTGTGGAAGTTGATAGTAGGGAGAATGAGGCAGTTGTTGCAATGGATGGCAAAAATGTCGGATCTGTGGATTGTCTGGTTGAAGACAGTGCCGACGTGGTCATTGTCGTTGTCGTGGTGGTCGTGATGGTCTTGGTCGTCGTGGTCGTTGTCGTGGTCGTTGTTGTCGTGGTGGTCGTCGTGGTAGTCGTCGTGGTAGTCGTTGGCAAGACTGTTGTTGTTGCCTGTGTCGTTGTCACGGAGTGGCTACCATCCGAGAAAGAAATCAAATACAGTTAGTAACCCACACACACGCGCGCACACACACATTCTCACTCACAGTTGCACAAACTTTATCTCACTGCGGTACTCACCAGGGACTGGCCAGCCAACGAATGCCATAGCGATGGTAATCAGGAACAATAATGTCCACAAATCCGTTTCCAGTCAAGTCAACCGCCGCCGTGCTAGCAGCAGAACCATCGTAGAGTTGCATGGGCGCTGCAAAAGCACCGCCGCCGATATTTTCAAATAAAATGACGTTTCCGGGTACCAAGCTGGTGGTGATTAAATCCAAGTCGCCATCTTTGTCGAAATCAACGACGGTGAGAGCGTAAAAGCCATTACCATTGGCAATCTCGGTACGGGTCGCATCATAGGAATCATTTCCAAGATTGCGGTGCCAGAATAAAATTTGGTCTGCTGGGGCTGTGATGACGACGTCCAAAAGGCCATCTCCATCCAAATCAACGGCCTCAGCATTTTGAGCATAGACTAGCTGACTGGTAATACCCTCAGTGGTTGCTTCAAACACGCCTTGGCCCTGGTTGCGTAGGACCTGGACTGGATTGACACCTTGGGCGGCAATGAGCACGTCCAGGTCGCCGTCTCCATCAAGGTCTACAGCACGGAGCGCGCGCACCCCGTGGCTATATACCAGGCGGTGCGGCGGGCTAAAAGTTCCATTGCCAATGTTGGGAAACCAGAGGATGGTCTGAGCATAATGGCCGAAACACAGAATGTCCAAGTCACCGTCTTGATCCAAGTCAGCCAAATTCAACGCGACAGCCCCATCAATCGCCTCGCTGATGCGCAATCGACCAGTGAACCGTCCTCCTCCCAAATTGCGGTAAAGGTAGACGCCATCCAACAAGTAACTTGTCACCAAAATGTCGGTAAGCCCATCACCATCCATGTCACCGGCCTCGATATTCTGTGCACCTAGCAGGGTATCAAGATATACCTTGCGCTCATCAAACTGTCCGACTCCGAGGTTACGGCTCCACCCCACGCTGTGTTGGATTTCGCTGATCCAAGCTACATCCATGTTGCCATCCCCATCAATATCTGCAGGTGCAAGCCCGGTGATGGACTGCGCGCGGCCATCCGAGTAAACATCTCGACCAAAGCTAAGCAGGGTAGTCACAAATACAAAGGAGAACACCTGGCTTTGACCAGCTGCAACAATGTCTGGGTGACCATCGTTCGAAATATCCGCTACGACCAACGCGCGGGCTTGCGCCAAGGAAGAAGACAGCACCAGCCGTGAGGCAAACTGCCTGTGTGGCTGGTTGGCTCCGAGGTTAATGAAAAAGGAAATGATATTATCCAATGTGCTAACTATCACCAAATCCAGGTCGCCATCGTTGTCGAGATCGGTCAAAGAAAGGCTCCGTGGACCAAGCACTTGGGTATCAATGATGGACTCTGGGGCGAAAATGCCATCACCAAGGTTGGCAAACCAGCTCGCGACGTAATTGTTGAGGGAGATGGAAACGAGGTCTGGCAAGCCATCGCCATTGACATCTCCAGCCACGACCCCAGTAGCACCATTGTAGCCAGAGATGACCAAATTTTGTAGAGGCGAAAAGCGGCCTCCACCCACATTGCGGTACCATGCAACTGTGTCATCACCATAATGTGCCGCAACCACATCGACCGTGCCGTCGCCATTCAAGTCTGCCATGGCAAGAGTGTACGTGATGGCTGAGTTGTTTGCAACGAATTTGGGTCTTGGGTCGAACGTGGCGTTACCCCAGTTTCGATACCATGCAATGAAGCTTGCTGTCTCACTGGCTCCAACAATGTCAATGTGCCCGTCGTTGTCCATATCGGCAACCCCAAAGGTTGAGGGCCCTGGCATAGAGCCGAGGACCAAAGGGCCGTCTGGAAACGTCCCGCCACCAGCGTTTCGCAGCCAACCGAGAATGTTGGCATCAAGTGCACTAAAGACCACATCCAAGTCGCCATCCTTATCCAGGTCCAACAATTCAACCTTGTTTACGCCGTACGCGGATGACAGCAAGGGCCGAAATGTATCAGAAAACGTGCCAGAACCCAACCCTTCGTACCAGCCAAGCTGGTTGTTGGAGGCACTGCACGTGATCAAGTCTGGCTGACCGTTGCCATCGAGATCGCCCGCGGCCAGACCCAAAACCCCGGAAACATCATTGCTGTACCCAAGCGTATAGATGGGTGAAGGTCCGATTCCACGCGCCCAGATGACGCTATTTTCGTTCTTGGAAACCACCAAGAAATCATGAAGGTCATCGTCGTCCATGTCACCCACAAGCAAGGCGTCGACGGAAGCCACAGATGCGCGCAGCGGTAAACGGAGGCTGAACTGACGTGGACCATCAGACAAGCGACCTGTGTTGTGAACCCGAGTCAGAGCATGTGCGGTGGATCTGCCATAAAACACGTCAGGAGCATCGCCATCCTTCATGGCCGCAATGGCCATGGCAGACAGATTAGGAACGCTGCTTGCAATAAAACGGCGCGTGTCTGGAAACTTGGCTGTACCATCGTTTCGATACCAAACAATCAGGTCCTCGCCTGCGTTGAGACTGACGACATCGACGTGGCCGTCCTGGTCCATGTCTGCCGCTGCCAGCGCGCGTACGCCAACTGCATTGGAGCTGATGGTGTTTGCCTGAAACGCGCCAGCCCCATTGTTGCGATACCACATGACGACATTGGTATCCAAACGCGCGGCGACAATGTCCATCGCCCCATCTCCATCAAGGTCGGCGAGAGCAACGTTGCGAACATTTGCCGTAGAGGTCGCCTCACTCACGGCCCGTGCAGAGTTCGCCGGGAAGTGGCCCGTGCCATCATTTCGATGCCAAGCAACGGCCCCCGTGCCATCACGAGCAGAGATGATGTCGGCGTAGCCGTCGCCATCCAAGTCTGCACAAGCTATAGCGTGTAGATTGGTAAGACCGGTTGCTGCACTCTCAGGCTGGCTGGCAAAGCTACCATTTCCTTGGTTATAAAAGACAACAATGCTGTCATCCCCAGCATTGGCGCTCACAACATCCAAGAGTCCGTCCTTGTCCAGATCATGCGCTAACATGGCCACGACGCCGTGCGCGGCCGTGGTGATGGTATTAATGATGGAGGAAAATGTACCATCACCAGTGTTGCGCTGCCAAAAGATCAGGCTGTCGCCCTCACCTGCGATAAGCAAATCATTCAAGCCATCGCCATCGAGATCAGCAAAGAGGCTTTCCACCGGACCTCGCACTGCCTTGTACATCGTGTTCAATTTCCAGTCGTCGTGGGGACAGGCGTCGCTCTCATCACCACGCACGACATGGAGCGCAATACAGGCAAAAGCAAGGCCCCAAGCCCATGCCTGACTGTGCATGACGACAATGGGGGGGAGGAGGGGGGAGTCCTGCCGCCCCTGCCGGTTGCGGGTGAGAAGTAAATGGCGGTCAACTCCCCTCCACAATTGACACCTGCACCAACAGGCAAGCAAGCATGATGACCCAGGTCAGATGTGCACTCTAAACGCAAAAGCACAAACGAGCCTGTCACCCAAACCCACCCGAAAGCTGCACAAGCCTACGCCATCTCCTCTTGCTCCTCTATCTCCGTCGTGTCGCCTCGCCTTGCAACAAGAAAAAGAAAAAAAAAGTCTAGATGCACTTTGACCCTAGACATGACGACCGCATTGATGACAAAATGACAGGTCACACGTAACACTCGTGGTCGTGCGTGATACACTTTGGACACTGAAATCCCATCATTGCAGACTTTGTTGTGCTTAACGTATGTTGTAAACACTTGGCCGCCGCCTGTAAGCATGCATGCAATCCCGCTTGACTTTACTCTCACCCCCTGCCACGCTCTGAACCGCTCAAGGTCGCCTGCCCACCTGCTCTGCCCTCTGGTTTTTGTTCGCAAGTCCATCTCTGTGAAATTCATCCCTCTCAAACTCTCTTTCTCCTTCAAACTCTCAACTCTCTCCCCTCTCAAACTCTTCCCCCTCTCAAACTCTCTCCCCTCTCAAACTCTCTCCTCTCTCAAACTCTCTCTCAAACTCTCTCTCTCTCTCTCTCACGTACTCTCAAATCTCTCGCAAATCTCTCTCTAATCTTTCCAATCCTCACTCACTCTCTGATGTCTGCAATCCAACGCTGCACTGAGGTCTGACGTGTTGACGTTGTTCTACTGCAACAGCTGGGCGGTGCTTGGGCCGACGCCTCCGCCGCGGATTGCACTCATCCAATGCTTACACATCCGCATGTACGTTTGATGGGTGTATATGTGAGATAGGGTAACACGGTCTGCCACCGTTGTCCATCCATCCATCCACCTGCCTCTCCTCCCGAGTCACCTTTTTTTTTTCTGCCCGATGGACTGAGACACAGCTTGCTGCTTACCCGCAGAATCGCAATCACCCTGGACGCCCGCGCGCTTTGCCCGTCAACTGAGGAGACCGGCACCATGTCAAGCAGCCAAGAGGTCGCCTATGCCCCACCTGCCCATGCCCAGGTACGACAAGTTCAACTACCATTTGGCCGTTCTTGATTGCTTTCACAATGTCTGGCCTCACCGACCTGCCCCCGCTGCCTTCCTTCCTTCCTTCGGTTTGCAATCTCGATCGCAAAGACGACAAAGCAAATGGCCGAGGCAATGGTGCGCCTAACTGAGCGAGTCAACACGATGGAAGATCAGGTCTCAACTGCGGCCCGCGCCACCGCACCTCTCGCCCACTGACCCCCCATACGAGCCCCTTCACCGCGTACGTGTTGCTCATGATCTTGCGCCCTTGCTCACTGGCTGCCCTGCAGATGGCACGCATGGAAGAGTCAATGGATGATATCCGACTCCTTCTGCGCTCGCTTGTGCGTCAAAACCACGACGAGCCTAGCACACCAAAGGCCATGCCCAAAACAAAAACTGTGGAAGAAGACAACAACATGTGCTAAGGCTTCTCTCCTCCTGGAAATGCACAGCGTCGAATGCTGTCGTGGTTCGGCGTGCTTCTGAGAAGCGCTAGCCCCTCCCTCCCTCCCTTGACTCAAACTCCGTATCTGAATAACAATATAGAATTCGCGCCAACGGTCGCAAACAGCCCCTGCCCTGCCAATCTAGTTGGCTTGCTGTGGCTGCGCAACGCTGAACCCAGGATATATTATTATAGTATACCCCAGGGCCCCACCACAAGCGCACTTGCCTGCGCAACTGAGGTGGACCAACGCGTGAATAATTGAAAGGAGTATCTACTGGTTGAAGCTCAAACAACTACCGTAAAGCGGCAAACTGTGGGGCACACAACTCAATTCTCATCTAGGAGACAGGGGAAGTACCAACCCCGAAGAGATACGATAGCAACATGACGTAGGGCAAGCTAGATGTCCCTACGCAGCTATAGCCGCACTTTGACACAGCACAAATGTACACGTTAATGAAGAAGAAAACAAGAACGATAATCAATCTCTTATTGACGCGGAAGAAGCGGGAACAGGGGCATGGCCGGATAGTCAAAAGGACGCACAGCACAGCCTAAACACACAACAAAAACACGCTATGGTGCTGCTTTTTTTTTATGCAGCCACCTCTGTGGTTTTGGCCTTATCCGGTGAAGGTTGATCCGCAGACACGGGCACGTTATCCGAGGCAGGCACGTCCCTGACATTGTGAACAGACAGGACGGGCACGCATACCGTGAGTTCCCAAGCTGGTGCAGCTCAGCGAGGCACCCATTCTTCTACAAAAAGCATGTGTGTAGCCAAAAGGCGAATTCTGTGGTTGTTGAGCTTACCCTGCAGGCGCCGTCCACTTGGCCTTCTCCTCGCTGCTCATCCCCTTCCAGATTTCACCCGCCTTCTTTGCCAACTCCTTGACGCTGAGACCCGGGTGGGCCTTGATCATTTCCTAAGCATCCACCACCGCCAGGTCAACCAAACGCGCCAGAATGAGTAAAGACTTTCAGCCACAATGACAAAAAAAGTTTCATCAAGATGGGTTGTGCGCCAACTCATGACCGACCTTGCGATTGGCTTGAAGCCAGAGCATATACCCAGACATTTTGCGCTTGGGTTTGTCCTTATCCGTGGCAGTCACTTTGGTCGCCTTGGTGGTGAATGACTTGGGGCGGAACCCTCCCCCGAGGGGCGTAGCGGGCGATGGCGTCACAGGCTCGGCCACCTTGGCCACTACGGAGTGCATACCCAACCCCCACCACACGGTAAGAGCTCACCCAATTGCGAGAGCATACGTAGCCCCCAAGCTTGCAAGCTCGACTCGAAGATGGGATTGAAAGACTTACCCTTGGCAGCCGGCTCATCCCCAGTCTCTGCTGTCATGTCTGCATCGCTCTGCTCGGTCTGGCTCGGTCGGCGCTCCTTCACGGGAGATTGCTTCCGTGCAAAGGGATTTACCGCCTTTGGTCGGCTTAACGTCTTGGGGGCCGTAGGATTGGCCGGCGTCAGTGCCGGTGCGGGGCGTAGTCGCTCGGTCATGCTGGGCGTGGCAGCTTCCGATGCACCTTGATCCGTCACGTCTGCCTCCATCTCGGCCTCAGCGGCACTGCCATGGCGACGCTGCGGTGTCGGTGCGGAGCTCGCGGGTTGATGGGACGGAGCAGCGCGTAGCGGCAAAGCGCGTTCACGGCGCAACGTGCGACGACGCTCCAAGATGGATTCTTCTAGTGCCTGCTTAGCCAAGAGCATACGCTCAGCCAATTGAGGCATCTGCAGTCCCACCAGGTAAATCGTGATGAGTGGATGCAAGATGTTAACGCGCCACCTACACGAATTCAACCACAACCACTGTAAGTGGCACGCACCTTGCCCTTCACAGCCAGTTTGACGGCCAACTCAACGCTGGCTGGCACTTGTAGAAACGTAGTCAAATCCAGGGCTCGAGCAGCCCGCTTTGACTGAACGCTACGGCTAATGGCAGCCAAGATATCCTGGTCGAGGCGCCGCTGAGCCGCTACAATTTCTAGGGCATCCTCGCGGTTTAACTCTGCAGCCGACCCACAAACAGCACCAGAGGTTGGTCAAATCCGCAGAATGTGGGCAAGGCAATCACAAAGGTGACGGAGCTTGAGTGAAAAATATTGTCGCAAGCCAAGCCGTACCATCAAGGCCCTCGTGGTCAATGGTATGCTCCAGCAAGAGCCGCGAACGCAAAAACGACTCTTCGCGAGCCGCTGTCTCCGGCAAACAGACCAGTGGCAGCTGCAGGGGCACGGTGCTGATGGCTGGCTTGGGCAAAACCTTGGGGAACGTCTCGCCGCCACGGCACACAACGCACAGCAGTTCGTCTCTGGTAAAGCCGACGGGCCAGTAATAGTCCAATTGCTCCCGCTATGCACATGAACGAGCCATCCAGCACCAGTCAGTACTTGTAATAAATGCAAGGCAAATCGCGTGGCGGGGAAAAAACCGTGGCTCAACAGGAATGATGAAACAAATCGGGAAGTGGGCCGTCATGAGCTGCATCAAAGCTTAACTCACCTCAGAGCGCAGCGACTTGAACTCAGCCACCGGGGTCCACAGACCATCCCACCCTGTCACCGGGAATGACAAAGAAGCACATCGGGCATGCTGTGAGGTGTGAGCCGGTACGACTCGGTCTCCTTGACATGCTGTTCCTCATCATTCACGGGCGGCAAGAACAGAAAGCACACGTACGTGCCACGAGGACGCGCATGACCTCCTCCGAGTCGATGGTCGCGGGCAAACCATTGTCACCAAAACCAATCCAGGAAAGCGCTGCACCTGCCGACAATGGCAGGCTGTTTTGTGACTCAACCTTATGCTTGTCGACGTTGACGAGCATGGTAGCCATCTTTTGGTCTCCGTTGGCACCCATGCCATCATGGTATGCCTACCAGCCAAGCGCACGCCGGAAAAAAAAAACATCAAGATTCCAAAAAAGCGTAAGAGTGCGAGAAAGCTTGCGCCCACCCAGAGGGGTATGAGCGAGAAAAGGCCACGTACGATAAGAAGCTTATCGTCCAACGCCGCCATGGAGACCACGGGGCCAGGCAATGCAAAGACGTGTCGCGCCACGCCGTAGCTTGAATAAATGCGCACGTAGCGCTTGCTGGTGGCGGCCGCTACAAAGGGTGCTTCACCGCAGCCGGTAGCCACAACCTGCGGCAAGCGAGAAGTGTCGAGAGGACGGCGGCTGAGATGATGGATTTTGGCAAGATTCTAAAGACATGTGCTGCACCCACCTCAATCTCCTCTCCCTCGGGAAAAAATAGCTGCCAGGTCTCGTCTGAAGCCCAAGTTGTCAGGTTGCGGCAAAACAACACACTAAGTAGGCCCAATACAAACGCAAACCAGCCTTGTGAGTCCTGATAGGCGATACGCTCGTGTTGCCTGGGCCAGTCTGGCTGCTCAAGCCTGTGGAAGAGCAGGAACACGATGAATTCCAAAGAAAAATACACAGACCTGGGGTGATCACGAGTATCGCCTTCATCTGGAGTGTGGGATTCAGCGGCCAGCACAAGGCAGTGCTCGCTGAGCGTCCCCATGGTGAAGCCAAAATGATCCACGAGGCGCACGGGGCGGTGGGTATTGGTGTCATGAAACTCCACATCAACGGCCGATGTGACTTCTTCTTGCCGACTGCAAACACGAACGGCACGCGTGAGCTCAACGACTCTGATCTTTCAAAATCGAAAGATTCGACAACAATGGGATGGAACAAGGAAAACAACAAACCTCGTGATGATGCCCACGTTGTTCCACACCAGGAAGCGTTTGCTCTGATCAAGGGGGGACGAAGATGGTTGAAAGGGGGCCTGCTGCTCGACCAGGGGCATGGTACCATATGTGGGCTGCTGCGCTTCCTCTTCAGCTGCATAGTCATGAGGCATTTCTGATGTCTGTAGGCACCGTACATGACGGAAGCCAGCGCAAGTGACGCGACGAGAGTGGTGGTGATGAAGATGAGAGGTGACAGATGAACGTAAAGGCTTGGTCATGCAAACGATCTGCTACGCACCATGATGCCATCATCCTCGTCGTCGCTGTCCACAAGCTGCGCCCGGCGGGATCGCTTGAGGACCACCTTCTTGGGCACATCATCATCGGCAAACAAGTCGTTGACAGCTGCACAGACATCACCGGGCAGGACACAAATTGAGCGATGCAAGAATGATGCGCTCCGATCGACAACGAGATGGCACAGGCTAGAGAGAAGGGGAGCGTCGCAACGTACCAGTCATGCGCTGCTCTTGTGCAGCAAGGGCTTCGGCTTCCTTCACCTGCTCTTCCGTGAGCTTGGCCTTGATTGAGTCGCGCACAGGCTTGCGCCACAGCGAGACGCATCCATGGGCGTCTTCAAGGAGGAACGTGCGAAACAAGTGAGTCGTGAGCGCAGTGCCACGGCGAGTCACAGCAGGAGCAGTGCGCCAAGACCATGAGATGCGTACCAGCGTAAGCCAGGGTCTCTTCGGTGGGATGCCAGAAAAGGGACGTGACGCAGGTCGCGTTGGGATGACGAAAGCGAGCCAGACTCTGCTTGCTGGCCACTTCCCAAATCAGAATGACGCCGTCAATGCCTGCACTTGCCAGGTATACGTCATCGTTGGACCATTGCAAGGTGGAGACGTTGCTCTCGTGCCCCAGCTCCTTGAGAGCGTATTGAAATTCGAGTTGGCGATTGTAGATCTGAACTGTCTTGTCGATGGCCACGGCCAACATCTTGCCACTGTGGCTAAATTGAAGAGTAAACATGCCATGTTGCTCCCTGTTCAAGGTACACGAGTGAGGGCACGCACACAATGAGATGGGGATCAGAAGGGAAGCAAGATGGAAATGCCGCTGTGAGTGCCTACGCACGGGTCAAGACCGCCGCGAATGATCGGAAGAGCCAAGCTTTCTTCCTCAATGGAACCGCTCTCAATGTCCCAGAGCTTGAGCGCGCCATCTTCGCCAGCTGATGCCTGCGCAAACGGTTTCACGGATGGCCACGTCAGAAGAATTAGTCAGAGGAGTGTAAAAAACCAGGGGCTGCATCATACGGTTGCCGGGGTTTCTGCCGAGTTCGAGACGGCCTACCAAGTAAACCATCTCTGGATCAAAAGCCAGGGCGCGCACGGCTCCAGAGTGGCCAGACAGCGTCTTGTAGGAGTGGTCGCTCAGTTGCACGATACGAATATCCATATCTCTGCATCCGGTCAACAAGATTAGTTGTGGCCCAAGACAAAACGACAAGAAATGCATCCATGGGGGAAGAGACAAGCAGGAAATTAGCCACGTACTCGCCAGCAGCGGCACAAACAGTCGCGGTACGGTTGAGAGCGGTGGCAAAGACAGGGCTGCTGAACCGGCTCAGCAAAGCATCAAACTGGTTTTCAGTCTTGCTCATGTTGTACAAGCGGCACATGTGATCCTCGCCGCCCACTACCAGGCGGTCATTCTAAATCACGCGCGTACAACCAGGTCAACAGGAGCAATGCCAGATAACCATTCGCGTGCGTGCGAAAAGGGGGACTTCAGCCAAACAGCGACGGGGGTGTCGACTGGTGCGCTTGCCTTGAAAGCCATGCAATTGATCCCTGAGCTCTCCTTGTTGTCCTCGATCACAACGGGGTTGTCATCCTGGAGATTCTTGAGAATGTTGATGCAGCCGTTCTCACCGGCCGTCACCAAACGGCTGGAAGGGTCGGCATCAAAAATGACGAGGGTGAGCTGATCAGCAAGCTACGGGGGGGGGGGGGGGGGGGGGGGGGGGCCCAACAAAAAAAAGGGGGGGGCAA